GACAAATAAATTGCTTTTTTATCCTTGTCTCCTCACAAAATGTCAAAAAGATATCTTAATGTTGAATACGCTGGAACCAGAACCAGAATCGACATTACTGACTTTGAAGACCTGAGTGACGCTCAGGATGCCATCAAGGCAAAGTATGGCCCTGCTATGGCTGACATTGGTGCTCCTCAACTCCAGCTCTACGACCAACAAGGCCAGCTTATCGCAGACCTAGATGACATAGCAATTGAAAACACTCCGCAATACTACAAGAAACGTACTCGAGGAGGCTCCTGTGTTGTTATTGGTGTTTTACCTTTACCTCCAAGACAACCTACTCAAACTGACCTAGATTCAGCATCTGCTGCAGCCTCGACCTCTCACTTACCAGCAGAGGAAGGCTCCTCTCGCAAACGACAACGTACCGAGCCTGAATCTGAAATCAATGATTTGACAGCCCAGTTCAAGTTGTTTGCAAACAGTCGGTTGGATAAAAGATGCATTCAGTCTCAAGACCAAAAACTGCTCCCATATCCTCAAAACGAAGTTCAAAAATTATATGTCAGAAAGTGCTATAAAGATGTCTTTAAATTGCTTCTGGCTCAAATTGGTGATAAGAAGAAATCATTTGCAATATCTGGGACGCCGGGCATTGGAAAGTCGCTATTCTTTGTCTACATTTTGTACCGCCTGATCAAGGGCTCTCGTAAGAAAACTCTGTCTCTAAAGCCAAACCGAATTGTTTATCAAGTGGGATCTACGTACGAATGCTTTGACTTGCAACAACAATTCGTCGCCAGGACCACGAGGTTTGATGCGGAGGAATTGGTTAGGAAACAAGATACATTCTACGTTATTGATGGACGAACGTCTGAACCGCTCGTTTCGTCTTGTATTGTCTTGTTCATTTCATCCCCCCGTTCGGAATGGTACAAGGAATTTGTGAAGCAGAAGATGGCCAAGGAATGGTATTTTCCTGTTTGGACTTTCAAAGAGTTACAGGCTTGTTGGCTCCACTGCTATCCGGATTTGCGCTCTAAAACCTTCAAAAAGAGATATCGCATCTATGGTGGTGTAGCTCGTTCTGTCTTTGATACTTCATCAGATCCAATCAAGAAAGCTTTGGCCGACGTTAATGCAGTCAAAGGGACACAAAGCATTGGAGAACTGACCAAAGCATTTACGACATCTCACACTTTGCTTCATGTTATTGTGTCAGACGACGGGAAGTACGAATTCTTGCATCTTGATATCGCTTCAAAATATGTTGGAGAAAAACTCTGGCAACGTCATTCTTCTCAAATGATTACCAATATACAGGTAATGCTTGGTACTCCAGACGAGATTTCAAGATATTTTTTCGAGATATACGGACACAGGGTTTTTTCTACTGGTAGGAAAACTCTCAAATGCAGATGCCTGGAAGATGGTAAAGCGACAAAGATTACTTTGGATGCACTCAATGGTCAACGAACTACATTTGGAAGAGATACTATCCCTACTGCTGCAGCACTTAATGGCAACTATTACGAACCGACAGATGACGATAATTTTCCAGCAATTGATTCACTCAGTCAACAGGGAATGTTTCAATTTACAGTTGCTGCTGAACATCCAATTCGCGGAGTTGATATTCTTACACAACTGTGCAATTTGTATGATGAACCCAAACTTTATTTTGTGGTTCCACCTCATCGGTTTAAAGGGTTCAAAAAGCAGACTTTCAAAGCAAAGAAAGGCACAGAGCAGGTACAACCCATTCCTGGATTGAAACAATACGTTATAAAACTCCCTCTAATGTAATCAGATTTGAAGAGTAGAAAGTGGTAGTTGTATTTTACAACTGAAATGGCATATTTTCAATCATTCCAACCATTCCAATTATTTGATAATTCAATGTTAATACAACTGGCATCATACAATTGTGTCCATTCAAGGGATTGAGATGCATTTAGCATGGAAAGTTCCAAATTCAAGTTTACTATTGTAACATACGCTTTTTGACAAATAATGGCTCTGTTGACACATCCTTGTACCATCTAATCGTGTCCGATTGAAGCATCAAGTATGAGTTTGGCAGACAACTTGCAACTTTAATCAACTTGTATACGGTAAGCATTTTGATAATGTCGGCATTTGTCAGGATATCACACCTGACAACTTTGAATCAGATTTAGCAGTGATTATAGGTGAAAACACCAATCTAGCACAACAACAATTCCAGACAATTCCAGACAATCCGATTCTGATTAGTTCTAAAACCAGAATTCACATTGCAACCACAAACCAAATGCGTTCAATATCAATCACAATCATCATGGACGAATGTATCAAAGTATGTCGTCAACTTTTGAATATTTTAGCAGTCTTGCTTAAAACAAGTGGTATCATCCAGTGCACTACATATACTACTCATGGTCATTGACAACTGATTGTATAGTAATAGTTTGAGTGTATTGTGAGCAAATTATTGATGATGGAATAACACACATTTTGGTTATGATACTAGAAACACACAAACTTCAAATAACTGCGCAACTATATGTTCAAACTCTGCTCCAAATATATGTTGTTGTATACAGCAAACCTGGCAAAGTGTTGTATTTTGTCATGGCTGCATTGTCCCGAGACATAATTCGAGGCTTGTTACAACGGGTTACCAGATTTGATATCCAATAGGTTTGATAAAAGTGTTGCAATTGACATTTATGTTTGTGGATAACAATATTTTGGAATCAACTCGTTCAATTTGGAAATCAGTTGGATTTCTTGCTGATATCAATATCAATGTCAGTTCAACTCAATTGATTGGAGTAGCACTCGAGTGCTTGCAGTATTGAGTTTGGTTCAAACAGTAATACACAGTGACACACTGATTATCATTTCAGTGAAAAATGATACAGAAATGATCATTCCCAAAACAAGGAATCTGAATGACTGAAACGTAGATTGTGAGCATATGACTGCATGTTGATGGTCATCATTATTGACAAGTAGATCACAGCAAATCAAAGATACAAAGGAATGATCCAATAAACTAATTGCGTTGTTTATTAAAGAACGGGAAGAGTGTTTTTATAATATGGGAGAGCGATGAACAATACCAGAAGGAATGTATGCAAGCCATCGTTCAAGCATCATTGTTGAGGATACCTAATTACTATAGATCTTCCATCCGAGGTGACTGGTGATCACAACTGATGATCACATCCCAGATATATACAAAGGATTCACTCAGTGAAAATCAACAGACTTGACATCTCAACACTCTCACATTACAATGACATACGCTATTAACTGTCCAACAATATCGAGTTTAATTTGGTGGATATTAATCGGTGTTGCTTGATCATCAAATGGCATACATGTCTAATGCCCAGTATCAGAAATGGACACCGCCAATCTATCAAAATGGCACAAATGGAGCATACATTCCAACTGATCATATGTTGAGTTGTATAGCAACATATTGTGTAGTAATCATGTGTGATCCATTGTAAATCATAACTACATGTCTAGCATACTTTGTGTCAATTATTTGTCGGTATAAAATGGATGATTTGTCCAATTTGTATTCAATCAAATGTATTGTAAAAATGGGGTTTTTGATTGAGTAATACTATATGACCATGAATGATGGAACTGGAACATGATTACAAGTATACACATTCAAACATCTGAACAACTCTGATACAATCAAATGTATTGTCACTTGTCAGTTCTACATGACTGTATCGGATCTGTTCAAATACCTGTGATGTGTATATCTGCAACTCAAGATCGTGAATGCTGTTTGTAGTGCAATGTCTGTCATGACAACCCATATCAGTTATACAGTGTGTATCATATTTTAACAGCACTGATCATGTTTTGATGGATTGTTATACGTCGCAACGCTTTGAAAGTCAATTCTACCACGCAAGTCGTGAGATTGCAAGTCGAACAATATCTTGTGTGGTAGTGTTTTCATATGGAGCAATATTGTATCACATCAAAACATTGTATTAGTCGACAGGCACACGATTGTGATGGTAATAGTTTGCAGTTTGATACACGTTTGACAAATGAAACGCAAGTTTATTTGGACAATTACGAGTGTTGGCTGATTGCTGCAAGATTGCACCAAGATTGCTGATATTACAACAACCACAAATGTGTCCAGGACTGCTGTGAAGTTCCAGTATATGGACAGTTGGTAGGATTACAACAAAATGGCATTTGCAAGTTTTATGTCATGGCTATGTGGGATCATGCTGTATTGATATGTCCATCTATGATACAATGCCAAAAATGTTGAATGAACAATGAGCAATGAACAATGGGTAATAGAAATATAATTGGTGAGCATTTTTCAAAGCATACATTAGGTGACATTCCGTATAACAATATCAACAAAAACAGTAGTTTAATGGATGAATCTAGAAATATTATACCATCGACATTGGATTGCTACTCGAGACTGATTGGTGGTCGATCAAATGGAACAATGAAATATTTGACTGGTTGTGATTAAACATACATTACAAATTGTAATTTACAACGTGGTTGTGGTTGGTAAACCGATAATGTCATGCATCTACAATAAGATCCAAAACCAAACTAATCCACTCCACTCCAATCCATTCTAGTCCAGTCCAGTCCATTCGTGTTGTTTTGTAATCACTGGATCGTGTAATATTTCATTTAGTGACCAAAAGTTGTCAGGAATCAATTGCTGTAATGAGTGGTTCAAATTGATGTTTTGTGTGTTGATCACAATGGCTGTGTATTACAAGATCACTTGCGGTATTGATTTGTCAATCAACGAGTGTAATTCACTCGAAAAGAGTTTACTGGACTGTATGATTGAAAACAATACCACCACTTTGGTACAATTGATACACGATAGTGGATTGACTGCATGATTATTTGGCAGTTGGATCAACTCTTGTATCGTTGGAACCCAGTTTGACAAGCCAGCCATATCCATACAAAACAGACGACTCGAATGGCGTGTTTGTAGCCAATGTTATTATTTGAACCAGTCTTTCAGTTTTTTCAACACTTTCCAACACTTTCAATCCACTTGATCCACTTGGTTCACTTGATCCTTGTATCAAGTCAGAACATTTAAACCATCTACCATAAACCATAAACCATTACAACCAGTTTTACATATTGGATCTATCAAAATGTTGAACAAGCTCAAACCAGCCATTGATTAAATCGAGTTGTTAAATGCTGAGTTGCATGGCTGGTTGTGGATAGCTTATTATTGATTACGCCATTCAAATACCGATGATTGAAAACACCAATATTTCAATACACGATTCGATTGGTAACAGTGTGGTTTGGGTATTTACTGTTGTCAACCGATTTCAAGTCTTGTTGATAAATGGTTGCACTTTTGACAATCAGTATATCCGCAATCAGTTGGAATTGGTTTTGATACTGTATGCCAAGAACCTATTTAGTGTTGGTGTGATTCAGGTTTTGAAATACTTGTATATTTATACATGCCAACAACACATCAATGCAACAATACAACAACACAAACAGTAATACACTGATTGACAATGTATACGCTGAATAATCCAGATATACTTGATACTGTATTAGAACCAATCAAGTTCAACTTTGATTTGAATGTCATGCATAATAGTAAAACTAAACGTGTGATATCAACAATCCACCTAGTGTATGTTGTATATCGACATCATAATGCATACCATGATCACCACATGATGGTGCACAAACATGTTTGACATGTGTCATGTAAACACTCGATATGCCGTGTATTGGCATCTTTTATCATAAACCAACAGCAAGTATATTTGACTGTAGCGACTTTTACTAGCATATTACATCAATCGACTATGCTGATCGACTGTCATACACACATAGTATACCATACCATAGCATACCATGCAATATCACAGTATTAATGGAATGTATGATACTGTTGATGACAGATCCCAGCAGAATCTGAATGGTTAGATTCGATATTCAAAGTAATGTATTGCTGTATGTATGTATTGGTCAAATTGTAATACAAGTAATAGCAATGCATTAGTATGCATTAATATGCCAGTCAACAGCCATATTCAAAACCAAGTCAATAATATGTAATGAATGTCAAATCACATGCAAAGTTTAATTATGGATTCAAGTCGTGAAATTTCCATTTTGATAAATTGATTCACTTTCCCAAATAAAATCCTAATGAACAACTCAACTCATCACATATTAAAACTACTACACTCCCACATACTCAAACGATCATTTACCACTACCAACAGTCATGCAACAACATCCAAACCCCTGCATGACAAGGTTCAAGATCATATCAGCAAAAACTACTTGCTGTATGGTGCAATGTTTGGAGTAGCTACTATTCTTGGTAGTTTCCTCTGTAGTCAGATCAAAGAGACAGAAGTCAAACTCAAGTCCGATGTCAGTGAAATCAAGACTATGCTGACTCCGTTCATCGTCAAAGTCAAGATGAACAAGGAGAGACTTGATGACATCAAAAAAGACTTGAACAAGAGATGACGACTGATTGTTGATTGTAAATACACTAACATTATTATAATATATTTAAAATAAAAACATGAATGTATCAATGACTGTAATCATGTCAACGAGACCAAAATCACTCATAATTGCCATGACCAGAGTGTTGGATGATCTGTGAGTATTATTAGATGATTGTGTAGTTTAACTTGTAAAGTTGATTGTCTCATTTGTCTCACAGTCATGACACACTCATCATGACTCAGTCGTGCGTTCCGATTGAATATTCAACATCCGATCGTGTGAATCAGTTCAAATCTTCAATGATAAATTTTGCAAAATACGACCGAATGTTGGATAACCACCAAATGATTAAATGTTATACCAAAATTGAATTTGATTAATAGACCAGCTCACGATATTCCAGCTACTCCTTTAAACAAATACAAAAAACTAGAAATCAAAATAATTTTTTGAAATATTTACAGCGTTTTCAAATCATTAATGATAACCGGCTTTATGTTTTTTTCTATAAATTAAAGTGATAGCATATTCATCTCATCGTCGTCACTAAGTTGAGTATTAGCACGAAGCTAAAATTGAAACCAAAATTACAAAAGACAAGAATCCAATTAGTTTCAAGCTTGTCGATTAAGGTGCAGATATTCAAAAGTAGTACATACTGGTTTAGGAACCACAGCCTGGGTGGGATAGATGGAGTCATTTTGAACCGAAAACAAGAATGGACTTTCTTCGCGGACTCCTGTCACGTTTGAATCATACATGGACTCTGTCCTTGTAGCTTGAAACAAAGTTTTGTCTTGAAATTGAGGATCATGCACATGCGAGAAGGGCATAGCAGAACCAAATGGCGGCAAATTCATCAGGGCAAGTCCTGACGATTGACTGGTTGCACCTGGGCTAGATACAAGATTGCTACCATCAGCATTCATGGAAATGGGAAGGTTATTTAATAGGGTGGGTTGTGATAGAGCAGCAGCAGATATACTTGGAACTATTGGAGTAAGGATAGGAGTGGAAAAATTAGTATTTGGTGCGCTCATGGTGTGTGATGACTTGTTATAGGCAGAAGCCATGGCAAACGGCGCGGCAGATTGATTAGGCCACGCTCCTGCTGATTGGATTTCAGAAGAAAAAGTCATACCACGAGCAAAAGGAGACTGCAAATCTAAAGACAGTACATCAGAGTAGTCGCCTTCCTTGAGTGGTGGCATCAGTGAATAATCTTCAGTATGAGTTCCTTCCAATAAGCTTGCAGATTCGCTGTCAGCATGCATAGGGTCGCACAAAAGCGATGTCATATCAGTGCCAATATTTCCATGCCTGATATCAGGAGAAATCAAAGCACTATCCAGACCATGTTGGAATAAATTCAATGCTGGACTGTCGACTGAATACGCGCAGTTGAAACCATTCATAGATGCAGGTTCCATTGAGCCGTATTCGCTATTCAAAGCAGAAAAAAAGCTTCCGTTTTGCGAGCCCATCAAACCAGAGTCTAGAAGATCTTCATCAGTGTCACTCATGTTGAGCATGCGACGGAACGACTCCTGCATGTTCGAGTTGGGCTCGCATGGATATGCATCTAGTCTTGTATCCATGATACACGGATTGCTATTTCGCCTATCACCCAATACGTTTAAAAAGTATTGATTTAACACACCTGCACTAGGCTGTGGAGGAAAACAATTTTGACGATGAGCATGAGCGTTTGTGATCGAGTCTGTCCCAATACCAGACATTGACATGGATCTTTGTAAAATTGGTATATGTGAATTAGAATGCTGCAATCGATTTCCAAGCTCTTGAGAGTGCAGAATTTGCTGACTTGAATGCCGTACAAGTTGATGGGGTCGCGATGGTTGGTGTTGTGTGTTTGCAAGTTTGGTTTTGTTTACGAATCGAATCCTTTTTGCTTGACGCGTATCTCCTTGCGAGCTGGATATGGAATTACTACCAGTAGAAAATGTGTCCGATGTAGGAAGTTGCTTTTTGTAGTCTTCTGTCAGAGTCCACATACCGCCCTTTCCTACACGTGCTTGGGGTCTTGGTTTCTTTTCAAAAATCTTTTGAACAGATAGGTTATGACGGATAGAATTTTGCCAGGTCTGTTATAGACAATTATGAATACAAAACAATACATCATGCCACCAAAATTACAAAACTAGATTGGTTAGATAATGCTTGAAGCAACTGTTTGATCAGTTCACTGCTCAATACTTGAACAAAATCAAACATACCGGAGGGGCGTTACGGAAATATACATAGTGATCTCTGATGTAGTCGTAGATTTCTTGCAAAGACATCATACGACCTGGAGTACTTTCAATAGCTTCTGCAATAAGCTGCATATACGAGTACTTTGGCTTTGAGTCAGATCCATCGTCGATTGTCGATGGAACGGGTGGCATACATGTTGGTGGAGCAGACATTGCAATTACTGAAGAGACTGGAGGTTTGGGTATAAAAGGGATAGTAGACAACATGGGTGCGCTTGGTATAGCCCCATTATTAGGTACATTTGCTTTGGATAGATTAGTTGTAACGAAGGAAGCCGAGTGCAATACCGAAGTATCAATCGGTGCAGGCTTTTTCAGCTTTGTGCGTCGTAGTGCAGGACGACGTGCGGTCGGGTTGGCAAGACTTATCTCCAATACACGATCAAAGTAAGGCGCCGAAGAACCAGGGGTGGGAGTAGCTTGGGTTGAATTTCCAGAAGCAAGCGCACTCTTGTGTGACTGGACCATGTCTGTAGGATCTACACGTCTATTTTTTCCTGCACTATTGCAAGGTGGGGTCACAATCGAGGTATTTTGAGTGGGGATAAGCAAGGGTTCTATTACTTGTCCCAAATATGGGGGAGGATTAGGAGGACAAGAAACAAGAGTTGCAGAGCCTTTGTTTAAATGAGACAAGTAATTGCCTGTTGTTTTATAAAGATATAATGTATCGTTAGAATGAATCGTGTAAATATTATAGTGGTGTGCAATGCATCAACGGGGTATTGCTTAAACATTTAATTTTAAAGCAAGATGATATTCAAGTGCAACAAACAGTATGGTGCCACATCAGCAATTAATAGATCTGACTAGTCACCATAAACGCGAAGTTTCAAGTCGAGACTAGTAGTGACCAAACCAGCATTCATAAAATTACAAACTGAGTTGTTTTAAACAGTATAGATAGTATACAAGTAGTAACATTATGCCCACTATGGCAACACATTGCTCAACCTTGTATTGGTAAAATTAACAAGTCTATCAGTGTATCAGGTGAAACCCAATGTTGACTTTTACTCCACACTATCATCAGGTCTATATATTTATATCCAACCCAGTGTATCCAATAGTCATAGCAAAGCATAGTAGTCATCACGGTTGAATAGAGCTGTCTGGCTAGTTATTAAAGCGATATGACTTACCGACCGTGTCAGCTTGGTTTTCACGTCGTGATTGATGCTGGTCTTGAGTGCTGTTGCTTCGAGCCACATTTTTCCCAGTAAGATGACTCAATGAAGTATTGGTTTCCGAGGTACCAGTTTCAAAGCGAGTCTGCTGCATCAACTGTTGAAGTTGACCATGGGACAACGAGCTCGAGTGCAAGGTTTCAATAACGTTGTTATTGACCGAGCCTGAAATGGAGTTTTGGGAATGACCATCAGCGCGCAAAACCGCGTGCGACATGGAATTACTAGCAGTGTTGCATGTAGCATTGGCGTTATTCACTAGTTGGGTGTTGGCAGCTTGGCCACTCGGGCCATTAAATTCAAAAGCCATGGTGTAGTCTACTGACATTTGCGGCATATTATATTGTTGAGGTTGACCATTTTGGCCCGTGTGATGACCATGGCCGCGCAAATGATGTTGTATCTGATGACTATTCTGGGAATTTAAGTTCATGTATGATGCCTGATTATGTTCAAAACCATTAGAAATAAATTGACTATTAGGAGCAAAAAGATGCGTGCCTAGTGGCTTTTCACCAGATAACTGCTCCAATTGAGGTTGGAGGTGGGTTGGGATTTGGACAAGACTAGAAAGCATAGACGCATTATCCTTTGGGCTTGAGTTAGAGAAGCATTCTGTCTGACCCAACATAACAAGGTGGCTAGAAGATAGTAAGTTGGAAAAGAAAGTAAAAGTAGTGAGATGTGATGGAAAGAACAAAAGGGGCAGTAATGACAGGGTAGAGGTAGAATCAATGATAAACGCGAAGCGATAATAGTGAAAGCGACCAGACCGTGACAAATGGATAAAATGATTACAGGAGAGTTTTGGTTAGAATGGGTGGGTGAAAGCAGGAATTTGATATAGCGATAACAGCACAAAAATGATAAACTGACGAGAATTGCATGCGTGTGATAAGGGGGCTGGGATTGTAACACGAGTGGTATCGGGCGGATATTGTACAAATTGCGGCGACGCAAACTGCAAATGTATATTTGAAGATATGATTGACAGTCGGGGGGATTGGTGGTTACAAAACAATTTGAAACGCCTAATAGAGTGAAGGGTCATCATGATTTTCTACGAGTGGAAACAAATATCAAAAGGTGGAATGGGTGGTTACCCTTCAAATATCTGTGACTACTGTCAGTTCAAGTGCAGTCATCAGACCACCATTCGGGTAGCTGATGCTGAGTATTCCAACAAGTGTCATGGATGTTGTAGCTGGATATCAGGATAGTCACTATAAACATTGAATATGCGCACTATATAACTTGTGTAGATTCAAAAACTTTCGAGGTATATCCAGCTTCAACTCGTTACCAAAATATACTGGCATGAATGCCTTTCTTGAAATTAGAGTTGTAAATATAAAAAGTCGAACGGTATATAGAAAGCCAAATGCTTGGTTAAGCCATCCATTCGACTAAATGGTCCATGCGTTACCAAACTATTCAATATGCATGATTCTACTTGATGGTAATGCAACGAAGCCGAAAAGGTATGTAAAGCATCACACAAGAAAATGAGATGCCAAAGCAATAGTCCGATCTTCGGCTGTATGCAATTGACTGTGGCAATGCCAAGAGTACCAATGAGCGTTACACTAGATTAATGGCATTACTGCATCCGAAAAAATGACATAATTGGGTTTAGCATTTGGAGTGGGTTGATGCAGGATCTGGTATACTGAGCACCTTTGATCCGCTGATCTGTAGCCTGAAAATCACACTATGCTGTGATGGATATGAAGCGGATATACTGCAGGCTGAGTTCGCAGACGAACCATGGAGCCAATGGCACTGAAATACCAGATAATGCAAGTGATACCTTGAATATTTTGAGTTATTACAATGTATACACAAGATACAGTACATGTTTAAACAGGTCTAGCTAATGCAACTAGATTTTAAACTTTGCATTCAAAAGAATGCAGTCAATGTCAGACCAAGTCTTTCTACCAAGCCATTACACTCTTAAACAAGTCTTGAATTTTAATCTATACGAGTATCTTGGAATGCTAATGGTGCTATGTAGAAGCCTAGTGTTATGAGATGTGGTAATGGCCATCCATCAAATTCATAAATTGCACTTTACTTGGGTTACATGTCTGTTCACAATATAGCATTTATCCACCAGATATCACAGCCGTATCCATATAGAATAAAGCACTTGATAAGGATGCCAAGTTACATAATAAACAGCCAATCTCATGACATGGTAATATCACCGAATTACTGCTCAATATTGTTCCTTGAACTCTTTAGTTGACTGATCTTTTCTGGTGATTGGCATGTAGAGTTGCATTCCTGAGATGTGCAATCCATGTTTTCTTGGACTAGTAGGCAAAAACATCCGAGATTATGGCACAGCAAAAATAAGTTGTATTGAGAACAGCCATCCAATGTCTGGATTGCAATGGATGAATCTGGCGATCTTGGTGTATGACTACCAAACTCGTACAATCTCAGTCCAAAACTATAGCTCAATCCTGCCTGAAACAATGCTTGAGAATGTTGATCTGTGGTAGGAATGGTAACGGATATTTAGCCATTGTTTATTTTGAAGCATAGGCAAGCACTACAAGATGAATACAGAATTGTTCCATCTGTGAATACGACAGATTGAGTCTGAAACGAGGCGGATTTACTCAAGTCCGGCCTTGAGGGATCGTATATTGGTAACACAGCTCAGTGGGTGCTGCTTCCACTAGAACAAGTACTTTGCTGATCCTATACCAAGTAGTAGAACTAGACAACACGGAATAATAGTAAATGTAGCCGAGTACGAGTAAATTCAAGTTGCTGAACCCCAAGGATTGATGGTCAGATGGATTGCTGAGGAATTGTGATTCTACGGGTAAGTTGTGCCACTAGTGCCATTGAGAAGCAGCTTGAAATAGGACAAGTCGCTCAGTTTCTTTGGCATTTCAACTCTAGTCACTCTTATCAACTGTGGCATTTGTAGCTGCAATTGCATAGTTATGAGTACTTTCAAACAGGTTGGTGTTGCCAAGGTTGATTTCATGTGTAAACTATGGTCGAATGCGCTTTGAATTGATGCTGTTCAGTGTTGTGGCATTTGATACTGTCATACATTCGTTGCGCTATATATTTGTTCCAGTAGCATCGTTGATGATGATTGTCGCCTTTGTAATGTGGCTTTTATAATCGCTGTTCTAATCCACTCCTATGTTCCAAATGTAACAGGATGCGCATAATCAGCAGATACTAGCAGACCTGCTCCGTCAAGAAGTCAATAAGGTATGTAATAGATTTAATATGGCTTGGATACTCGGGATAAGTTTGCAATGCTTTATAGAGTAGATACAATGCTTTCCATGCCATTTGATGCATGAAAATGTTGGTTCTTGTCTGCCTTGACCGAAATGTCGTCTCATATTTTTAACCATCCAATAATTTATCCTAATTCTACTCTAGCGATGTTTCGACTGTTTAGCCAAGGTAATCTATGTTGGCATATTCTCACCCAGTAAATCCAATACTCTATTGCAAAGCTAACATGGCCGTATTATCATAACCTCGTGTCTAATAGTTTCCTACGTGTGTCAATGTAACAGCGTTTACCTTTGTATGCATGTCTTGCGCTGGTCTTCTCCGTGAAATCAAACATCGTATCAAATCAATATCTGCCTCTATATTCACACTAGAAGAAATGGACGCAATTCAAGGTGGAAATAGTGTGAGTTGCACTTGAAACTGCTTGCATGAATTCACGCTTGTTTTCATTACCAACTCGGGTTTAATCTTTTTAAATTATCATGATTCTGCATCGCCCATTGTTGAATACAGGCTGCACAAAAGGTTTGGCTTGGAAAATGGTGCGATATAACCAACATGGCGCCGGATGGTCAAAGCCCAGAAAGTATGCGCGTGTTTATGGATATAAAGTATATTCAAAAACGATATTACATTTCTCCGTGTGATACTCCTTCAAAGTTTTCAGCAGTAAGTTGTAGTTTATTTTTTTACCAGAATACACTAAATGGATACATTAAAAGCGATTCAACTCTGATTTATTGTAATTAGTTGTGCTGTATGGATCAAAAAATCACTGCCAGGATGTTATCATCTCTTGAAACACAATCGCAGTTAGAACCTTTGCCGCCAGTATCAAATTTGCAAACCGAATCCAGCAACAAATTTGATTTACTTACTTCTTCATCAGCTGGACAGCACTTATTTGATCAAGCAGTGCCATCTAAACTTGCTATTCAGTCGGGAGTAAAACAAGCCTCTTCACTTGTAAATGATGATTTTGGGGATTTTCAGTCGTCGTCTACGTCCAGTGCACCAGAGGCTCTTCAGCCGTCTTTTGCTACTTTTCCACCATCTTCTTCAGCCTCAGCACAGTCTACAGCTCAAAACTATTATTCCCCATTGCGAGATTTAGCCAACGCGACTGCTAGTTCACATGCTACAGAGTGGAGTGATTTTATTACAGATTACCAGTCCGTTGCCAAGCCATCTGATGCAGTCTTTTCAGCCGTTACCCAACACCAGAGTGCATTCATCCTACCAGCCTCTACAGCACAAGCGCCTTTGGCCACAGAAATGTTTACAAGATTTTCGCAGCATAATGGAACACAACTTTCAGAGCTTTCTACACTTTCGCTTCAACCCACTCATCATTTTGATACAGTCAAATCGGCATCAGGAACGCATTGGGTATCACTCACTCCAACTGGAACTCAGCATATAGCGACCAACTTTTCCAATGCAAATGCCTTGACTAGCGCATTTGGCAAACATCACTCACTTGTTTCTCCAGTTTTGTCCAACTCAGATTCATTAGCACACACACCTCCAGTTACACCAGACGAACAGACGATTGGCACCAAAGATGCATTCAGCGATCTACTGGGTTCCTTGATGTCCACCATGCCTGTGACTCCAAAACAGTCGACTGCTTCTATTCGCAATACCTCTGCTAGTTTGATCTAGTTGAACTCATCAACTTTCTGATGTATACATATCAAATCCTCGTGTCTGTAGTGTGTAACTATAAACCAAAAGATTTGCAAAATAACTCTTGTGAATTCAACACCCATTAAAAATTGTTACCCTGTCTACTGATTTGTCCAATTCAGTTCACAACACATGTTGAGGCTCTTAATCTAATCAAATATTATTTGAATCTAGACAGTATATAAATCAGGTATTGATTAAACACTCAACATTGGCATTTTTATACTTTGATCTTAATTACGGTCGAGTCCATATTATATCAAGTGCGTATCTAGTTTAGAGTTCCCCATTGCACAACACATTTGTCCTTGTCACTTGCAGAATACACTGCACTTCCGCCTTGAGGATGCCATACTACTCCGCATACAGCGGACTTGTGCTCCTTATTAGATTGGACCATTTTCTTGGACGCTATATCCCAGAAAAACACAGTGCCATCTGCAGAGCCAGATGATATAAATGATCCATCCGGGCTAAAACAAGACCGTGCCCAGTTCATGCCTACCCTATAGTAACCATCGCTTGAATGATTAAAATGTAAAAATGAGCAGGTGATATATTAGTCCACACGGAATTGATTGTGCAATCAAAACAAAGCATGCATACAGGAGCAAGTCCTAAAACATAAGCTATATAAACGAATGACTTACGCATAGGTGGCTATAGGAGTGTAGGTTCGCACATCAAGTAATTGCAGAGTATGGTCGCGCGATGTAGTTAAAAATTGGTGTTGGTCTAAAAAGAAATAATAAGTAGTGCGAATTTGGAAAATATGAAACGTGTCGGTTAAACTCTATCTGCCAATATAATAGTAGTAAATATAACAGCTCTATGAACATTTAAAATAAAACATACTTGGGGATACTTCTACACTCGTAACCTGTCCAGAATGGATGCCTGTAATCTCTCGAATGTTATTTCCTGTTCGTGCATCCCAGATTCGCACATTGTTATCTAGATGCCCACTGATAATTATTTGACTGGTTGAAAAATAACTCGTGGTCAGTATTTTCAAGTATCGCAGAAGCAGAATGATCATGAAATCTAAACCATAGGTTGAATTTGAAACAAAATATGCCAATGTGTAGAGAAATACAATCCCACTTGCTTTAAAAACATTTGAAATGGTTGTATATTTTACATACCCTTCACTATCTAGCAGAGCAAGATCGTTACAGCTTGATAATGTAAACAGCGTTCTAATACCTATTCCATAATCCAGCCGTTTCATTAGTCTTTGACGGCGTACAAAACAGCCACAAACAAGGCAATGCAGAGATATAGCATTAAGAAACTCACTGTATCCTTTAACCAAGTCCCAAATTTTTATAGATCTATCGTGAGATCCAGATACAATCCGATTACTATTGGTAAATCTGGCAGCACAGACTTTTCCAGAATGCCCCGTAAATGTAATCTATTGATGATTACATTTCGTTAGGTCTCTGATTTCAAGTGACTGAATGTATAAGGTGAATGTATTCACCACAGCTCTATAGTAAATGCAAGGACACAACAGCTATAGAATAACCAAATACCTTTGAGCGAAAAGTCAAAGTATTCCATACTTTGATTGAATGATCAATAGATGTAGAAAGTACAGAATCACCAGAGCCGTTAAATGCCACGCATGTAATAGACTGTCCAGCCGTGTCAATGATTGCTTTTTGAGAACCTTTCAAATCATTCATCCGCATTAGTTGGAGTTACAAACGATATCTAACAATAAAATGAATCACCAGTAAAGATTCAAGCAGCCAATTACATGTATTTCCATTAAATAAAATAAGCTTTCGATCATTTCCTCCAGTAGCAAGTAAACCGCCATCTCGGCTTATAGCAATACAGCTAATTTCTCCATCATGAGCAGTCTATATTTTTGATATTAGAGCAGTGTAGCGATCTAAAATCAAGTATCAAAAACATTGTAATAACAAATTTACCATTTTTCGAACTCCAGTGGTGGGTACGACGCATTGTAGCGCAGAGGTTTCGGGATAGATCTTTTCAGGTTTATCCAAGACGGTGTCTGATGGTAGCAAGAATAAAGGGAATCCTAAAAAAGGCTCTTTGCGCTTTGTCGACACTTTGTTTTTCAATGCCCTAAGTTGATCAAAGTAGTACACAGTTACAAGTTTTAATCTTACAATTCTGCGATTGAAGCTACAAAATAAAATAGTGGCTAATTTTGGCATGAATTTCACTTGCGCTTCCATAATTTCGTTGGCTTCGTTCATATGAGAAGCTTCTTTTTGTTTTAGCATAATCCATCGCTCAAGAAGTGTTTTGTTATCTGCTTCAAGCTCAGCAACACGCTTTGTCTTTACATTCAGCTGCTCTTCCCGCTGGATCAATTCAAGCTGGTGAGCCGAAAGTTCATCTCTTAGAATCTATGGAATACAATATTAATTCTAGTCAATACTTTTTGGTACTCAAATGGGAGTTGAATGAGTATAGACTCGATTCTTCTAACATACCTGAATCACATGATCTTTTTCCTTGATGAGATCCTGATTATCAGAGAGTTTTGTTGTTAAAACTCTATTGAGGTTTAATAGTTGATCAACTCTAAAATCCGTATAGACATACGATTGGTTACCAAATTGTAAGGCTCATCTCGAATAGCAAGAGTGGGCAGTGATTACCTCTCAGTCATTGACTTGATCAATTCTTTATCAACATGGCTGGCATCCATCAAATTAAGGACACGCTGGGCACTTCCTGCATTTGTTTTGTATAAATCTGTTTGCTCTTCCTTGAGTTGCTTGACCTCTTGATCCAGATTTGCAAGACGTGCAAGTGTATCTGGATTTCTGATTAAACCAGAATAAAAGCAAGTTTAAAGCAATTAGTTGACTTGGCTTTTGATGAGCCTTGAATAGCAAGTATTGGTTGTGTATCATAACGAATTAATCCAATTCACTTGCCCATTTTGCCTAGCCTCAGCGAGCTGCTGCGTTGTATCAGAGAGTTCTGCACGCAATAATGACAGCTGAGACTGTATGTTCAATATTTCTGCAGACCGATGTTCCGCAATCATCACAGCATCGTTGTCTATATAATCGGTAGAATGCAAGTGAATAAAAGTTGAATTAAACTAATTATCACAGGTTTAGCAGCACATGCTTGAAAGTAGATGAGCCATTCAATGCATGACATGGACTGCCAAGTTCATTATGCAGTCATCAGACCAAGACGTACATGCTTGAAAGAGTGACACAAATGGAGTTTGTTCCCTAGCATCTCGAATGTCCAAAAGAGCAGTCCAGGTTGCAGCCCATTGATGGTCAAGTGTGTTTGGATTGTTGTGATGATCAGCACTTGACTGATTTTCAAGTTTAGTTATTACGGGACTGGCAACGACTGCCGACATATATGGCTGGACAACTGCCTTGAAGGAATTAGACTATCAGTTTTGAAGAGCAACTTTGCACTTGTCCAAAAATTCACGATTATTTCTGTTGAATTGAGTTTCACTGTTAATAGTGTGTTTGTCAGTGTTGATTGCAGTTGAATCCACAAAACATGTTATTTCTGCATTAGTCTTTCAATTGGAATTCTGTATTCAATAAACACAATTTCATATTACAATAGTTTTAAAATTCTGTGTTTTCTAGGCTTTCTTGTATTCCAAATCTCATATGTTCGCGTTCTGGTTCAAGAACAAAGATTACAGTCTCTGGATGATTGCTGTTTACTTGTAATGTTCAGTTTGTAAGAATGGTTGATGACTGAACATGAGATTGACTGCAATTCTAGTGTCAATGTTGAGTTTTTATACAAGATAAACACGGAGACCAATGAAAGAGTTCAAGGAACAATATTTTAGTAAATATAATGACAATTCCATGAAACTGGATTAGTGTGTTTGGCACTCTTAGTGATCCGTTTTACATGAATACGACTGGTTTAACCTCGATACAAACAGCCTGAGGATCACAACCCTAACTAAAAAGTGATGCCTTGACTGGGTCTTCACCTCTTTTTCACCCTTAAATCTTACTGTCGGTATGTACACTGACTGGATTTTAAAGTGCTTTTGATGTTGCCTGCTGACTGTTGATCTTGCAATTCAAACACTTTTTGTTTAGTCTGTCATGTTACCTTCCATTCTCCTTGCCCGGTCGTCGGCCATTGCTGGACGCACTGTTGGCCATTCTGTCGCAATGATCTCTCTTTCTACCTCATCACGTGCTCTTACTGCACGCCTTGCTGTTGCTGCCACTTGCAACAGTCTGCATGCTCGCACATTCCTGTCTGTCGCACGGCCTGCCATTGCTGCTACCACTTTCCGCAGGTATGCTATTTTGCTGTTTGTTTGGTATTGGTTGAATTTTGCGCTGTTTTGAGGAAATGTGAGTTGGCATGTCCTTTAAACATATTAAACCAACTTTTTGTGCAATGCGCATATCAATCGTTGAAATCTTGATTTGGGTTGAATCCTACAACTAGATCTATATTAATCTATTTTATACAATCTATTTTTTGCAATCTCCCATGTAATCTTTTCATTCGTATCCAACTTTGACGACATCTATGATCATTCACGTGTAAACAACTGATCTCAGTGATATCGTCACACCGTCCATGTTTCAAATGCGCCTCATGTGTAAGTATTATCCTGTATTGATTACCTAATGTCATGCAGTCATTTGCCTTGACTCTGACTGTACTCTTGTCTGCATCATTCATTGCTGCTACCCAGTAGCCACTTGTTTTTTAAATGTCAAAGATCTAATGTTCAAATCAATATCCATTACTTTTTAATTAGCTGATAAAACCGTCAAGACTCCATCAATGGGTGACTCGATCACGGAAGGAACTCTGACTCAATGGCACAAAAGTAAGCTGAGATATTTGATCTGGATCTACTCACTAGTACTCTACTCATTGCTATTTTAAATGCTTTATGGTATGCAGAGGTTGGCGACTATGTTTCTCGCGATGAACAGGTTGCTACCATTGAAACTGACAAGGTATTGCATATGCATTTGGCGGCTGTCTGATTTGACAAGATACTTTGTGATTTAGCTTGATTTTTTAACCTTTTTATTTTTGATAGATTGACATTCAAGTCAATTCTCCCGACTCTGGAAAAATCACCGAGTTATGTTCTAATGAGGGCGACACTGTTGCTGTCGGAGGAAATCTATTTAAGCTCGAACTTGGCGAAGTTCCGGCTGGTGCTGCTGCTCCTTCAACACCAGAGCCCCCCAAGGCACCAGCTGCTGCGCCAAAGGCTGCAGTCAGTGCACCTGCTCCGCCTCCTAAAGCACCAGCCTTTTCTCCTGCTACTCCACCCAAGGCTGCAGTCAATACACCTGCTCCATCCAAGGCTGCAGTCAATACACCTGCTCCATCCAAGGCTGCAAGTCCAGCTGCTGCTCCGATTGCTGCTACTGATGATTTCCCAGGATACGCGCCAGGTGTTCGCACTGAGCGTCGCGTAAGTCTTATAACGCTATTGACTTGTTAGTGCTGTTCATTAACACTGCTTGATGTAACCTTTATGATATAGGTCAAGGTCAACCGCATGCGTTCTCGAATTGCTGAACGTCTCAAGGAATCACAAAACACTGCTGCTTCTCTTACCCAATTCAATGAGATCGATATGTCTAGCCTTATGGAGCTTAGATCAAAATATAAGGATCAGGTGTTGGAAAAGCACGGTGTCAAGTTTGGATTTATGGGAGCCTTTGTCAAAGCCTGCGTCCAGGCTTTGCAGGCTGTTCCTGCTGTTAATGCACGTATGGAAAATGATGAAATTGTCTACAATGACTTTGTAGATGTGAGTATTGCCGTTGCCACGCCAAAAGGTCTCGTCACTCCTGTTGTCCGTAACTGCGAGTCTCTGTCAATGGTCCAAGTTGAACAGTCGATAGCTGGACTCGGCAAAAAGGTACTGTTTAATTAACATGCATGATTTGATGTAGACTTTGAGCCTGCTCATTTTCCACCTGTTGATATCTGTGTTTTAACGCTCATTTGAATTCTGTAGGCTCGCGATGGCTTGTTGTCTCTTGAAGACATGGTTGGCGGTACTTTTACCATTTCCAATGGCGGTGTTTTCGGATCGATGATGGGCACTCCTATTATTAACCAGCCACAATCTGCTATTTTCGGCATGCACGCCGTCAAGGATCGTGCTGTTGTTGTCAATGGACAGGTGCGATCGTCATTTAACCCATGCTTTTGGCTGCTAGTGCAGCTCATTACTGATTGACAATTGAATTCATGACATGGCTAATGGGTTGACTCTTTCTATATATTGTATTTTTTGTATTCATCTAGGTTGTTGTTCGTCCAATGATGTATATTGCACTTACTTATGATCATCGTCTTATCGACGGTCGTGAGGCTACTACATTCCTTGTTAAAGTCAAGGAGGCCATTGAGGATCCCCGTCGCCTCCTTCTTGATGTCTAATCTCATCAGTGGATCATGACGATCTTTTACATCCACGTTTCATTTTTCACTCGAGTCTATCCCTCTTCAAATACATGATCCTCTACTTTTTGACTTGATACTTTTATCTTGAGTTGTAGAGTGGTTTGGCTTGAGAAACGAAGCTGTGAATATCCAAAGTGGATAGTAAACCATCACGTGTGAGCCCATGCAACCTAAAATTCAAAATACCCGAGTTTGCTTCAAGTTCAGATGGGTTTACTAACCAAAGTCAAGCGGAATGCTCTTGCTCTCGATCAGACAGAACCTCATCCCATGGTCCACGTAGGCCCACCAGCACCACTTGGCAACCACAGCTCTCCACATTTCAACATCAGCCACATCACAGAGAAGCTTCAAACCATTATTTACGAAAACCGTCTTGATTACTTTTACAACCCAACCCGTCTACAAGCTCTTATTGCCAAACTGACCACAATTGACTTCCTAACCCTATCCCAACAGTGGAATATATCTCAAAGTCTTGTTCCTGATTTATGCTCTTTGGCGCTCTACGACATTGTTTTTTATGTAGACGACTCGGGGTCCATGGTGTTTGAGGAAAACGGGGAACGAATTGACGACCTCAAGTTTATTCTGGGCAAGGCAGCTCAAGTGGCCACTTTATTTGACGATGACGGAGTGCAAATACGATTCATGAATAGTGATGTGTATGGAGAGGGTATAAGGACAGCTGAGCATGTACAAAACTTGGTTCAAAGTATTCGGTTTTCAGGAATGACTCCTTTGGGCACGTTTTTCAAAGCCAAAGTGCTGGATCCTATTGTGGTGGGTCCGGCCATGTCAGGATCATTGAGCAAGCCCGTTCTTGCAGTGATTGTTACGGATGGAGAACCTACCAGAGAGCCTCACGATACGCTACGAACAGTGATTACTGAAGCGAAGCAGCAGTTGGGACTCACGCCTGGCGGAACAGGATCTTTGGCTATTCAGATTGGACAGGTTGGGACGGATCTCCGCGCACAAATGTTTTTAGCCGAGCTGGACAACGATCCAGTTATAGGAAATATGATTGATTGTACATCAAACTACGAAATGGAGTCTGCAGAAATTGCCTCGCATGGGCATGAGCTGAGTCCAGAGTTGTGGCTGTTGAAACTGTGTGTGGGTGCGATTGATCGAAGCTATGATGATGCAGACTAGAACTTGGTTTAATGAATACGTAGTAACTATAAAATAGATGCTTTTTATTATCCAGTTGGTGTTGCTTCCAAATTCTATTGTAGATGTGTGGATTAAAGTGCAAGTCGCATTTGACAACTCAAGTCACGTGAAAATTTGACTCGAATGGAAAGAAAGTTGACATTACAACTATTGCCAACCAGCTGGCTAATAGTAAGTCTATGCAACAGTTGTTTGAAGCTCACAGTTGATATTGCAGTAAAACTGTTGATTCAGTTTAGTTTTTTCCTGATTTGATTCAACGCAATCATCACCACTACTGGAAAGAGCTGATGGCTTTTGATCTCGAATGCTAATTGTTTTAAATTCTCTAGTTGAAAGTTCAAGAACAAACGGATGGGCATTCCACACACCCTCAAAGTACTTCGACTTGGCAGAGATGTTGCTAAAAATGGTCCGCTAGCAGATCCAAAACGGCTTGGATCCATTCCCTTTAGTATACGTCAGCACAAGCGTATCATTCCCACTCTCCTCCACGACAAAAAAATTACATTTGGAGAGCAGGTGTCCGAGGCAGGCAAGAACCGATCTCGCAGAGTATGGTACCCCAATGTTCAATACATCTCACTATATTCTAGAGCACTAGACATGAATATATGGACAAGAATCAGCACTGCAGCATTGAGGGAAATAGACCATAAGGGTGGATTTGATGAGTACATTATCAGTGTTGCAGATAAGCTGTTGCCGTGTGAGATTGCAAAAATGTATCGGGATCGTATCTTGAAGCAGTATGACGCTAATACTCAAGGAACCATGGCTGGCCATCGTAATAGCATGCTAGAGATGCTAGGAAAAGTATATGGCGAGGATTACACGAGGTAAATGAGTTGTTTTAGATTCAAATCAAGAGTGGATTTTGTCGACCTTGCCAGATTTATTTGGTTATGCAAACATGGATTAAATGTAAAGCAGACATTGGCTAACCAAGACCTATATTTGTCATGGTTTAAATGCAATAGAAAGCTTGAAGAGGCATTTACTGAACAGGATTATCAACTCAACAGGAGATACGGCCAGCAGTTGGATAAATAACACGGCCAGCTATGTTGAGCTTCGAGTGGCAGTAATACAACACATTCTTGCATCGAATGCCATATGTGGTTTCCCCAAGTAATCCATCAATAAATTGCACTACCACTCAGTAAGAGAATGGCACACACTTTATTGAGTTTTTTCGAGTGTGGAGTGGCCCACATCTGAATTATAATTAGTGGCCATTGCTTATCGTTGGTGATCCTGACCAGATGTTCGTGCAATTTGACTGCCAACCTGCTTGTAATACAGCTTGCCACATCCATGGCATAACTGGGTTTGAAACAGATGCGGTATCCTGGGGTAGTAATTGAATAATTAACCAAGTTTGTCGTTGCTGCTACCTTTCCATTCTGTTGGTTCTAATTTGAAAAGGTTAATTGAACCATCTTGGCAGCTACTGACTTTACTAAATCGACTATTGAAGAATTGCCAATCTATTCAAAAGTAGTCAACAACCAGACGACTACTATTCGACACTTTGAATTCTGAACCATCATTTTTTCCCTTTTACTTGATATTTTAATAGCTTAAAACAGAATCATGGCGACCACTACAACCATTGAGCTTATGATACCGCCTATACCACAAACTCCTGAGCCTACACAGCCAGGAACAGCCATTCGACTTTCATTACGAGATCAGAATCCTGCACTTTGGGAACCATCGGAGAGATTAAACTATCGATATCGCCAACAACAGCAAAGCGAAGCAGCGATGGGTCCAGATGAACGAACTCCTCGTGCACTTCATTTTCCACAGCGACCATACCAAAATCAACGATCACCACGCCTTGATGGTTTACAAACAGCAGGTATACGATCCCATACACCAGTAATGATAAATGTGTCAACGCAAACGGCCATACGACCCAGTGGAGAATATTACCATGGCTATTACATCAATGCCCATGATGGCGGACCCAGCGAGTATTTGAAATACACATATGGGCTAACTCAGGCTGAGATACGTCAAGCAAGAGAGCCCAAGCTTATCGGCACGACACCCTGGGTATGGCAATTGGAGGAAGTTTCGCTTGATGCTTTAGATCGACGAAAGCAGTTTTTGGCAGATAATCCAACCGAAGGGTATGTGGCACGTACGCCAGTGTATTCACCCTATGCGGAGGATGCACGATTGATGTGGAATCGATGTACTTTGGGACTGGCTCCAAAACAGTCACATTCTGAGCTCGTGGCAGAAGCACTGAATATTGAGCTAAGCAAGGCTTCTGGAACCTGGGCTGAATCTAAAGATGTATTCCGGAAGAACAAGACAACAGGACGTATTCGAGGACCTTCAGCAGTACCCACAGGATCTGATCGAAGGTTTGTTTCATCAACGGATCCATTGCCACCAAAAAAAGTACCAAAGGCAGTAGTGCATTATCGACCTGTCGGGACTGCCTGTTCAAGAACTGTCGATGATATAATCAGACGTTCAGGTGTTGAAGACACGTTTGATATTGCACTGCGTAAACAGCTTCTAGCCAACTACAACAAAGCCGTGGAAGATGTTGATCCATTAATGTATCAAAAAGCAATACCCATCAAAGCTTATTATACAAGCTGCAAACCATCACTCGCTTGTGCACAACCCTTTCTCAAACACTCTGACAGAAATGTTCAGAAGTCAGCCACGATCGACTCTCCATCTGCAGTCTCGGGCCAGCTTAGTTGTGGAAAAAGGAAAGACGAGGAAATGCCAAGTCTGGAGCTGCATGCAGTGACCATACAGCAGACCGACACTCCAACAACACGTGGTGGAGTGACTGGTCCAAAGGCCGAATCAGCAGCAACAGAGTCTGTAATGAACACTGTTGTTGGAGCAAGTTCAACCCAACAACCGAAGCCGTTGAGTCTGTTCATGCTTTCCCATCCAGGTGTTTATTCCAAGAAACGAGCAGCAGCCATGATTCAGACTGCAGAAGAAATCAACCGCTTTGGGAGAGAGCTTGCAGAGGAAGTTGAGAGGGAAAAGTATGAGATTAGTCGATTGATGAAGCCAAGAGAAAGAGGTCGTCGACAGCCGTTGGCGGATCTGGTTGAAAGTCCATCCAAGCCAGTTCAGCCCTTGTCGTTACTGTGTCATGATCAAGACTGTCAGTTGCCGTCTTTGCACCAATCGATGCCAGATTCTATTTTAGCTTTGCCTACTGGCCCTGCTATCAATACCACTCAAGTCTCCACTTTAACTACCAATATTCTACTGCAAAGTGGTGGGTTGCTTTGCACTTTCTTGTGGGCTTTATTTCCACCACTGTATTCTAGCTGGGCTCATTGAATATTTATTTCAGATTCAAATAGGATGATTTCATCGACTCGCTTTACCACTATCGATTCAACTCGTACAGACTATCCATTGTCTGACAATGTTACACAAGTCTCTGACCTTCCACAAAAGCCAAAACCCTGTTCTGGCACTTCTGTATCCATATCACCTGCAGTAGCTATCCTTGTTACTGCTGCTCTAAACTCATACTTGCCAGATCACATTCCTCCCTCGACTCAATCCAAACAGACTATTGCGCAGCAACAGACTCTAGATAATACAACCAGAATTGATGATCGGAACTTGTTGCGTTCATATCATCGTCCACCCACTCTATTGTCCTTGCTTCCCACACTCCCAGAGTCTCACATATCTAAGAAATCGGATTGTGCATCTGCACAACAATCTGTCACTCCAACTGCTCGAGTCCATTTATTTTCTCGCGTAAATCCAACTGCCATCACATCAGACGCGACTGCTTCTGACATGGCTATTGGTCCATCAACACCCGATACTGGGTCTGCCAAGTTGGGTCGGAGATGCTATGAAAAATCATCACAAACCTCCCACTTTCAACATGTGTATCAGGACCAGCACAAGCAACCTATTTTAAAACATACTGTTTCCAAGACTTCTAATACTCGAGCATCTCATGCACATGTACCCCGCTGTCACGCAAGTGTTTCCAAGCAAGCCGTCCATTTTGGAAATGTGTATGTTGCCACCATTGTTCCATTTAATCAAAACTATCATGCCTTGGATGATAATGGATCATTGAACCACAACTCACCAAGTGTGGTTCCTTTGGATGATTACAAAATTGCGACTCAAAAAAATTTAAAAAACTCAAAAGTAGTTGTATCTCAAGAAACCAAAAAAGCTTGCGAGGCTCGGCTTAGAGCATCTTTCTTCACCAAATATTTTGTTGGTGGACCCGAAGTAGACACAATCACTCAAACCATGCTTGACACTCCATTGTCAAATGAAAGTAGTATGACGCGCACCGAGATCATGCATGCACACCTACAACGCTCACAGCCCGCACCCATTCAGATTCAATGGGGTGAAAGCGATGCTCGGCGTAAACTGCAAGAACATTATGTGCAGGCTACAAAAGAAAATCATCATGTCCAGGAGAAATTGGAAAGACAAAGACTGATTGCTGCTCAATTCCAATCTCCGCCTACTGCTCCGCTTCAACGCCCTATACAGCATACTACCAACAATTTGGCATCTGATACTGCTGCTATTCAAAATCTGCATCCCATGCTAAATGCTCAAAACAATCAACCTTTAAATGCTCCACTCTATGTCTATCGTAACGAACCTCTACAACATGTTGCTGATATCCCACAAGCTGTAGGAAATTCGACAATGAATATTCAGCAACCTCGTTCAGATGTAGCTCATCCTGATATGATGGGGAAAACTTGTGCTTATCATCCACCACCTATACTACAGCACAAACACCATCATAATCACGGTCAACACATTGATCAACATCAGAATCATTGCCCTGCTTTGCAATGGAGCTCTCTTGTTTCTCCCATGCAAGTTCTTTTTTCTAACCAAGACGTTCCATATATGTCTTCATCAAAAGGCAAGCGTCGTCAAGTCCTGCATCACCACGATACCCATTCAGCAAATTACTCACCCGTAAAAGTGGTGCGTGATGGCTTTGGTAACGCGGATAGACGCAATTCTGCTAGAAGCTATACTGTAGCCGATAGCATCAAGTGTCTTGCTGCAGCAATTATGGCCCAGGAACAAAACAAAAAAGCAAATTGCGATTTTTTTCGTTTGCCAACAAAATCTTCAATTTTGCATGTCGAGCACTATCAGAACATGCTGACTCCACGCGAAATCAACGACCGGTACTTTAATGGAAACTCGATCGAGTCTCAGTTTGAAGCTATGGGTGAATTCGATCCTCGTCTTAGATGCTCCAACAGCAACATCTCTCCTAATCAAAAGAACTTACCACGATGGTATACGGTTCCCGATTGCCAGGAAGAAATCGAATTCGAAGATGGTGAATTGGATGCATCGTCGGATATTAGTAGAGAGTTTATGGAAGTTGCAAGGGAGCCTGTTGTACAACCCATCACATTTAATTTACCGCTTAGACTTTTTAGTCTTGTGTTTCGTCGTCAATCTGTGGCAAATATTGAACGAAACTGGACTCACTGGAAGGTAGGTTGATTGATTTATCAAGTTGCATGTTGGTTGTTTTTATTTTCTGATTTTTAAATGCTCCATTTTGAACTGCTAGGATGACTGCTCTTCAAACAAATGCCATATGTGCTCAAGTAGATTCACGCTCTTTATTCGTAGACACCATTGCAGGATATGCGGTCACTTGTTCTGTAACACATGCACACTGTATCGTGCACCCGTCAATAAGAATGGAGGTTACGATCAATTAGGCGAGCAAGTTCGCGTCTGCAGTACATGCCATTCCAATCTTTGTCAAACAGATGGGGCGGAATAATCCAGAGCATCATTTTTATTACACATTTCTTTATTACTCATCCACTCCATAGCATTTCTCATCTCATTCCTTACTCATTATAAAAGGTTTAGCCTTTACCCATATTAAACAAAAATCATTATGTTTTTATCAACATGATTTCTATTGGGTTGGGTCAAAATGGGTTTGTGGTTAACCGTTGATTTCAATGTGTCAGGGTAGAGTTTACTTAATGAATGATATGAGCAAAGTCAATGCCAGTTTTGTGCTGCTTTGAATGGTTGCAGTTCAAACGAGGATAAAATCAGACTTGCCAACATAATCCATGCTTGATAGGCAACAGCATGCTAGACATCAATGCCATCAGCTGAATAAACCATTGATATCAAACTATCAAAATAATTCGACAAACCAAGTTGTAACGTGTACAACTATGTCAAACTCAGACTTGATCACACAACAAATGATTTTATTGGTTTGAGCAGCTAATCATATATTTCTAGTTTGGATATTTCATTTCTGCCTCTTTGAATCCAACAGCGGGGAACGAACGAGCAAAAGCAATGACATCTTCACGAAGTTTGGCAATCTCGGGATACGCTTCACCTGTTTCTCCAACTGTAGCCTTGAAATCACTGAGCTTTGTGCCTAGTAGAATCGGTTTGGATGGGCAAGGTTAATTGAGACATTTCAATTTGGGTTATATGGATACAAAGGTATCATGTACCTTGAATGGTGTTGCTAATGTCAACAGTGATTTTCACGGCACGATCAATCAATTCGGCAATGTTGGCAAAATCGGCCTCAACAAGTCCACGAGTGGTCATGGCAGGAGATCCAATACGAAGACCATGTGGCACAAGAGCACTTTTGTCACCTGGGATAGTGTTTTTGTTGGAGGCAATATTGACCAATTCCAAAATACGCTCAACCCGAGCTCCATCAGTTTTCTATCAAGGTATAACAATGTCGTGTAAATATGATCAATAAAATATAACATTATTCATCAGTGCACAAAAAGCAATTTTACCTTGCTGCGGAGATCAATTAAAAGTAAATGACTATCGGTTCCTCCAGAAACCATGCTGTACTCGCGCTTGCGAAGCTCTTCTTCAAGAATCTTGCAGTTCTTGAGAACCTGGGTTTGATATTCCTTGAATTCTGGAGAAGTTGCCTGTTTCAAAGCGACAGCAAGTGCAGTGATAGTGTGGTTGTGGGGACCGCCTTGGTGACCAGGAAAGACTGAAAAATTGATTGGATCTTCCAAGTTGTACTTGACCTCTGAAATACAGTAAACACGATAGTTTCAAGCCGCATCGTATGATTAGTGACGGGTTCTATTTCAAATAGCATAGTATCAACACAAATCAATTCAAAAAGTATAGCATATTGTTACCTTTGCCTTTCTTGTCAACACTACGAATGCCCTTACGGAAGAAAATCATAGCACCACGAGGTCCACGCAACGATTTATGAGTGGTTGTGGTGACAATATCCGAATGCTCAAATGGGGATGGAAGAACACCGGCAGCAACCATGCCACTGATGTGAGCCATATCAGACATTAAGTAAGCGTCAACGCTGTCGGAAATCTATCAAAAATATGATAGTCAATAAATAAGCATTTACAACAATATTACGTTTTGTTATATTGTTGTTTTTACAGCCGTACTCAATTAAAATGGGTCAAAACAATAGAGTCGGAATACAACTTTATGAAATGATAGTTTGTCAAATTTACTGGTTTGCTGATGATCAGCATGAAAGCAACAGTTACATTATTGATACGTGTAATCTCTGTTTTTTGAACTAGAGTGTATCTGTAATATTTAGAATACAACAAAGTGGAACTGTATTGACAATATCAAAACAATCAAACCCAATATATGGATTGAAATGTATAGATCTGTTTTAAATTTGTCAATCGTACAATCTATGGTTATGTCAAAAAAGTGGGATGATCTCAATTCAAAATTATAGTGTGCATCATATGATGGATGCTAGTTTGGAGGAATTGAGAATAACAGTTGAAGCAATGCAGTCAATTTCTAGTATGAATGAGGATGGATAGTCAATCATTGCATATTTCAAACAAGATAGTGACTGCAAGATGGACACAAGTGATTCATTTTACGTGAATAGGGCTGTAAATACCACAAATGAATGTCAACAAACCGATTTACCTTGCGCATACGAGCATAGTCCCAGTTACGGGGGTACGCGGAAGCGCCAGCAATAATGATCTTGGGACGATAAAGTATGGCAGTTTTTTCCAACGCATCAAAGTCAACAACACCAGTCTCCTCGTTAAGACGGTAAGGCAGAGTCTCAAAGTAAGTGGAAACAGCGGATATCTTTTTGGCAGGAGTTTGGTATCCATGTGACAAACTTGATCATCAAGATATTGATATTAGTCACTGAAATAGAAATTTATCCGAATATCGATACACTTTGAAACAATACACATCTACAATTATATTGAAACCCAAATGCAACTACTTACTGTCCACCATGAGGGAGATCCAAGCCCATGAGACGCTCGTGTGGTTTCATAAGTGCACTATACACGTAGAGGTTGGCAGGTGCGCCAGACAAGGACTGGACATTAACACCCCATTTTGCAGGATCAAGCTTGAAAGCTTCAAGAGCACGAGCTTGGCAAAGACGCTCAGCTCGATCAATAAATTCGTTGCCACCATAATAACGAGCACCAGGATATCCCTCCGAGTACTTGTTTTGCATGATGGATCCAAGAGCACCCATGACAGATGAAGAAGTAAAGTTCTATTATTTTAAAAATAAATCCAATTAAACAACCGCTATTTTAATTCAAACCAAACAATCTGCACACAAATTAACCAGCAAGCACCAAGTCAAATTACAGTAAATTTATAAATTTAACCTTGGAGCATAATTTCCCATTTCATCAAACCATATATACAGCCAACAAATGAGTAGATACATACCTCTGATGGGATCAGGCAAATACTGTCACGCTGGCGACGTTTTTCCAATTCGATCAAGTCAAACACATCTGGATCAACTTCGCTTAGGGGGCTAGAAAGAATCTAAAGATATTTAAATGCATTTATAGATCAGTATGGAGATCAATCAGATATTTGTGAATTCAAGGTTGTGATCCAAACTCAAATCGACAATATTTTCAGTGGTTTAATTTACAGCCGTACTCAATTAAAATGGGTCAAAACAATAAAGTCGGAATACAACTTTATGAAATGATAGTTTATCAAATTTACTGGTTTGCTGATGATCAGCATGAAAGCAACAGTTACATTATTGATACGTGTAATCTCTGTTTTTTGAACTAGAGTGTATCTGTAATATTTAGAATACAACAAAGTGGAACTGTATTGACAATATCAAAACAATCAAACCCAATATATGGATTGAAATGTGTGGATCTGTTTTAAATTTGTCAATCGTACAATCTATGGTTATGTCAAAAAAAGTGGGATGATCTCAATTCAAAATTATAGTGTGCATCATATGATGGATGCTAGTTTGGAGGAATTGAGAATAACAGTTGAAGCAATGCAGTCAATTTCTAGTATGAATGAGGATGGATAGTCAATCATTGCATATTTCAAACAAGATAGTGACTGCAAGATGGACAAAAGTACTCCATTTTACGTGAATAGGGCTGTAAATTAAATTGAAGCAATTCTTGTAACCACAACACTGGTGGATTTAATTCATATTGAAAAGCAACACACCTTGGGTAGAGTATGAACACCAGCAGCACGAGAGATGATTCTGGCACCACGAGCAGCACTAAGCGGAGCCTTGAGAGCAGAGCAAAGTGCAATGGACGATGACTTGAACATGAATGCAAAAAAGAATGTGAGGATTAGTCAGCCTTGAGCAGCTGTTCTGATTCAGTGAATTTTGATAACTTGAAATTCAAATCTATTCAAGCCACGTGACATTGCAGGAATTTACAAAGTTGAATGAGAATGCAGATGAAATGTTTATTTCAACCCAACTTCATTACGGTTTGAAACCATTGGTGATCGCTATACCAAACGAGTGACATTGTCCTACATTGAATCGAGAGGAGTAGAAAACTAACCGTGTCGACAGTCAGATTATTGTCATGGCACACAAGGCACGATCGATGTTCAAACCAATAATTTGCATAGAACCCAAAAGTGAGGTCGAGTTTTATACAAATATCTCATCGAAAGCATTACAGAGAATGGCGGTTGCTGAAATCTTTCATTCCTCCATTTTCATACCTTTTGCCACTAGTCGTAATTGGGTTATTTTATCTCAAAAGCATCTGCCCTTATCTTGCAGTATTAGTTCAGCAAGCTTCAAATGCCAAAGGATTCATCAGAGACTAAACCTTTGATTGACCTGTCACAGGAACAACAATGGGATATTATCAACAAAACTGGTATTCTTCACAAGGTCAAACCTGACCAAAAGGCTGCTGCCGGATCTACCACAAATAATGATACTGCTGGCCAAGGTGAAAGTCCATTCATGATTGCTGTTCTGATGAGCTTTCCCATGGTCATGTTTCATACCACTCTTGACTATATTGTACACCATCAGTATGGATTTCTACCCGACTTTACAATATCGCACGTTCTGTCTAGAGAACTGCCCATGTTTCCAGCTATAATTATGTTCATCTACTTCACTGGATTGTATAAACACATCAAGGCCGTTCAATGGTTGTTTGCTGTTTTAGCTCTGATTACTGGTAATCTTTTGATATACTACTCCACCGTTGACGAAACATTTGGTGCTATGCTCAAGGCACCTGGTCTATCGGTGATGTGGGTGTATCTAGTGATTCAAATGGACCTATTGCCGGCTTGCGTGAGTCTCCTTGGAAACGTACTGTATTTCCATCGAGATACAATCATATCGTTTATAGATCCAAATATGTTTACCAACTCCTTTAAACTTACAGCTGCATTCCCGTAAATGGAATAGTTGCATTTATCTATTTTGCTTCAGAATAAACTAGTTGAATATTCGTTACGCTTTTCTACTAGAAATCGACTTTAGACATTCTCAATTCGATAAACATAGCATCCATCATATGGTGCACACTATAATTTTGAATTGAGATCATCCCACTCTTTTTGACATAACCATAGATTGTACGATTGACAAATTTAAAACAGATCTACACATTTCAATCCATATATTGGGTTTGATTGTTTTGATATTGTCAATACAGTTCCACTTTGTTGTATTCTAAATATTACAGATACACTCTAGTTCAAAAAACAGAGATTACACGTATCAATAATGTAACTGTTGCTTTCATGCTGATCATCAGCAAACCAGTAAATTTGACAAACTATCATTTCATAAAGTTGTATTCCGACTCTATTGTTTTGACCCATTTTAATTGAGTACGGCTGTAAAAAGAATTTATAGTTTACTTGGAATATCAATAAATTTTCGAGTATAGATTTATTCACGCTGTTTCCACTCAATGGATAAAACTACTGCTTGTCCGATTCAATCTGTTCATGATGTTTAGACGTGGCCAATGGTTTTAAATTGGATGGTGGTTGTACATGTACACTAGGTCGGGGTGAAGCCAAAGATCGATCAGTATTGCCTTTTCCTGCTTTCACTCCTCCAGCGGCATTTCGTGGGGTTATAGATAAAGCATTCAGCGATCTAGTTTGCCCAGCTGAGGATAGTGTATTTGATCCATCTTGTGGTGTTGTGTTTGAGGGTAAAACTGCAGCATACCTTCCTTTACGCACAGCCGCTAGTCCGACACGAGCACGTTCAAGTTCTTTCTCCATACGCAAAATATTCATCTGTGCCTCCATTTCAAGTACTTTGGATTTTGTTGGCGAAATAAACAATTCGGCATCTACTGCAGACATATCATTGTCTTGAATCGTATTATTGCCTTTTGCTGCCTCGACAAGTTGTTCAGTAGCATCTGTCACTGCCTTGCCTGCTGCCCGCAAACGAATCTGCGTTTGCGAACTGGAATCAGATCGTACTGCTGCTGCAGTAAGAAGTTGCACAGTAAATGAAGAAACGTTTCTAGCGCATACAATCACTCGATCATGCTGTGCCGATCCCTTGACTACCTCGTTTGCAGCTTCGCAAAGTTCACTAGTGGATGCAGCGACTTGCTTGGCAGCTGAAACAAGTCCATCATTCCACGTGCCATCTGAATGATACATGGCATCAGTCTTTCCTGCCCGACCCTTTGCTATAATTTCGCGCTGAGCTCCTGTGGCAGATCTTATCAATGCTGATGTGGCAGCAGCAATCGCTTTTGCTGCTTCAAATATCTGCTCATCAAACTTGAGTTCATCATTTGCCTTGCGAGGACCTTCAGCAGGTTTAAACTCGGCAAGCCGTTTAGCGGCCTGTTCAATTGCAATGGCTGCAGACAATAATTTGCGTTCTGCAATAACGTTGGGATCGTTTGGATCAACATATCCGCCTGGCATGAGTTTTCCCGCAGCAGAAACTACCTCTGTCACGGCAGTAGTCACATTCTTGGCACTGGTTTGCAGTTGCATTTTTGCATCTGCGGTGCTTCCAGCATGAATGGTCTTGACACACACTATAAGATCTTTACAAGTGTTTCCAGCATGAGTAATTGCCTTTGCAATTTCAATTTTGTTTTCTTCAGGTGCTCGATCGGTAGCAGCTTTGCCAGCTCTTGCTAGCTCGTTTATAACCTTACCAAGATTGCCCATCAAAGGTGCCAAAGTTTCTTGTTTGCTAGAAATTGTTGCAGCTCCAATGATGGCAGCTGCGGTTCCAGTAAGAGTACGCGCAAAAGATATGATTTCCTCGGGAAGAGCTGTGCCAAGTGCTGGTGCATCCTTATCGTTCATGATCTGACAAGCACTATTAATTTCCTCAATTACATTATCAGCAGTACGACTGGCACGTTGAGAATCATCGCTAATCACAGTCACATAGTCTTTAAATGCTTTAGAAGCAACTTGCTGCACTGCAATAGCTTGTTTTACGCTGTCCATATACGCGCTGATATCATTTGTACCTGTTGCTTTGCCAGACGACTTGACCAATTCTTGCATTGACGTAAGAATATCTTTACTGAGAGCCAGCAGCTGCATCTGAGAATTACTGTCGTTGGATGTTATGGACGCTGTTGCCTTTTGTACATTTTCCTTGAACACGCTCATAACAGACACGGATTCATTCAGCATTAAAGCAAGCTCATCCTGTGTCAACTTGTTACACTTGGAAAATCCATCAATCAAATCGGTAAGCTTTTCAACAGAAAGCAGCAGCTGATCCTTGTACAAGGAGAAATTGTCTGTGGTATCAACCGAGTCCAGTTGTTTGGCTTGAGCAAAAATAGTGGTGGTTTCAAGCTCAGAAATCATATCATCCAAATGAGTATTAGCTGCTTGACATGCCAAAAGTCCTTTTGAACCTTCATCTGCAGCAGAGTTGAGCTCATCAAGTTTGCTATACATGGTACGCACTGCTTGGTTAAGTTTCAGTCGTGTAGCAGGATCAAGAGACTCCTTTCCAGTACCCTGACGCAGCACATCAATGACTTTAAGTGTGGATCCACCAACTTCGCGAGTGAAGTGAAGAAGCTGTTTTTTAAGATCATCGTCATTACAAGCATCAATAGCAGCAGAAGTATTCAATGTAAGCTCCTCATATATAGCAGATATTTTTTCGGCAGCAGAAGAAAGATCTTCCATTTTGCACTGTTTGGAAAGTATATGTCCAACAGCACCAATAATCTTTTTTCCAGATTGCTTGATCTCCAAGACAACCACTTGGTATGGCCGTTCGGTTAAAATGGCCTCACTGTTTTCATTCTTGGAGCTGTGTTTGATTCTATTGTCGAGGCCTACAAGTAGCTCTTCTACCTTTTCACTTGCACGCGAAATCTGTAAAGTGTATGGATCGCTTGGTCCATCAACAAGCCCAACGACAGTGGCAATAGCAGACTTGAGTGCCATTTTTTCTGCCTCAATTTGAAAAATACCAAACTCGTTGGGATCAGCACAATCTGTTTTGACTACTGTAATATAAGATGAAAGTGCATCTGAAAGTGCCTTTGTAGATTCAAGTAGTTCTCGCTGATGAGACTTCATGTCAGTCGTGGCACCATATGTCAAGACCAAATTGGCAGTTTTGTTCAGAGTCATAGGCATTTCTTCAATTGCCGATGTAAGCTGGATCATATCACCACGTGTAGCACAAGCCACAACTTCGGCAAGATTAGACAGTGCTTGTAGATGATCCCGAAGTGCGTGTTTATCAACTGATTTGTTTACAGCAGTCAGCTCCTGAACAAGACCTCCAGAAACTGCCTGGGTTATGGCTGTATCAATCGACACTATTGTTTCGTTAATACGATCAGTGGCTTCTTGACAGGCTTTTTGACCTGGACCAGCATCCTTGACACTGTTCAACATATTTCCAACAATCTTGGAAACTGTCTTTGTTTCTTCAATCAACATCAAACGCAAGTCATCACTATCAGGGTTTGCACAAAAGTTTTGGGAAAGCAAGGTGATATCCTGGAGCTCAGCCAGCAACATATGTGCATTGTCAAGCACAGGACGCTGAATCTGGATTGCTTGCTCACTGATTTTTGCAGGTGCGCCGGCATACTCTGGTGAGCTAGTCACTGCAACAATCTCATCAACATGAATTGTAAGTTGTTTACTAGTTTCCTCGCATAGCACACGAGAACTTTCGTTATTCTCAACAGCAAGTCGTTTAATGGCGCCTACAAGTTGCACTGTTTTGGCGACTGTTTTCTTGGAATACGTTTCAAATTCTTGACGTGCTTCCAATGTGAGCTTGGGATCCTGAGATGCGAGTTTGCATAGATTTACAATTGCCGTGGTTTGCTTGGATATGATCGATGCACATTTAAGGATTTCGCTCTGACTGTTATCTTGGTTTACAAGTTTCTTGCATGCATCCGAAAGCTCTTGGCCAGCAGCTAGCAACATCTTGCGATCAATTGTAGAAGAAATAGGAGCTTCAGACATTGGATCAGAAAGAGCAATCAACTGAGCCGCGTGAACAGTCTGTTTTGTATATTTTCCAACAGTTTCAGCAAGCTTGACAAGTGTATCGGCCACTTTGATACCATTTTGAGCACTCGCGTGAGCAGTCATTGTATTCAAAATATCCGTCAGTGTAGTCTCTGCAGTAGTCATGTTTTGGACAGTCTCAGAGTATGTACCCTGAGCATTCGCCAGAGTGTTGGTTTCATTTAACAGTACAGTGGTTTCACCAATGCTCTGCATTACACGAGCGCACTGATCGTATCCTGGCACCGATACTTCGAGCTTTCCAAGCAAATCATCCACGGTTGATCCAACTGATTTTGCTGCGGTAAGCAGTAAACCAGTCAACCCCGTGTCATCTGGCTCTAGTGTGCATCCTTTAAGCGAGTTAAGAAATTGGTTACACTCTAGTCCAACTGCGCGTACCAGTCCAGTGATATCTTCACTCTTTTCCCTATTGCCTTCTGCTTGATTGGATTGAATACTGGCCAAAACAACAGAAGCCTGTGCCAAGTTTCCAAAAGCCACCTCTATCTTTTCTACTCCACGCTGTAAACTGACTGGATCGCCGCGTGATGCGACTACCAAAGTATTTGTAGCAGCAGCAAGACCAATGGCTGCGTCAACCAATTTGGTTTGCAATTGCTCTTGAGCAGCATTGGTTACTACAGCACTTGGATCTGCAGCATTGACCATTCGCGAGATTTCCATATCTGTGGTAATGTCTTTGAGTTTACCCAATGCAAGTACCAACGCACGCTGTCCAGGAAGACAGTCCAAAGTGCCAGCAATAGCACTCCGAGTCTCTTTAATAGCTTTATCAAAATCTTCATTGTCTTGACCGGTTTGGTTTGCCAAAGTATGTTTAGCAGCCTGAATCAATCGCGAAACAGATTCACAAACCAATGCAGTCGAATCAAGAAGTTGGTGCCTTTGGTCCACTTCTGAAACGCTTGATGAAATGGTGATACTGGATACTGAGAGCGATTGTAGACCTGCAATGACCTCCGTAATGGCAGTACCAGTAGCACGTTCGTCGCCTGCAATGACAGCAGCTTGAATACGTTTGAGAGACTGTTGAATATCTTTGCTTAGTTGAGCAAGCGACGTTTCTGCATTCATTAATTCTTCAGAAGAAACAGGATTTGATATAAATGGTTGAGCTGTTTCAGAACGTGCCTTTGAAATATCAAATAGGGTGGTTTTTAAAGATATTTCTGCGCCAACAAGCTCCTCTGCTGCACAAATTTGTTCGTATATATCTAAAATTTTGCACATGTTTTGCAGCTCATCAACAAGCTGTTGAGTAGCAGTCAATAAAAGATGCTGAGCATCCGAATCAACCGTCGTCAATGCAGCTGTACGTGCACAATCCACCATAAGCATTCCTGGATCCAACATTGATCTGGAGGCTTGGGTCAAACTGACACACGCAACATAATCATTGGGTTTGGCGGTACTGCCTTTAATAGCCCGAACTACTTTAGGCATGCAATCAACCACCTTTTTGATAGCACGGTGAAGATGGATTTGCGAGCCCTGATCACGATTGAATGAAGCGCAGTTGCGAGACGATGACATCAATTGGTTTGAAGATGCCATGGTGCTTCGAAGTGACTGAACAAGCCTATGTGTAAGACTTGCCTTGATGAATGATCCACAGACACGATCTACCAAATCCTTAAAATCTAACACAGTTCTCTCAAGAGACTGATCTACTTCAGGTGAATTGGGACTCTTGACAAATCCCTTGACATCTTCCACTAATCTGGCAATAAGCTCAGAAATCATACGCGCATCGTCAATTAGCAAGTTTTGCTCTTGCGTGGTTTCAAGTGTATCTGCCTTTAGTTTTAAAACCTCGGCAAGTCGTGTGGCACTTATGGTGATCTGTTTTGTATGAGCAATCATATTGTCAGAATTGTCCAAACTTTGAATCAGCTGATCCAATGAAACAGCAATTTCATCATAATATCCTTCGATTTCGCTATCTAGTGTCATATCTGAAAACCTGGCACACGCAAGAAGATCTGAAATTGCTTTTTCAACCAAGTCCACTGCATCTTGTAGTTGAACAATAATTTTTGGATTAGTAGCTTGATCAGAATACGATACAAGAGCAAGAGCACTGTCGCGCATCAGAGTGCAGCCTTCCACAAGAAGTTCTCGACAAAGTGGGGTATGAACTGTTGGGGCAAGTGCAACCGTGACAGCAGTCAACATGGAAGATATTTCAGAACATAAAATAGAATCTGATAGGCACATTTGCTGCGTCTCAGGCTCACGGATCGTTGTTGCCATACTTTTGGTTCGATCTACAGCGGCAGCCACGGCATTTGCAATACTTTCTGCTGCTTGATATAGCATTTGCTGCTGTTCATATGTGACATCCAGATGATCGATAGTAAGAAGAACGTTTGATGATGCGCCTGCAAGATTTTTGGTAGCACCATAAAAATCATCCATAACCAAACTTCCTGAAATAATGGGTAAAAGATCTCTAAGCACTTTTGAAATGGTTTCAGTAAGCATTTTGGCTGCTCTAAGAAGTCGCTCCTGATCGTTTTCAGTAACTTGTAATCCAGAAAGCATTTTCATGCCTTGAGTAATTTGGCTGATGGCAGAAATTACAGTAAAAAGCTTTGATCCAATCGTGTTGTAGTCCATATCATCAACATTACCCGTTGCGTGAATAATCAAAGTTCCAACTGCAGCAAGACTGGCTGCAATGTTGGAGGCTACCGCCTCACTGGTAATATCGCACGTTTCTTGTCGCCATTTTACAGTAGCTGGATCGTTGGTCATGGAAGGAAGATGAGTGGGTACAGACAAGTCTGTGTATGCTGCTGCTGCAACTGCCAAACCATTGTTGATGGTTTGAATAATGGCTTGTTGAAATTCAACGATATCCAAATTTTGAGCAATCTCTCCTTGAGGTACACTGTTTTGATGTCGATTGGTTTTTTGGTAGTTTGAAGATTGCTCATCATCAACAAACATTGCTCCGCCAGTATGCGACTCTTTGGCACGACGGGCTCCACCAGCTGTTGCAACCACTTCTACATTGTTGGCACGTCCAGGACGAACATAGTCTTCAATCACTGCCTGTTCCTCAACGCGAGCTTCTTCTACAGTGCGAGATTTTTGGTTACGTTTCTTGACAATAATATCAATGTATCCAGAAATGAGACGGGATATCTGATCACCCTCGGTAGATTCGACGCTGTAGTAGTTTTCTGAATGATCTCCGAAATCCAGTGTAAACGTTTTAGCAGTTGCAGCCCATCTTCTGATTTGGGTCAATTTCCATTCTTGCACTATTTCTTTGGTTTCCAAATCTACACGCAAAATGCTTTGCTTGGTGACACCCAATAGCATGGTTGTAGCCTTTTTTCTTTTTGCTGCAGGCTCTTTGACAACAAAAAATGTGGTGCCATAAGTTTTAAGCGAACGACACATTTGCACATACCGAAATTTTGCATTTAGCTCACTCATGCCGTGAAGCTTGCTATGCTCATTGTACATTCTTTTTTCAATATCCTTGTTTTTGTGGTACTCTGGTGGAATGTAGTCCTTAACCTTGACAAATCCTGGCTTATGTTTATCTGGCTCGTGATTTCCATACTGAATCTGTAGCTGAATAGCACCAAGTTGAGCTGATTCAACACCGGTGCAGGGTTGCTTTCCTGACACGATCATTTCGTGAGATTGGTTGTACATCAACATCATTTGAACTGGATCTGAGCGATCCACATTTTGATCAGTAAAAAAGAATTTCTTTTTGAGAATGACTGCATCGCTTTCAGTAAGGCCTTGCTCACGAAGGGTTTTGTCGGGATTTAACCATGCGGCTATTGAAATGTACAATGTTTAGTTAATATCAACCACCAACATCAATTTCAGGTTTTTCATATTAATTAAAAATAGATTGGATTTATACTTTAAACGTAAAATATTATCAACAATAAAACTCACGTCCTTCTGTATATACAGCTTCTTTTTGCTTTGCTTTCTTGTCTCCCTTTTTGTTCAAGGTTAGAGTCTTGTCTGATGCTAAGGAATACTCATCGTCATTTGATATTCCTGTAAATTAAAAGGCACGCATGTTGTTAACCAAATCAGGTTGATATCTAGCAATGGTGCTAAATTCCATCACATCAAACCAATAGATAACATGACTAATAACACATCCTGACATCTAAATCCAATGTACATGTTTAACCCACCAATGCGCTCACAAACAGCGGCAACAACGACTCTAACAGGCTGGCTTTCGTCAACTAGAATTGCTTTCATAGAATCATCCAGCATTTTAACTTTGAGAACACGATGACGTTTACGGAATTCAAGCACATCTCCTGTTCTAAGATCATAGTGGTCGAGTAGCTTGTTGGAAGCAAGCCATAGGTTTTGCTCTCGTATAAACAGTCCAAAGTCTAAACCGCCCTCGCCATAACTGTGCTTTTCTCGGATATCTTGGATAATGTCTTGCACATACATGTCACTTGTGTACTATATTCAAGTGTGTGTTTAGACATATCGTATGTATGTTGAAGGAATTAGAATGCTGCTAGTTTGTATCTTATACGAGCAGTTTTATACCAACCCTGGCTTATACCAACCAACTACATCATCACTCAACAGGACGCGACGAGTTGGTTGTGGTGTTTAGCAGTTTATTCAGATAGAAATAAGTAGTGGGATAAACATACCTGGCATGTTTTGGTGATGTCGCTGTCGGCCAAGTATATCTTGAGCGCCAGGTTTGACATGATGTAAAATACTGTGTCTAGATATGCAAAGTATTAATGTGTTTGAGTAGTTGGAGAGATATCAAAATGGTGAGCCGATTACGGCTAGTGATAATGGGGATGAGAATGGAGAGATAAAGTAAAATGAAAACTGTAATTATCACCATCAGTGTGCATCATGTTTTTGGAAAGTATTCGCGTAAATTTCATTCACCATACTTTCGTGTATGATCGAGGGGTTTATTTTGGCTGCTTTCTTGATGTTTGCAAATGTCCATAGATTGCTTGCTGATCTGAGTGGTATGAGTATCTATCATCCGTATCTCCTGTACCGCGGTGACAATAATCCGACTTGTTGATACGACCAGTTTGGTGAACAGCCTGCTTCTTTCGATTTAATATAAAACGTCGCACATTTGATTTATTGACGGTTGCTTGTTGGTCTTGTTTAAACACAATCTCTAGCATTTCGCCTATATAAAGTGTATGCTAATCTGAAGCAATCGTGCAATTTTACAAACGGAGAATTCATGTTTCCAAAATGTTGCAGCCGCTTGATGCTATCAGAATGTTTATTAGACATGATGAAGTTGAGCTGTTGGAACACAAATAAATATTTATGCATTCTCACTCCCACTTTTGCTAGATGCAATAGTCCAACTTTGAGGCTTATATTGAAATGGGCTTAAATGCTCATTGAATGCGATGGTTGTAATTCGTTTTGGTGACCAAGCTAATCTGATTGTGCTTTTACACCATTGTTGTACGAGGTGCCATATCTGGTCCCAGCCACTCGTATATATCTAACATTGGTATACATACACGACTTTTTTCTCAAACATGGCTTACATAAACAAAAAGTACGTGAATTCATCACAAACCAATTTTTGTAAAAAATACTGACAAATGTTCACATCTCTGTTCCAATCATATCATTCCACATCTTTGACATTGGTTCAGCCTCAATTTTTTTTTCAACCCAAACACTCGGTAATCATCATGGAAACAACATTTGCATTCCTGAGATATGCTGAGCTGGAACGCAAACGTATCTGATATTAGAACAGAGTTTCAATAAAAGAAATCATACACTTCCAATAACAACGAACATGTAACGATTGTTTATTCCGGAGCAAAATAGAGCCATTACAGGATCAATACAGAAAAGTGTCTCATTCCATGTGAATACGGCTGTGTTTTTTGAGGCAATCTGTAGCAGACCCGCGGCGAATGCTCAACCCGTTTATTTCAAGTCGGTAAAATGTTATATTCTATCAATACAGAAAAGTTCAAAACCATCGTAAGAGTCATGACGGCTGTGCTTTTTGAAGCAATCGGTTTGTAGCATAAGCGCGGTGAATGTTTAATCGTTTATTTCAAGTCGTTACAAGCGTTCCATTCTTCAATACAACTCCAACACTTGATTGTATTGATCAGACAATATGGATTTTATCACTAGCGATATGGCAACAATCATGCTTCATGCTGATCATCCTTCAACCCCTGATGTAGCAGTTCCTCTACATGTTTCAACCACCTTTGGTAAGACTTCACCTTCAATCTCGACTGCTGCCATCTTTCATGGCAGATCGTACGTGTTTATTAAAACATACCATCTTTGGATAATATACAATCTTTATATTAGTTCAAGGCAAAGCCTTTAATGATAAGTTTGCCATTTCAAAAAACTGGCTGCCAGCTTCAACTGATCAACCAGACCTATCCGCTCATGTGTATTCTCGACAAACGACTGAAGTCCGTAGCCGTCTAGAGTCCATTCTTGGTCATCTAGAACAAGGTAAAGTATCAACTGAAATCCTTGGCGTGGCTGATTTGAATGCAGATTGCATCAAACAGCAAATGTCGTTCGTTTAGTGCATATCTGACATTTTTGATTTGGCTTGCATTGTCAATGCGCAGGAAGTATGGCATATGCAGTTACATATGGATCTGGACTTTCGGCCATTTTTGCAGTGTTTCAGCTGATTCAGCCTAAGCGTATCCTGACCAGTACAGGAGGCTATAATGGCACACATGGCATTATTGAAATGTACATGCGAGGCCGTTCTGTGGTAATTCAATGTGCTGGTTTTGAACTCGTTATTCACGGCAAATATCACTACTAGATTAAAGTTTGCAATGCAGTTTCACCATTTGCTAATGCTATGTTTTTGATTTAGGAACTCTTTTACATTGAGAATGATAAGGATGGTTCATTGCTGAAATCGCTTGAAGCCGGTGATTTGGTCTGGCTAGAATCTCCTCAAAATCCGTGTGGAGAAGTTGCCGGTAATATTGTCTTGGTTTTGCTGATTTTCAATAGATTGTGATTCCTACTGTTTGGTGCAAGTGCTATTTCACTAATCATTCCAATTTCCTGGGTCTCTACATGCATAGATCTTCACTACTATACGACCAATCGCAAACCTGGCGTGATTGTAGGAATTGACTCTACATTTGCACCTCCACCACTTCAATGCCCTTTAAAGCATAGTATGTTTAGGCTCGCTATTATATTTCAAGTTTTATTTTAAAAGAATTTAACCAAATATCTCCGGGATATAGATGTCGATATTGTGATGCACAGTTCTACAAAGTTTCTGGGTGGTCACTCAGATTTGCTTGGTGGAGTTTTAATTACAAAAGATATTCACGTTAGGGATCAGGTTAGTTTTTAGTTGACTTGTATACTCGTTTACAATTTTTCAATAGATATATCATTTTCATGTATGTTTAAACTCGTAAACCTGATTTTTGAAATGCATATTGGTGTGTTTTAGCTTTTTAAAGACAGAGTACGCCTTGGAAGCAACATGGGAAGTATGGAGGCATGGCTGCTTCTCCGTAGTATGAGGTATGGTGCATTGATGTTTGTGTTGGTATTTTAGTACAGTTGCTGACTCATACTTGATTTCATGATGCTATGCATTTTAGATCTTACAAACTACGAATCCTGCAACAGTCGAGCAGTGCAACCACTTTGGTTAAATGGCTTAATTCGCGCATTTCCGGCGAGTCGAATGATGAGACCTTGGATATCATCGAAAAAGTATGGCATGCCTCCATCCCCGCCAATCCTGGTCATGAAGCTGCATTGCGTCAAGGAAGTGGATTCTCTGGCGTTTTTAGTGTCGAGGTATTTTACTAAATATCTATTTACTATTTTTAGTGCTATATGATGTCATACTGTGTACTTATTTCATATGTTGCGATTAGTTTAAATCTTTACACCACGCAAGACTCATTTGCTCAAATCTCAAGTTATTCATCAATGCCACATCACTGGGAGGTTGTGAATCGCTTGTTGAATGGCGTGCTGCTACTGGTGCCAGTGTCGAGCCAACTATCTGTCGATTTAGTATTGGTCTTGAAGATGTGGAAGATCTTCAAAAAGACTTGAGTGCTGGCATGCTCCAAGTTAAAAAGCTTGTGGAGGATATGGACGAGAAAAAGTCCAGTGAAGGTGGAAACTGATCTCTTATTGTGTTTGTGTTGACAGAATTACCATTAAATTGCTTTAGCTGGTATGCATTTAAAGTCAGTAAAATGTACAACAGTCAATGTTTATTTAATCCCATTCGTCATCCGCAACACCTTCAATCAAATCTTGTGGTAACGGGCCTTGTTTTGATTTTTCCATGGCTATATCAAACATGGCTTTTATACTCTGATGTAAATGAAGTTCAAAAATGGTCAAAAATCAATGTGTAATTGCTTTAAAATAATGTCATTTCAAGGCAAAATAACTATACTTACTGCTTCCTTTCGCTCATACTCGGTTTGCTCAACAACTAAATCAACAGTTTTTCGAATCACCTTTTGCTCAACTGGTGCAGTAGATACTGTAACAGGACAACATATTTTGAAGAATTAGCAAGTTCCACCAAACGTATACCCATATTACAGGAATCTGTTCAGTTTCCAATAAAAGCAAAGTTTAAAGCCAAAAACAAACTTACACAGTTGCATATCTGCTGGTTTAAGATCAATCAGTTTGACTGTTCCCGATTTCTTCATTGTCCATTCATCAGCAGATAAAGCCGGATTTTCAACATCTCTCGTTGATACAAAAATATCATCTTGGAAATACTCTTTCTGTAGTCTTGGTACTGTAAATGAAATACTTTCCACCGACGTTGGAGTAAGCCTAAATCCCTTCAAAACTTCAATTTCCTTGACGTTACAATGCCGTTTAGGTAATAGTGCCATAGATAGTTGCCGGATTCCACCAGGAACACTGTAGCGAGTGAGAAATAGCGGCTCGGGTTCGGTAGAAAGGTGATAAAATGTGACAACAGACTCTCCTCGACCACAAAGAATGAGAAGACCTGTGTCGTGATCATAAAAGGGAATCAGCATGCTAGGTGACGTGTCAAGTGGAGTGGAACAAACAGGCAGTGTCAGATTCTGACTATCGTATTGAATAATTTCTCGCTGGTTTGCTCTAAATTCCATCAACAACAATCAACCATGACAATCGGTCAAGTATGGATTGTTATCTTTAGTCAGTCTCAAATATACGTTTACAAGTACCGTTGGAATGCATATATTTGTTTTATCAAGCGTTATTACCTGGCATATCCCACGGAAACCAGTCGTCCAGTATCGCCAATCCATAAAATACGTGCAGCTTTGGTTCCTTGGTGCGATGGTCCACTTTGAAGCTCTAGTCCAGTGTGACTGTCATAAACACGAATGGTTTTATCACGCAAAATCGCTGCAATACAGTTTCCATCATAACTGAATGCCACACTAAGTGCTTGATCAGGAAGTGTCATGGTAGAAATAAGTTTCTTGGTGCAAATATTCCAAATCTTAATCAGTGGTGAGTCTTGTTCAGGTGAATAGGACATGATAATATCTAACGCCATTGGATGAAATTGTAAAAGAACAACTCGACCATTATGCGCAGGGAAAAAGTTGTTTTCTTGATAAAGATCATCAGTTAGTCCGTTAGCAGGCAAATCAAAAATACGGATACGTCCATCCTCACAGCCCGTAATCAATCGATGCACATTGAATGGATCCAGTCTAAAATCTAGCATTTCTGATCCATTTACAATGCATGGAATTTTAACTGGAAAACGACCTTTGGATTCAACGGGCCACACACCAACACGACCGCCAGGACCAGAAATTGAAAATGCAATAAATTTTGAATTGATCTGGAATGATTTATAAACATATGCCATATTATGAGCAACACTAGGCAAGACTGGGCTTGAAGTTTAAAAGTACACGAGTAGTAGCATACCTGAAATGCATCTGTCTCATTAGGAAAATTGACACTCAGTCCTTTTAGGTCATCATAATCGGTATTGGATTTGCCAGTGATAAATCTGTAAGCAGAGTGTTTGGGTAGATTAACCTTGGCAGAATTTTTAATTGCCGTTGGTATAGTAGTAGAAGCTGAATCAGGTGTATTGATTTGCATCTGTATATCCGATATGGAGTTTTTAGTGGAATCCAATAAAGGTTGTATTTGGTTTGGGAGTGTGGATAAAGAAGCAGTTGATTCAGTCGTAGTCACTGGAGCAAAACTTTGCCTTTTTGCTGGATCAAGTGAAACAATACGAGGAGTGGTATTGATGCCAGTCAGCCATTCAGTAACTGCCACTTGAGGAATATCTTCGCGAGTATCGGGAAAGATATCGGCGTGGAAGTCGGCATGGGTTTTACGCGGTACAACAGCAGATACAGGGATGATGTTGGAGCCATCAGATGCTACATTTAAAACTCGAGCAACTTCACATCCCATTATATCCAAACCGAGCTTGGGTACAAGACATGCACCAGAAAATGTGATACTTCCAACATAGGGATACACTCCAACATCAACGGGTGATTTTTCGTTTTCTGGCTTGAGTTCTAGCCACCAAACACTAGTGTCGCCCTATGTATAGAATAGGCAGTCATTTTCAGCTGAAGATAACATATAAATCTACTGTGATGGGTTAAATATCGATACCTTTCCAGAAAGAAACATCATTTTGGTGTCTGAATCATAAAGCGGAGTCAGAATGCCAGGAGATGTATCCAATTTGTTGGTAACAAGCGACTGAGTAAAATTCCTGAAATCCCAGATGGAATATTCTATTGTATTTCGTGTTAGATTTCAATTCAACCACCCAAAACAATTAATTGATACACAAAGTACAAAGACAACTATCCAAATCACACCTCGATCTCGTTTTGAATTGAAACCAGTTGAAAAGGTCATATTCGATGCACCTGCCCAGACCACTCTGCTAGGTTTGATTCCATTATGAGAATTGACAGACTAGTAAAACAATCCAAGACTCATCGATTAGATTCAAATGCAATTTCCAAACTGAGATCAAATGCAGTTACTTTGATTGGAGTGGATCCGACACGAGGATCAAACACGCGCAGCATATTATCTTTTGAAATAGAAACCAGAAGCTGTCCATCTTCCTTCCTATGCAGAATTGAACGATCAAGAAGCATCCAAATAGAATCAGCATCATCTAACTGTACAAATGCACAAGAGTATTGGATTTAATACCAACCAGCTGATTGTCTGGACTACTTCCGAACAGTCCAGAGTAATTGCCATAGTTTCATGGCTAATATCCCAAAGTTTGACTTGGGCTGCTGATGCTACCGACAGTAGATTGCAAGCAATCGGATGAAACATGACAGTTTCTATGTGTTTTAGTTCAGCTGGCAATGTTAGCGCAGGGAGATCTGGTAGCGCTAGTCCAGATGTATTGTTTAATTCTGATGCACTGCATGGAACATGCCATAGCTTGACTGCACCAGTCTCATCCCCTGTGCTGAGAACAAATCCATCACTCAAATTCCAAGGCGCCCAATCCAAGTCAGTAATTCGAGCCCCGTTTTGAAAACTAAGAACAGTATCGGAACGGCCTGCATTTGCCAGCAGATGAACACCTACAGCACCTCCCAAGTTACCTGAACGAAACGCAACAAGACTCTTTGTGGCCTTGATAGGACATGGCTCACTACCGGATACATGAATGGCAGTATTACTAGCAAATGAGTACCAGTTCTATATATGTTAGATGCACAAGGTTAGTAGGATGAACTAAATCTAATGACTAGAGCATTTTCATGCTGCATTATATTACATGTAATAATGAACAATACCTTCTTTCCAGTGGTTACTGTGCAGTTGCGATATTTTGATTTGTTGAACATTGGATGTGAATAAGAAGATGCAAACCTTGGATCCAATAGATGAGCTCTTGAATCTAATGAACTGGTTATTACAAACTATTTCAGCCAAACGAATATTTATAGTCGAGTTTCCGTGTCAAAGTTTGGATATTCGAGCAACAAGTTTGAGATGAATTGTCAAGTTATGCTCGAGTTTTAATCAACGACATTCTCAATAGTCGAGTATGTACAACTTGTATATCAATTATACTAAACATCCGATATCGTTCAGTTTAACTCGAGGTTTTGTTTGGACGCGTTGAACGGTTTATCTTGAACTTTTGGTCTACAAGTTGATGCATTCTGCTAGATACAATTCCAACCATTAAGCTGTATACTCTGAACAGTAATATTTATTTTAATACACTTTTTGATTTATCAATATGAACGGAGTAAATTCTGCAGAAAGCAAGCAGGACGTTTCTTGAAATGTTCGTTACACGAGAGGTTGAAACTAATGAATGGCTTCACTCCTCACTCGATAAAAAGTCCTCCAGCATTCTGGTTTGTTTGAATCCATTTCAAGAGCATGTATTTTTGTATATTGGAGCTGGTTTAAAGACCGGTTGTTCTAGGTGTTTTGTTATTGCTGGAAATTGAAATCTAGCCGCTTCAATAGAAATAATCAATTTCCAATAATAACGAATATTTAACGATTGTTTATTCCGAAGCAAAATAGATTCATTACAAGATAAATACAAAAAAATGGTTCATTTTACGTGAATATTGCTGTAAACCATTTGCCTCGTTGCAGATAATGGTGCTGGCGATATGACTGACAGCTGTCCAGATGGTGACGGAATATCAATCAGTGATATTGCCTTTCCAATAAGGTCTTCAATCATCTAGATATAAAATTTTATCAAATGTCAATTCATTGATACATTAATGTTGCTTAATCAAATGGACTAAATGGCTCATTTAAAACAGTTTAGTTTACCTTTTCAAGACCGCCAAGCTGCTGTTGGGTGTCGTTGAAAGCAAGATATAATGCATCAATGTCATCTTTATCACTATCTATGTTTGCAGCAATGATGGTTGAAACAGAGTCTGGTTTTGGACTAGAGCGTGCATTAGCTTGTTGTGCAGCAGAAGTTCGGGATACTTTTTGGGCAATTAAATTGGTGGAAAGACGTACAGACTTTCGACGTTCACTATCCTGCTTGACATTCTTACGCAAGATAGCCTCAATATCTGCTTCAATATTATTCAACACATTTTTGAGTGGAGTAGATAATGACTCGGAAGAAGGGTTTGTGTTTTCAGTAATGCGGCTCCCATCAAGTCCGCGATTAGCTAAAGATGTCGATGTAGATCCAGTTCGAGATTCATTCTTTGAAGAAAGAATTGGAGCTTGTTTGAAAAGTGAGCTACGTCTTTTGAGGCGATCGACTGTAGATAGTTTATGCTGGGAAGTGTCAATTTCAAGATCTTTTTCCATCTGTTGAATCCGCCTTTCATCAGAGTTTTCTTTTAATGTTTCGTCAAGATAATCCACCATTGATCCAAAGTAGGAAGATCCAGCTGATGATGCTGCAGTTTGCTCGTTACGAGATGTAGTAGATGACTTACTAAACGGACTCGAGTTTCCACTTCTACTTGGATGTGTACTTGCCAATGCATTGGTGTTTTGTAGTCCAAAGGATGAGGGTGAATCTTTTTGTTTACGCTTTGGAGAATTCTGTTCATTTGTTGCCATGGCAGTTCTGCGATCAAGGCTTGCATTGATCCAGTCTAATTTGTTGTGTATCCGTTCGCTTGGAGGTTCATCCGTGACGTTGGATTGTGCAAAAGTCGCTATTTGTTTGAAAAATGCAAATAGGCAATATGATATCCCCCAATATATTGTTAAATTATAAATATACGATAGACCAAAAAATCGCAACAGAATGCCAACATCACAATCAATAAACCTACATGAAAGCATAGTCGGACTAGATGAGGCGATTGGGGGTCCTAATACAGTTGTGGCAGAGTTTTTTTGTAGTTCATCAGGGTTTGCAATAACAAATTTGGTAGGCTGGGCATATCCTGTATCGACTGATCCAGTTTCAGAGTATTTGCGTGGTGCAGAAGGGGTTTCCACGTTATTTGCTCCTTGTTTTGCGAAAGATGGCTTGGAATTGTTAGCAGACGGTATATCGGGAAGGACGAGCTTATCTCTGAGCAATAGAAACGATAAATCTTGGCCACGCTGCTCTGCAACTCTCATAATCGGAATAAGGGGCTCTCCAGGGATAAGTACAGTTTCTATATTAAAAGTGTAAGTAATATAATATACAGTTCACTAGTGCATGATATACAGCAGTTTAGTAAACATAAAACAATGCACATCATACCTTGATTATTTAACACAGAGCACAGTGAATATTCTACTTCTGCAGAAGGTTGCATTCCAAAACTTAGCAGTGCAATCTCGATTGCATCTTCGGCCTTTGCACCGCGAGGAATGCCAATAGTCCGGTATATTCTTTTTTGTGAAGGCAAGTCATGGTATGCAATGCGCATCGGACGGAGAGGACCATCGATCAGTTCCTGCGACTTTTTATTGATCAATACACGAATCAAACTATCGTCTGTGATGCGCACTGTGCTAACATTTCCACGAAATCCATAGGACTGGGATACTTTTGAAAAATCGCCAATGCCAGGAAGATTCTTTTGTTTAAGAGCATCAAGCACCTTGAACACCACCTCGTTGTCATTTAGTTGACGCTCTGTATGAGATCAATTTGATTAATACACGATTGTAAGTATCCTAGCAATAATAAAGTGTACAAACCCAACAGAATAGTATAAATATACAAAAGCAGTAAGTACTTACGAGAGTCCATATACAAGACGCTGATATAGTAGTCAGCTGGGTTTGCTCCTTGCACTCTAAACTTTTTCAATGCACCATTGACTAATTCAGATGCAATCATGGTCTCAGTAAAGGCTACACTTTTAAATGTTGCATCCAGATTTACATTTCCTGCAAAGATTCGAAGAACATTAATGGCGTTTGGCTATATGTAAATTATATCATGAAAAGGATAAAAACAAAAGTTGGATCAAGTGCTACAACGATTCACAGTTTGAGATTCCTCCAAAGCACTATAAACACTAATATTACCCTTTGAGAAGAATTCATACTCCCACTATTTGAGCCTGATTCAAATGCAGGGTTTCTGTTGACAGAGCTTCCTCTCGGTGACACCATAATTTCTCTTTCGTTAAAGCGAGGTTTTCCAGGTGTACCACCATTGAAGCTACTGGGTGGTCTAGGACTTGGAGCAGCAGATGCAGAGTCATCTAGATTGCTATACGATCTGTATGAAATTGGACTGTTGCTTCCAGAATTTAAACTAGGACTACGTTCAGGCTCTTTTTTCCTAAACAGTTTCTAAAATACACATTGAAACCGGGTCAGTCAAATCAAAGCAGTATTTGAATCTATAGACTGATGAGAATGAATGCTTACCTCCCATAGTTTAGTTTTTGATGATCCTTGGCTCGAATCTTGAGATCGTCCAAGAGACCTATTACCATCATTACCCATATATGATCTTCCACTTGAAATTGTATCGAGTGATCCAGTCGATGCCGAAACAATTTCATCCTCTGGATTATACTCATACTCGTAGTAAGGATTGTTTTCACCGTTTCTAGCGTCATTTCCATCATCTGAACCGTATTCCTCAAAGATTTCGGGAGCTGCTGCTGAAAATTGGATCCGTTGTGGTTTCTTGTGCATAGAAGGTGCTTTGGACTGCTTATCAACATCCTTGGCAGACGCATGATCGATATTCCGCTGGCCATTCAAACGAGCGAGTCGTTCGGTTGGTGTCTGTTGATATTATTCAATAAAGCAGTATTTTGAAACAATACAATGCAATCAGTCAATCGACACCAGCCTGATTGTGTAGAAATCCAACTATTCCAACAAGCTGCAAGGATTTAGCAACGATAACGATCTGCAAGACTTTACCTCCACATTCTCTGCTGGAATATATCCAATCTATAAAAATCAATCAGACAGATGAATGTTGATTTAAAAAGTTAACAAGAATGTCTGAAACATGGTTTCTAAATCCGTTGATATCAAACACATCCAAATGACAACTGCCATTCCGTTGAAGATGGGCTCAAAAGTCATTGATTACAGCTGATATGAATTCAGAAAATACCTCTTGAGTCTTGATGCATTTGACTAACCACCAGTACGAATTGCTGTCGTCCAATAGTTCCAACGAATCGCCCTTGAGTACGCAAACTTGACCTTCAAGGTTGGCAACAAATGTATGAAGCGCATATATCAAACTGTAGTCGATATCCGCCTCTGATGCAATGGGCATGAGAGTGGGTGATTCTGTAGCATATTTTGAGTCACCCGAATTACTGCCATTCACATTCCCACCAGCGGTCTTTGTGGTTGAGGATGTGTTTATTTTGAGCCGACTGTCTTGCACCATGTGAGGCTTGAAATGTTTTACGTCGCATTCACATAAAATGGATTGTCGAGTCTGCAAACTGTCGATGTTGGCGTCGCAACAGAATTCGCGACTGTTTTAATGATTTTATTGAAATGGTTTTTGTAATGAATTCAGTCTTGGAATTGCTGATTGAATCGTGTATGACTTTCAAGTTTAAACAATCCATTTCAGTACTAAAGCCAGTGGTTTGGACTTGTAAAACTCGCTTTAAACTGTCGAGCGTAGTTTATCTGTTTTTGGCGTCTGCTCAGAATTTGGCCAAAAAACCAAATAATAGTCACGTGTTTTTTAGTTTTAACTGGCCATCCGTTCAATATTTTTTTCTTTGCAAAAAATTCGAGTTTGGAGTTGATTCTGTCTGGATAATCTAGAAAAATATCATGAAGTTGGACTACAAGGTAATGGCTTCATATCAACAAAATAAATTTGAACGATCGATGTTTACTTTGATTTGAACTATAGTTTTCCAACTTGTGTGGAACAGTTTACAAGGCTGGAAATGTCGTTTTTACTCCAGATGGTAATTCGCTTGTATCGCCTGTTGGTAACAGAGTGTCTGTGTTTGATCTCGTAAAGTATGTATTCATAACAAATGGACGGTTGATTCTTGTATATTGCAATACCAATTCTTGTTTCTGTCAAATTCGATCAATCTAATGCCATGCTCGTATCTTTTGTAATATTTAGCAACAAATCATATACCATGCCATTTGAAAATCGTAAAGATATTACACGGATCGCACTCTCTCCAAATGCAGCACTATTGATTACTGTCGACGGAGGTAGGCTTGCTACGCTCATTTGTTTGAATCTTCATATAATAACCCATGATACATTCTATCTAATGCTAAACTATTGCCACATTTTTAGATGGTCGGGCTCTGTTGATTAATTTCCAAAGACAAGTTGTTCTTCATCACCATAATTTCAAAGCAGCTGTTTACGATTTATCGTTTAGTCCAGATGGACGCTTTTTAGCCGTTACACATGAAAATCAAATTCATATTTGGAAAGCACCTGGATTTACTCTTGAATTCGCTCCATTTGTTTTGCACAGAGTGATTACAGGACACTACGATCTTGTCACGGCCTTGTCTTGGTCTGCAGACTCGCGCTTCATTATTAGCTCAAGCAAGGATATGACAAGTAGAATTCATTGCATGAATGCCGAAGAGGCTTTTACTGGAATCGTACTCACTGGACATAATGATACTGTAATCGGCGCGTGGTTTTCCAAAAGCGGTAAATCTATTTTTACTGTTGGAAGAGATGGTACACTCTTTGAATGGACAAGAAACTCTGGATCCTGGAAACTCTCTGAAAACGGTGATGACTCTGCAACTGAAGACGAAATAGAAAATGAAGAAACCGATGGTAAGTCGGTTAGCAAGCGACAAAAATCAAATAGTGGCAAAGGTGTTCGTGTTAAGCACTGGAAAAGTTCACACCGTCACTACTTTAATCAAAACCATGCCAAGATTGTTAGTGCAACGTTTCACGCCGCATCTGGGCTTCTTTCCGTAGGATTTGACTCTGGAATATTTGGTATTTGGGAACTTCCCGACTTTACCAATATTCACACTCTTAGGTCAGTTTCATAGTTGTCACTATGCACTTCTATCATGCATGTCGATGCTAGTATTAAACTCACGACTACCAATGGTTTTGTATATCTTAGCATTTCACAAAAAAAAATCAATACTATCGCGGTCAACTCTACTGGTGAATGGCTTGCCTTTGGTTCTGCCAAACTCGGTCAATTGCTTGTCTGGGAATGGCAATCCGAGTCCTATGTACTGAAGCAACAAGGTCATCAACATGACATGAACTCCATTTCATACTCTCCCGACGGACAATTTATTGCCACGGGTGGTGATGACGGCAAAGTTAAGCTATGGAACACGCAGACTGGTTTCTGTTTTGTTACTTTTACTGAACACTCGGGTGGTATTGTTGCTCTTGATTTTGCCAAGCGTGGTCAAATAGTATTTTCAGCTTCGATGGATGGAACCGTTCGTGCATTCGATCTTGTTCGATATCGTAATTTCCGCACCTTTACTTCACCCAAACCGGTACAGTTTTCATCTTTGGCTGTCAACACCAGTGGTGAGATTGTATGTGCAGGCAGTTCGGATTCGTTTGAAATATATGTTTGGTCGGTGCAAACTGGCAGGCTGCTGGATATTCTTTCGGGTCATGAGGGACCTGTAAGCGCACTTGCATTTTCAATGGATGATGTATTGGCTTCATCTTCATGGGACAAGACCGTTCGTATCTGGGATATTTTTGCTCGTGACAAGCAATCAGAGATATTCGATCATCAGTCTGAAGTGCTCACTCTTGCCTTTACACCCGACTCAAAATGTATTGCTACAGCAACACTTGATGGCCAAATTTGTATATGGGATCTGAATCTTTCTAAACAAATCACTACTATTGATGGTCGCAAGGACATTTCGGGAGGTCGTGGATCAACAGACAAGATAGCTGCTGCAAACTCTGCTTTTGGCAAGAATTTTACCTCGATCTGCTTTACAGCCGACGGCTCAGCCATTATTGCAGGCGGCAACTCAAAATACGTATGCATCTATCATGTTGCTAGTCAATCGCTATTGAAAAAGTTTCAAATTACGCACAATCTATCGCTTGATTCGATGCTGGAAATGCTAAACAGCAAAAATATGACCGAGGCAGGACCAATGGATTTGATTGATCAAACAGCTGAGTTGAGTGATCTTGAAGACCGGATTGATAGATCACTTCCAGGAGTTGCATCAGGAGATAAATCACTGCGACATACACGTCCAAGTGCACGTACCAAGGGTGTAAAATTCTCGCCAACAGGTCGGTCATGGGCAGCTGCGTCCACTGAAGGATTACTGATCTACTCTTTTGATGAAAAAATTATGTTTGATCCCTTTGATCTTGAAATCGACATCACACCTGAAACAATTGATGCAGCAATGGGTCAAAAAGATTGGGCTCGTGCTTTGGTGATGTCGTTCCGTCTTGGTGAACAAGCATCTATTCAAAAAGTTTACGAAACTATCCCAGTAGTAGATGTTTCGCTTTGTGTAAGAGAGTTGCCATCCAAGTACCTTGAGCGTCTCATTCGGTTTATTGTTGGATTCATCGACACGAACCCAAGATTAGAGTTTCATTTGGAATGGGTGACATGCTTGGCTACACACCATGGTAGACATCTGCAGGATCGAATGAATGAGTATGCTACAATTTTGAGAGGACTAACCAAAGTTCTTCAAAAATCGTTTGATGATCTTTGTAAAGTGTAAGTCATGATGTGTACAAGTGTTTGTGTTATTCCTATTAAACCCTCTAACGTTTATCTTGAATTATGCATTTCTTTAAATTGCTAGGTGTGCGGATAATACATACCTCATGACTTATTTGATTGATAAGTGTGATGCGTCGATTGAAGCCAGCAAGCACGCTTTGACTGACGGAGACAATGCATTGGACATGGATGTGACTCAAGTTGGTATGACAGATATTGGGTTCTAAAATAAAAAATATATTATACTTTTACAAGCCTATTCACGTAAAACACGACATTTTTGTATTTGGGTTTCGGTGATTGTCTCGGAAACAATAGTCTATTGATTGTCTTTTTACTAGACATTGACTTTAATACACCACACCGTTTACCATCTAATACAATCCAACCATTCTCTTTTTCAATCGGCATATATTGTAGGAATATCAGATTCATCCAGATATCGAGTCGAGTTGTTTTTAACACTCGTCAAGTTCTTGATGATTGATTTGACGTGAATACGGCTATTATCAACAGTCTTGACATCACTGTTTGTCAGTATTAAAAATAAATGACGAGTTTCAATACCAAAAGGTAGATAGTATTCATTTTACTTTAAATCAAGTTGGTCAAACTGCAAAAGCAACTGGCAGGTTTGTTCCAGAAATAAACGTATGATGGCTAGAAACAAGAGTCAAACGTGCTCAACTCCATATTAGATATCAAAAACAACTTGTTATGTCACCTAAGCAGAAGCAACAGCCAATTTTTTGAGATGCTCCATAAACACTTGGAGACTAACATCATCCGTGGGAATGGCCTGGCCACCACCGCCACCATAAGCACCACCAGATTGATGGGTTGTGGAAGGATTGACTTTAGAAAGCAAAAAACGAGCCTGAGAGCCTCCTTGGTCAGTATCAATATAACGAGGGATAGGGAAACGATCCGAAAGTAGTTCCTGTGCATCACCTTTAGGTACTTCCAACATAGTTTTAAAAGCCACATAGGTAGGATCTTCGTGATATTTCGCCTTTCTCCATGCTGCAATCGTTTCTCCGTGCCAAATGAGAATATGAAAGTATGTGTCGAGGAGCAAAATTACATTGGGTTGCATCGACACCGAGTCCAAGAGTACAGGCTGAACAGGTGCATCCATGCTATACGAAGTAAGTGTAGGTTGAATCATAATAAGCGAATTATTCACATCCTCACGATTCAAAATGTGTCTGTAGTACGCGGTTTCATCGGGACTGTTGTTGAACACTTGTAAAAACTGACTACGTCGTAAATGGAACATAAACTGCGGGTAGATGGAAAAGTTTGGAGCCAGCTGGAATGAGTTGGGATCTTCTTTGTGAAACGTGGCAAATCTCTGGCATAAACGAATCAGCATGCGATCTAACCAGCGAAGAACATCTGGCCCATCGTCCACCTCAGATTTGAATGCTGCAATTCTAGCCATAAGTACTGCAGATGCTTCCTGATCGAATGCAGCCGGGATAGTGGGTGAAGTAGGTTCAGTCCACACACGAGGAATAGTTGTAACCTTGAGACGGAATTGACCGCTAGAGTGTTGGTAGAGAGTAACAAACTGAATGACACCATATGTGCCTGGCTGGAAGGATTGTACCTGAGTAGCCACCTCAAAGTATACAGCGCAGCTCGTTCGAGAAGTAATACCACAAAATTTCCAGGCATTCGTGCCAGCAATACCGATTTCTGTTTCGCCAACACACGCGCTCTTCTTGTTGGCTGAAATGGCAGGACCGATCAAGCCGCATACTTTGAGTTCTCTAGATGTCTGGACTTCCAACGTGGCATTAAATCCCATTTTAAGAAATCCTTCCGAGTCTTTTGTAAATAGCCGGTTGAAAGACGCCTTGAATATACTAGTGTTGAAGGCGTCGGAAAGAACCATGAATCCATTTGTTGTATTTACTAAAGACTTCATCTCCATAAGACCAATCTGATCCAAACAGCCAGCAAAAACATCAACCACAACACCCTTTTCTGTACAACGCTTGGCCATAGACTCGTAAAACTTGGTAGCCTTTTTCCAATGTTTTGCAACATCTTTTTCAAGATCATTGTGGGATCTCAAACGCTCACGAAGCTCATGGCCAACAATTAAGCCAGGACCTTCGGTGCATGCACCACCTAGGAAAAGCATGATGCGTGCACCACCATTGAGATAAGCAGCCTAAGCACAACAAGCATTTAATTATAAGGTTAAATTTAACATCTGTGTCTAGTATGGCCTTGAATGGATAAAGAGCATTTGAAATGATCAGTTCATGACTGTGTTCTCACCTCAATCAAACCCACAGCAACACTCAGGGCAGTTCCTGTACAGCGAAGTGGTCGACGATCGTTTGCAACAGGCCAGGGATCTTGCTGGAGCTGTTCCAGAATATTAGTCAGTGCAAACTCACACTGAGAAACGGGTTGTAAAAACCTAAATTCATTGGGTAACGAGTTAGCAATCTACTATGAATCTGCTGGTGAATGTACTGTAGTTGAATATATCGACGCCGGAATGTACCTGCTGTAGCTGGCAGCTTGAGGAGGAGCGGGTTGTCCAGGACGAACAGGTTGTTGAGGTTTGACACCACCAGTCATGCCAAGCATCTCTTGGATCTGCTTTCCTGTGTGATCTTTGCTTCCACGAAACACATACGATTTAGGACAGTCTGAAAATCCAAGTTCGTGGATTTGAGCCTATAAAAGCCATGTTTGACCATTAATTACAAAAAGCATGAAGCAGTCAAATGAGTACGAGAGTTCAAGTCAAGAACAATCAGATGTGATGCATCTTACCATGGTACCAAAGGTAATCAATCCAACCAAAGCATGCTGAGGCAGCAAATTAAGACTGACAATCAGCGAGTCGCGAAGCGCTTTAAGATCCTCTTCGTCCAGACAAGTATCGACAACGTATAGAAACACAGGAGGAGCGCCAGGATTTTTGTTCAAAACGTACTCAATGGACAGATACTCCTGCATTAGCTCAAGAGGCATTTGGCTAGGACTAATATTGGCATAGTGTGGTGGCAGTTGATTTCTCTGCAGACAAAAAGGGCAGATCCAGAGCTTTCCTCTAAAATCAATTTGACTGACATTACAGCAGGATGAATGGATAAAAGGGTGTTGACAAGCACATGGTAACCAATGATCAGTAATGCACGTTCAGATACCAACACATGAATGACGGAGAGAACAAGTCAACCATGTCAGAGTTGGGTTAAACAGAATCCAATAAACTAAGAAGCCGAGGGTTCAATGGACCAGTCATGACACAGACGCTCTTACCAGCATGGATTGAGAACAGCTCTACAAGTCTTGCAGGTGACTGGTTCGTATGGAAAGGCTTTGACACCTTCTCGTTCCTTCAAAGGAGTGTACATGACTCCGATAGGAACAACCATGCGAGTAGCTTCGATACGAGAAGTGGGCCATGCATTCCAAGACAAACGAGCGCCAGTAGCATCCTAATGCATTGAGTTGTATTCAGTATAATAATCAAGTGAATGTTTCTTTATAAAAGTTCTTGCTTTAGCATGACTAGTAGCAAGATAACAGCAGTATCGATACCTCGATCTCCTCAAACGAAGTCATTGTTTATTCACGTAAAACAGCAATAATCAAATCGAAACAATCTCAAGAAAGTGCAATCTTGACAATTTTTAATATGAAAAACTGTATGAATTTATGGCTTGATTCTCATTCTCATTTCATTCTCATTTCATCTAATTTCATTCAAATACAATCACTTTAAAAGATAAAATATTATTTGTTTATGCAATCCCAAATCGTCCTTTAAAAAGTCCAGTTTGAAATGGTGCAGACTGTCGTGCTTGACTCGTTTGATCCGATGGATCTGGCTTGGGATCAGCTACAAAGGATGAATCAGGTGTTTCGGGTGTTTCCGTTGGCAATGCTGGTTGACTCTTGGCTAGATTCATGCTTGGTGGAAGAGGTTGAGGATCAAAACTACTACTGCTCATCTTGCTGATCATCACATTGGCACCTTCCATGACTGCAAGAATCACTGCTCCCACAGTGGCAGACAGAGCCATTCCTCGTGGACCTGATCGTACTGCAAGAACTGCTCCTGTAGCTGCTCCTGCAATGATTGGATTCCATCCGTCTTCTTTGGCTCGCACATCGGCCAAAATGCAATCAAATGTGTTGAACAAACCTGACCATACCGCAAAGTTGCCTCCTGCAATGGGTGCTCGTGCCTTGATAGAACTGATGGCTCCTACCCATCGCTCTCCTTGAGGTGAGTTTCTGTACCCTTTAAACCCATGCCAGAACGTACCACCAATGGCTCCCATCGAGAATCCAATACCAACATCGCTGACAATATTGTAAGGACAAGGATCTCTTGTGTGGTCTGCTGAATGATCACCTTCTCTCATACTATGAATTGGCCTACTTTAAACTAGATTTATATAGAATCAAGGCTGAAGCCAAGTGCAATAGTCGCTTGTTGATTGTCAGGTTCAGAATTATCGAATAAAAAAACCTTGAAAAATAAACGATCAAATTATTCAATCCAGTTTGCCATCAATCATGTCGGCCATTCCTAATAGTAATATTTATATTCAATATGACTCTTATTCTGCACATGAATTGATAATCGATTCGTCTGCTCGTCTTTGAATTCTGTTAATCCAACACTATCCACTTGCATATGAATTATACTAGTTGCCACTGCTGCTCTACTCACATTTATACCCAATGATGCTGAACCCATTGTCAAGTCAATGGATTACAAACTTGGAATGCGTCAGTTTTTACTGGACTATTCAACAGGCAAGCATCAACAATCAAACTATAAACGGCTTCAGTGCTAATCTCAACTTTCTATTTCAGGTGCATACACTCTCATGACAACTGCCAATCGCAATCGTATTCTTTTACTCACAGAACATATTGTACGACTGGCACAGTCTGCATCACTCATTCAATTTGGTGTCTCGGATGCAGAATCAGAGGAATCCAGTTCAATCACTGAAACTATGTTTCCTGCTCGAACTCCAAATTGGCTGAGATCCCTTGTCATGGTTCCTATTAAAAAAACAATGGAAGATTATTTCAAACAACAGCCTGTAGGTGAGGCAAAAATAGCTGTTATTGTTGCGCTATCTCAAGATCAGGTGTGTAGAGCCAACGAGCATTCTTTGAGTTTAAACTGTTTTTAAATCCATTATCGACAAATTGCTAAATTGATGTTTTAAACCTGCTTTCCACTACAATTTGTTTTGTTGGACTCTTGTGGATAGAAACTGTTGATTGGGGTTCACTGTGATGCCTTGAATCCACCAGATCTCACTCTACCATGTAAAGTAGCAATGTTTGGAGCTCCAAGAATCAATCCCCGTGCAAAAATCACATCATGGATCACGTAGGTTCAAGTTTCTAAATTCACTATAACATACCGATGCCATTGAAACATATTTTGCGTCTTTTTTGACTTGAAAGTTGGATATTTCAAAATGTATTTAGAGATCGCAAGTATATTGAAGCTCTGCAACCACAAGGGTATCATGAGAGTATTTTGATTGACGAATCTGGGAATATCTATGAAGGAACAACCACCAATCTTGTTGTTTTGCTGATGGACAAGTGTGGACATCCTGTTTTGCTCTCAGCACCTAAAGGTACAATTCTTGAAGGCACTGTTCTTGGCCTGGTTAAGAAAGCATGTCAAAATCTGTCATTGGAATTTCGCAGAGAGTTTCCAAAACTAGATACTATTGAACACTGGAAAGGAGCGGCTATTTTAAGTAGGTTGGTCCATACCATAACACTACTAGCAACTATGACTAACTCTACTGATGCATAGATGCTGCTCGAATCATGTCTCCTGTTTCGACTGTGTATATACAAGGGTAAGCTGACTGGAATCGACCACTGAGATCAACCACTGCATGGAAATGTAAATACCAGATATTGATACAAACTTTTTTGATTGCATGTTTTTATTTGAACAATATAGTCTAGAAACTAGTATTCCAGTACATCATGATACAATGATCGCTTTGTCTAAGGAGATTCAAACCCTATTGTATGCTTCAGAATAACGAATAAAGCAACTGCCGAGAACAACAGCCAAATCAATAATGCAAGACGCGTTATTTCAATGGTTGATGTTTGGATGAAGCTTTACATTTGTGTTTCCTATAGTCCGCGACTATTTCTTTTGTTAGTTTAACGGGATATATATATGGAACCCCAATGTATTCAAACCCAAAAGCAAGACATTCTTTATAGACTTAACAACAAAATCAAAGCAGGCAGTCTACCTTGTGCTAGTATTGAACACCTAGACATGTATGCAACCGTGATACCGTCTCGAATTCCTGAAAGTGTTTTGAATGAAACTCAAACAAAGCATATGGGCAAACCTGCACGTCCTCTAATGAGCTTCGTACCATCCTTGTTGCCTCGACCTGTAGACTCGCGTGAACAGTATATCCAGCGGTTGCAGCAACGCATCCATGACATGCAGTCTACTAAGCCCAATCAACACCAGACATTGTATCGCTTACAAGAGAAACAGAAACAACAGATTTATTTACATCCGGTATTTCAATCAAATTTGCAACAACCAGATCAGGTGTCTGGACAACAGGGGTATGCTACAATCACGCAGCGTCGTGGTCGCAACACATCACAAGTCAATGCAAGCAACACATCTGCTTTAGAAACTACCAACCCATCAACATGTTTTGAAAGGAATGCATACACCTATGGCTCTAGTCGAGAAAATGTGAATACACAATCATCAATGGGAGATATTCCTCACAAGCAACCCTCTAAAGCCACACCACCTCGACTTCCAGCACTGATAAAACAGCAACATCAAATTCAAAGACCCTACAGCTCAAAGGTTCCAGTTACAACTACTCCATTGAATTCATCCACTTGTGAACCTCAAAGTCGAATTCGACTGAATCACGACAGACGCGACGTTGACCACGAAGTCTGTCAAAACAATCCAATACCAACTCGACCACAACAACAAAAGTCGTTGAAGCAATCAGTAGAAAAGCATACCATGCATCAGCACTCATTCAAATCTGCCCCATCTGCTCACTACAAGTTTACGAATTCGGTGATTCAGCCCATTCAATTGGGTTCAATCGTGTCAAATGAACCTCTTGTTGGTAAAGACCGTCACATTCAGCCTATGAAACATGACACGGAACAGGCTACATTTCCTGAATATATGGAGATTGGTCCAACACAACAATGCGTGCATTGTACGCGATCGTTTACATCAGATCGAATAGATAAACATATGGAGTCATGCAAGAAACTATCGCAAGGGCAAATTCGACGAAAAGTGTTTGATCCTACAGTAATGCGAACTCGAGGTACAGAGGCTGAAGTGTTTTTGAAACAAAAATCCGTGAAAAAGAATGTGTTGGGTATTGCAAAAGGTGCTTTTGCCATGGACGAAACAAGTCAATCGGATAACACTTCAAACTGGAGAGTCAAGCATGGTATGTTGGTTTCCAACTGCAGTATTTATATCGATTTCCATAACATTGAATATTGGAATATCAATGCTTGATATTTGAAGCATCTACCCAAAACATTATGTGAAAACTGATATGTTGAATGCTTATTTATTGGGCAATACCTATAGAACAATTTAGACAATCATTGATTGAAGCACGAATGGTATCAAAGTTTTTGGCTAAAGGTGGGAAAGCAAAGGATCTTCCTCCTACAGCTCCAGCAGTCAATACAGGTAAGCCATGTCCATCTTGTGGTCGAAAGTTTGCCGAGGCGTCATGGGAGCGACATACAGGTATATGCGTCAACCTCAAGCATGGACCGCCAAAACGAAAAAAATAGGATTCGTTGAGTAAAAAATTAGTAAATAGAGCTGTAGACTGCATCAATGATGTGTTACACTTTTAGATTTGTTCCAGGGATATTTACGATAAAGACTCGATCACCGAATGTGCCTGTAGCATGGTATATTAAATCTGCAAGTCCCGAATTCCACCAATCTTGTGTTGAAAAACAGTTTAATAAAAACGTTCAATTTAAAATGTGTCTTGTTAATTACATTCAGCACTTTACACATGGATCTTACAGATATTGCAAATGGAACAATAGCATTTTCGGCGTTAGGAGATTTGCATAGCCATGCATGTCGTCGTGACTTGTGCCAGAGTAGAATCAGTCTGTTTGTGCATGCATGTGCCCAAGACTCGCCTAAACATGGCAGTACATTAAATTAGTTAAATATACACTCAATGCATAAAACTGTTGTTGTGAAATACCAAGATTCAACTTTACCGAGTGCTGGAACCATTAATGCAGACTCTCCATCTGTTCCTTTTCCAATAATTCGGGTAGTCATTTGGTTTGTAACAACAATCTGTCAAATTCAAAACATGGTAATTGCATAACCAAATGAGTTGATATTGGAATTTGATTTAAACCGTTCAAGGCAAACCACGATATCATTAAATTCCTACTGCAATATCAAACGTCTCGGCCACTTGTCGAAGCGTCTGGGCCATTCCAGTTAATATCCGTGACCGCAACGCCAGATCTCGATAAGCATGTCTAAAATGCAGAGCAATGCTATCAATCACAATCAACTTAAGTCCAGGATGTGTATGGATGTATGATTCCAAATTGTTGATGATATCTACTTGTTCCTGCTGTGAAAATACTCTTAGAATGTTTACACTATCTAATACTTGAGGCAGATCCATCCATGACGATCGATCTAATAAAATGCACAACATAGAGACCAACAGGAATAAAGTTTAAGATCAAACACTCATGAATTGTTTTTGATCATGAACATACCATCGATTGAAGTGTTGCAGAAATCAACAGTAGCTCGAGCAATGTCCTGAAATCGAGCAGCGGAGAAGCTGCCTTCGGTATCGATATAAAGAGCAGATCCACCTAGCCCACCAAGGATCCGAGGTATTTGAACGTTTGCACATAGTTGCATGCTAAGAATAATATGAAATGAATCCATTTGAATACACAGATAGTGATGAGGATGAAATCTATTTTGAAGCAGTATGAGATTGGAGTGATCAACTCTGACTATTACCATAACTGAGTCTTTCCAATGCCAGCCATACCACAGACTTCAGTGACCTTTGCAGTAGGAAATCCAACTCCACCATAAAACATTTCATCGATCCGACGACAAAAGGTAGCAACACCAAACGACTGCTGTTCTCTCTCCAGAGCCTCCAATGCAGACACTACTGTTTTGACTGATGGTTTGTATTAGCAAATCAGAGTTTGTTACAATATATTCTACTATGCAGTTTATTACACACTCGATCCTTTTCTTGTAGATTGCATTCAACTAATTGACAAACGAGAAGAAACTGAAATGATTTTAATAATTAAAAATGATTGTTGGAATCCAATGTCTTGACTATACAAAAGCTTATTTCTGAATACAAAACATATGAATTCTTCAAGTGAACTTTATCAAATAACAGTTATTCAATCGAGAACAGACAGGATTTATCTCGCCATTACTTGAATTCACCCAAATTATTGGCTTTCATGGATCAACCATCTTATAAAGATAAACTTGAGTCTGTTAACTCGGACCATTCATTGAAAGACTCTTCTGCTGCTCTTACATCGCCATTACAGGAACAAAACCTGTGGAGTCATGCTGAAGATGCAATTGCCAACTCTGCGTTATTACTGCAGAGTGTTGCTGCTAAAACTGGATTGTCTTCTGGGTTGCTGTCAGACAAAACTGCATCACATGTGCTAGGCGCTGTCGATGGTTCCAAAACAGCTTCTCCTATTGGGTATGCTGGATTGATGTTCTCGTATAATCCTGTTCTCTTGTCCATGTCGCATGTGTCGTTGGCCATCTGCAATAATTCTATTTAACTCCTGTTTATATTCTAGATCTAATTCTCAACGTTCTCATGATGGGTCTAGTGAGTATTGCTTATCTATCTTGGTACCAACTCTGAATTTGCTATCTGTACTGATTTCAACCTTGTTTGCATCAGATACTACTGTAGCTGGTATAACAACCGAACAACTTTATAATCAGATTGACAGGTATAGAGAAAAACTGGCAAATGGCATGCGGGAGTTTAAAAAGGTAGATTCCATTACTGGCTCAATTCCATGTTGATGATATGCTTCATCTCAAGTACATTCATTGCTCTTGTATTTGCTATTTTAACCGTGTGTTATTTTTAGGTCGAGGCAGAGAATGAACAGTTGAAATCAGAAGTAAGGACTATAAAGGCAGAACGATCTTCACAACGATTGGGTGAATCACCAGAGGATTTTGCTGCTCTTCGCTCCAAGATTCAGGTTCTTGAAAAAGAACTCGGGCAAGTGCGGTTCAATGCCAAACTCAAGATCAAGCAATTACAAAAAGAGATTGAACAGTCAAATAATAGTTTTGATTCTGCCATAGGATCACCAGCTAGAACAACTTCAAAATCACTCAGTTTAAATGCTCCCCAAAATGAGGAGCAAATTAGAATCACAGAGTTGGAAGAGAAATTACAGAAAACAAATGAATCAAAAGACTTGCTTGAACAGCGTGTGGTAACACTCGAGTCAGATTTGAAAAACTGCAAAGAAACTGCCAAAGAAAAGTTGGAGCAATTGACACGACAGCACACTGCAGAGCTAGATGCCTTTCAAATCTGCACTCCTCAACCCTCCAAATTAGTTATTTCGTCATCAGAGGCTCTACAGGATTCGCCATCTCCATCTATAGTCTCGTCAAATAATACAGCTTCAGTCGACAACCTTATGCACGAATATAAAGAATTGAATGCCATACTGACGTTACTCGTGAATCAATACTTGCAGTTTGATCACTCTTGTAAGCTTGATCCAAACAATCATCGTAAAGTTGTCGAGTCCATCATTGAATATTTTGCAAAAACATCGTCTGAAACTATCGAGAAATGTCAGGATCAGTTGCTGTTGATGAACTCTGCTAATCAAGCTTTGCGTAACCGTCGCTCTTGGTACGCGGAAGCATCTACTGAAACTCAAAATGAACTACAACATCAGGAACAAACTCGTCGTAGTTCTGAAATCCAATCTCCACGATCAAGAAAATTCCATCAGGAATCATTAAACTCTATTGAATCGTCTGGCATACAGGAAGAATCTTGCACTCCAGAAACACATAAATTACTCTTGGACGAATTGGCACGGGAAAAAGCACAAGTATTGCAGCTTCAATTGGAGCTGAATGGGCAACAGTCAAGACAGAGCAAGACTGTTTCTTCCAGTGCTTCACAAGCCGATTTATTGGACTGGGTGCCAAAATTAACTGCTAATTCGGATGCTCTTGAAAAGGATCTAGAATATTTTAAAACTGAAGCCAAGCAGGCTTTGCAAGAAAAAGAAGTTCTTATTGCAAAAATAGGCGAACTAACCATTCTGTTGTCAAATTTAGAAAAATCTAAAGGCTCAGATCTAACTACTGTAAGCAGCGGTTACTTTTATTTTGATGTAATTCTGAACAAAATGGCCTTGTTTCCAACTAAATTATGTCATCTCTTGTCAATCATTTGCTTTAAAGTCATCCGCAGCTCAAGAACGAAACTTTATGCTAGAGGAGCAGGTATGTCTATTTTTTGGGTATATTTTGATGTAGTGTTGATTTAATTAGTTGATCTCGACTAATTTTGAAAATAATAGCTTAAAGATTTTCGGGTACAAATTGCCAACCGTCAACGAGAAATTGTATCGACTCAGGAGTCATTAAAGATCAAAACTGGTGAATGCTGCTGTTTTGTATAAGCCTATATCAAGTCATTATCTAAACTTTGCTTGATTGATTTTTGACATAATAGCTGAACATGAGAAGCTTCAAAAGGAATACGATGATCGCATTCGCAAAATGAAAGGACTGCTTCTTGCGGCAAACAAGAGTATGACAGAGAGTAAAAAAACAATTGCGCAGCGGGAAACTGAGGTGACTGAACTTAAGGAGCAGCTAGAGAAAAGCACAGCATCTGAAGTATTTTTGAGAGATCGTGTTGATCATTTACAGAGTATGTTTTTGATTCTGTACTGTTCATTAGGGTACTTTAATTTGCCACTCTACTGATTTGTGACTTACTTTTGACTGTTTAAAGAAACAATGGATCGCATTGGAAGTGAATCACAAGACGATAGAGATGCACGCCAAGTACAGCTTGACGACTTGCGGAAACAGCTAACATTGGCAAAGGCAGAATGTGCCAATGTTCAATCGGAATTTCAAAGTTATAAAGTCAGAGCGGCTAATGCACTCCAAAAATCAGGGAACGGTGCTACAGAAAAGCGGTTTACGGAACTGCAGGACATTTGTGCGCAGTTGACACGAGAAAAGACGTAATCAATGATTCTCTCTGATAATTTATTTTTGGATGAACGCTTTATATGCTCATGTCAAGTATTTATGGAATTGGTTTTTATTTTAGCAACTATGAGGAGCAATTGAGACACTTGCAAAGTCGATCTGCTGTTCTTGAAAGCGACTTGACAGCTGCCATAGAGCAAATCACTTTAGCAGACGCCAATACTCAACGGTTAAAGCGTAGCGATGCGGATATTCAAATGATGCGAGTTGAAATTGAGTCGCTTACTCGAAAACTAGAGTTTGAAAAAAGCTTACACCAGAATGGTAATATTTTGACATAGATTACGTGGATACACTATGGTAGTAAATCAAACAAATGGTAGAGACTCGACCTAATATACGTTTATTGGACCACTGTAGCTCTCAATTCAATCCATTTGGAAAATGCTGCCAAAATAGATGCACTAAAGGAGCAACACAAGAAAGAATTGGATGATTTGAAAGAATCACTCAAATCAAATGCTCTTGCTGATTTGACGACACAAAGCAATGTGAGTTTGCATTTCTACTAGACGCTTGATTTAAATGGCTTGCTATTTGATGCAAGTAAAGCCACGTTAAGTACTGTCAGGCTAAATCCAATACAAATATCTGTAGAGTTTGCACAAGGAAGTCGAAATACTTCGAGAACAGCTTGCACAAGCTCGTTCCGAGTTGGTGAATCAAACTTTGTTTGATACGCGGGATAGTGTGTCATCGAATACAATGTCACGGATATCTGTAGATGCAACAAGACAAACTTCTCATTTGGAATCATCGACACATGGAAATGTCATATCATCAGCATCTTCATTATCCCATTTGGTAGATACACTCCCGACTTTGCATCGCGGAAGCTTGGCCAACAGTTTTGGCGGTGTTACGTCATACAAGGAAAAGGAATCACAGCTGAAAATGGAGCAGCTGCAAGATATGCTCAATGATAATGAAGCCGAGATTGAGCGACTTCACAATCAAGAAAAGGTAAATTTTAAATTTTTACCATCAAAATCTGATTTTGTTTGATTTTAAACAGATGTTTTATACCACTTGGCTAGTTTTTGAAGGAGGAGCTTAGACGGATTGATCGAATGGACAAGCGTCAAGATCTAAATGTCGAATATCTCAAAAATGTTGTTTTATCGTTTATTGAATCGGACACAAAAGAGGTAACTGCACTGAAATAAACTACAAAGCAAACTCATGCTGAACTGTTTTTAATCCTAACACATATATTTTGTTGTGTATGCTGATGAATTTAAAGCCATTGGTTCCTATTATTGCTCAAATTCTTCATCTGTCGCCGGAAGAAGCACAACGTATCCAAAAAAAGGTGCACGTTCCAGTTGACGAAATCATACCCAGTTTTGGATTCTTTGGATAGGTCTAGCAGAGGCAATCAAATGACACGAAGCGGTGATCATCTCATTTGACAGATATACGCACAATAAGTATGCGTTGTGAATGTGCGTTTAGAATGGCCAGTCGATAGTCATGTACTCGAGTTTTGTCTGCAAGCTACTTTGTCAAACATTCCAAATTAAATCGGTTTTGGTTTGACGATAGTATGTATTGTATGCATACAAATATATATATTTAACTTGGTCTGCAAAAATATGTTTTGAACTTGTTGGCGTTGATGGTCTATGGTATTTGATTGGCAAACAGGCGTTCATGTAAGGTACGCGACACAGATGTTTATATAGTAGTATGTATATCAAGGGCTCAGCATCAGATATACGCTGTATTGCATTGCTGTTTAAGGGTTTGCAATGTGTAATAAAACCACTTGAAACTCGCATACAGATAAAATAAATCATCAGCCATAAGATGCTATGAGTGGGTAAGCAGAGCCTTTAGTCTTTATTTATAAATGCATATACACGCCAAGCCAAAGCAAAAAGTCTACTAATTCATAAAAATCATTGAAAATTAGCTTGGTTCATCTACAAGTATGGACGAGACACGAGATTCTTGTCGTGTGTCTTTGATTTGTTTTGATGATGATTGAACGGGATCGATTTTGACATGACTAGGCGATTCCAAAGTAGCAGGAACAGATGAGGGATATCCAGTATAAATGGATTCTTGACTTGCATGATGTATCGAAGAATCTTCATTCGATAACATTAAAGCAACACTTGCCACTCCTGTAGATGAACGCGATTCATACGGTATAGAGTAGTTTGACTTTGGTCTAAATGCGTTATAATCTTTGGTTCCAGCTAGTTCAGAATACGAATAGTCAGATGTCAAACTGTCCATATTATCATCGTCAACCGAATCAGAAATTATATTATGCAATGACGGGATTGTCACTGTATGACGGGTGGTTTCTTGACTAAATGTGCGAGCTGGCGGAGGTGGGACTATAAAAGAATGTTCGGCAGGCTTAGAAACGGATCTACAGAGGGGTGCATGTGATTGTATATTTAAAAGTTCAGAAACACAAGTTGTGAGCGGAGCATCTGTATGTACATGGGAGGTATCAGCCAAACCAAATGAAGCAGTTGAAGTTGGCTGATGCGGCATGGCATTATGTACAAATCCTGAAGACTGATCCGTCACCAACTCTAGCTGCGAAAGTGGTTGCGAATGCACGTTTCTTTGTTGTCCATGTTGTAAATGATCTGAAAATGGTGTTGCTAACAAATGAAAATGTGAAGGTAAAGGCGGAATTAATGAAGTTGGCTGTGCTGGTAAGTGCACGGTAGTCTGAAGAGGCAGTGACATAGGTGATTGTGAATCAGGTAATGAACAAGGATGCATATGATAGTGTGATGGCGGGGTAGGCGCTACATTGCTCAAAGTTTGATCTGGGATCGTATCACAAAACTGTTCCGAACGAGTAGAAGCTAGATTCCACCCGGTTGATGAGGAGCCAGTTTTAGTGTTATCGCTTTCATTGTAGATTGTTTCTTTTACACTGTCGTGATGCTGGTGTTCGTGCATTACAGTAGCTCCAACATCTGTAGAACTAACGACAGTCAAATGCTCGTGGGAATGCTGTGGTAGATTTTCAAGGCCCTGATATGATCCGATTGAGGACGAAGAAGATATAGGTGCATGAAAAAATCCATCCGTGGTTCGTTTTAGCGGATCCTCGGCATTCACTTGAGAAGAGATGGCGTATGCTGACTGTTTGACTCTATGTTCAGCAGAATGATACACTGGATGATTTGTGGGGGTAACTGAGCCATACTCATCCATATGTCGTGGTGCATTCAGCTCAGTCTTTATAGATGTATATGCAGCGTGTGGTGTAAAGCCTGAATGATCAAAATTCATACCAGTCGGCTTGTGTGGTGAAATGGACCGTGGAATAGGTGGAAAATGATGTGGAGCATCATTGTGTATAGATGAGTCGATAGCCATTGCTCCATACGGTGGCAATTCTGTAGGAGATGATATAGAGTGTGTGGCAGAGCGTGTAAATGATAGTGAAGTAGAGAGTGCTGTATGACTAGGTGTATGATGATCGTGCAAATGTGTTTGTCTTGGTTTAGAATCGGAATCAAGAAACTTCATTGGAGGAGTATGCCAATCATGAGCATGACCAGCAAAGGGCAAAGGTGTTTGTACCTGTGAATGCGACTGTGAAGCTTCATGTGGATGAAAATATGAATAGGGATGTGATGATGATGGCAGTACTGAAATAGGATTGTTGTTACTGGAACTACCATGACAAGCAATAGTTGCATCGCCCATTTTCGTAGCAGCTTCAATTTTGCTTTCTTTAGCTTCTTCGACTGCAGCAGTCTCTGTCATAAAAACTGCTTTTCCAATCGGCAGGATAGCATCATCCACTGAGTGGCCATTGTCAACAAGAATCTTATCAAAGTCAAGTTTCAGTCTGTAATTGTGATAATAATTGCGTACTTGAATGGCAGACTTGGTACCAATGCCTTTGGATATTGTGTCCCAGTTTCGACCGTACTTGGACATGCTTTTGAGAAATTCGCTACGTTCATTAACAGACCAGTACGAAACAGTTTTACGAAGCGCTTGATGCTGGTTAGAGTTGTCCAGCATCTCGCGATTTGGAGATACACCTTCGTCAATTACCTCTGATTCTTCGGCTGGATTCGTTGAATCGGCCTGTGCAGCAGCGATGGCGGAAATAGCATCCAAAGGAGGAGTATTAGATCGATCAGGGGCCCCAGAAAGCAAAATGGTAGAACTAGATATTGTCTTTTTTCTAGAACCTTTTCGTTTTGGCTTCTCTTGGTCGTCAACATTGGCTGGTTCAGTTACAAGAGTAGTCGAAAAAATGCCTAATACACCGTCTTTTTCTGGAGCATCAGTGACCGAGCTAGATTTTGTGGCATTCTGTAAAAAAAATGGAGCCGAGTTCATTCGTGACGCATCAGTGCCTTGGCCAGTGTGAGATATAGTAGCATTATCGTCGCCAACAGGTGCATCACTTTCCATATCGGTATTGTTTAAGGCGTTTAGTGGCGAAGACTCTTTGTTTAGATCTGATATAGAAACATCCGAGCTTCGTTTCCTCTTGCCAAAGGTGTTTGGCAAGTCTTTGCGCTTGTCCTTTTTGGATACAGACACAAGATCCTTTGGCTTACGCTTTGTTGGGAGCGCCTGCATAGATGCTTCAGAAGTATGACTAAAACCTTCTAAAGATTCACGAGCGACAGCTTCTTCTCCAACCTTTCGACGATGATTATTGTAAAAAGCCTTGCACTGCTCAGATGTTTTTGTACCAACCATGCTAGCCATAGCTTCGAAATTACGCCCGACAAAATCAAACGCATGAAGTGCTTTGGCCTTTTCAGCTTCACTCCAATTAGTATCCGAAACACTGGTAGAACTAACTCCTTCAGCCTGAAATGGTTGCTGGATCTGAGTTTGATTGTTTACCTGGCCCTGAGATGTTGGTGAGATGGCTATATTGTGAGAAATAACATCAGCGCTAGTGGCATCCTTTATTGCCAAAAGTCTATGTTTCTTGGACTTGATCGTTCCACTGGTCTTGTTCGCGTCAGCATCGTCGTCAGCAGTAGATTCGTTACCGCCCACATCACAAACAGAGTCCCATGTCGAATGTGTACGCACATGGACAATTTCCTCATTAGCCTTTAGCAGATAAGTTTTGAAGAAGCTTGGTGCAATTGACAAATTAATTTTTTCTTTTCTTCGCCTTCCACGACCAGCAACAGAGCACTGCCGTAATAACTGTTTAAATCGCAAATTGACCTTTTCACGGTAATAATACTGTATACAATTTGCAGTACTCTTGTGTGGAAGACATGCAGATATTTTTGAAAAGTTTTTTCCACACTGAGTGAGTTTCACGCGAAGAATATCTCGTTCTTCATCTGACCAACACATATTCATCTTATTGTTGAAAACAGCAAGATTTCCAGCCGGATCGTGAACTAGTCCATTGTTGTTAATAAATTTAGTGGAGGTGCGTAACTCCGGGCTAATAATCATATCTGGCTCTTTGGCTGATCGCTCCAACTGACGTTGCTCGGCTTCGTTAGTGTTGTTTAACTGGTTTAATACATTCTGCCAATCTGCTTCGGTACGAACAACATCTGAGTTGATCCCTGTACGACGAGTAGATCGACCCATTTGGACATGTGTAGAGCCTTGAGTAATGGAATTGGATGCGCCTGGGCCCATTCCAAGCCGACTACCATCTGCAGCAAAACCCTGATCATTCTTAGCAGCGTGCTCAAGCCGTTCTACTTTGGCCATCCATGACTCGTTGAGTTGCTCAAACTCATCCCTCAAATTAGCTTCTAAATTCATTTGTGCAAACATCTGGTTACGGACATGGTTAACAATATACGGTCGAATCTGATCATTCCGTTGTATATTATCGCGATAGAAATCATATGATGCAGGTGAAGAGGTTACTTTTGTAGCAAAATCCATTACACCCGCCACAATTTTATGACGAATAAACATGCGTTTTTTGAACTCGTGCGAGAGAGCTTGATTATCATGAAGCACTTTTTCAATAATAGACTCGTGCGACTGAGACTCGTTGCTGTCGTGAGAAACTGCACGAGCTCGGATATCATCTAGAATAAAATCAGAAAAGTAAGGTCTGTGCTCAATGGGAATTTTGCGTCGAGAAACAGTGCCAATCGAGCCAGCTTCATTTACTTGGCCCATCTCCTGATCCTTTTCTGTAGCAGATGAAACCTCCTCTGCAGCATTGGCAGCTTCAATGGCAATCTTGGCTCTGAGAGTGGCCAAAAGACGCTCATGGTTTGCTATTTCGTTATCTACATGCTCAATTTGCTCCTCGATATATTCATGATCATATTCATTTCCCTCTTCGTCCTCTTCGTCATTGTCAGATTCTTCAGAGGAGAGCTGTGGCTGAATTGTAGGTACTGATGGTCTGATCAATACTGGACGGACATGTTGCTGTGAAATCAAGCTATCCGATTTATGCTCCTTCAAATGATGCGGTGGTTCAGAATCATCATCTGTTGCAGAGTTTGAAAATGGCAGCTGTCTGGAATAAAAGGAATCATGGTGAGCATCATCCAATAGTAAAGGCGCTCCAGGAACAATCTCATCGGCACCAGAACGAGAACCCCGATCTAACGACTCAAATGTGTCATCGTATTCTCGACTAGACTGTCTGTTTATATGTGCTCCCATTGATCCCATCAAGGTAGGTGGAGTTTTGAGTGGCTTTCGATACATTGCACCAGTGGGCGATGAAGGGCGACCATTGGATAAAGCTAGATCTGGAGGAGGTGGTCTACCATACCCCGCTCGCCTATCATAAGGTGTGTAAGAGGTGAGGCTTGCTCCAGGTCGCCCTGACGGATATTCTCCAGGAGATCGGTGTGAAGGCGAACGAATTTTTGAAGGGTAGTAATCACGAGGTCCACGAGAAGAATACGAATCTCGCTCCCCATAGTATCTAAATGTCAAAAGCATTTGAAAGATGAATTTTAGTTTAAGCCCATAAAAATAAAATGACTGATTAGCCTTTGAAATACTCGACAGCTTACAATCTAAAGCCTTCTTCTCTAGGTCTAAAATAGCCTCTGGAATATGGGGAAGCAGGCGGTCGATCCAAATCTCGATCAAACCTGGCAGGTCTGTCCCGTTTATATGAGAGTAGCCATCTCTCATCATTGTCACGACCGGACCCTTGGTTTGTAGCTGAACGTTGCCATGAACCATTTCCTTCTCCAAATCTAGGACTTGCGCCATATGCTGTATCTCTATCTGGCCCACCTCTATATCCAGTGTTACCAAATCGCTCTTTCCGAATATGAGTCTTTAAAACAATAATAAAAATCAATTAGAAAAGGTCAAAGTTGGATTTGAATGGAGGGTAAAATACACATTCTTACATCTTTGTCTTGATTTCTTGCTGAGCTACCAGAATATGCGTTTCGATTCTTGTACATGGATGTCGAGTCTACTCCGGGATTAGTGGAAGAACCATGGAATCCAGTAAAACCTCCAGTTGATACAGTTGAGTTGGCAGCAACAGACTCTGTTGCAGAAGCAGATTGAAGTTGCCGGCGAGGTAAAAAGTCGGGAGAGTCGCTACCAATGCGAGCATATCTACTAGATCGTTTTGGATAATCATCCACTGCAGATCCAGATGCAGTTCGGCTAGAAAATGGTGCAGATCCTTGCGAATAACCTCGCTCATTGAAATTTGCCGAGGTAGATGATGGCTGCGTATTTCCCCCTCGATATGAGTGGGGTAGATCTTGACGAGCACGCTGAGATGTAGACTGGGATGGTTGTAAAGGGACATGTGGGCTCCTAAATGATCCATGAGATTCCGTATCTCTAGACCAGACATTAGGTCGAGTATAATCATCGCGGGGATGCAAAGGTTGTGCAGGTTGCTGCTGTCTATGAGGAGTAGATCTGGATTGAGAGTGGTCTCGCATCCTAATTTGAAAATAGTGTCAAGCCCTGTTGTGATTAATCTATGTACAAAAATACATATGTTAATGGTATTATTACAGTCGTATTCACATGAAATCAAACACTAGATAAGGAAGGCAAAGTACATAATATGTGCTCATTCTTGTATAAAATACTGCATGAATGTTCACATCACAGTTCCAGTAGATCACACACTTTCTCAGTTTCCAACTTTCCTTCATCCAAACATTAGGCGATTGGTATGAAGAAACAGTTACATTTCTAAAATGTGCAATCTTCTGAACTAGAACGCGAACGTATCTGGGAGTTAGAATACAGGAGTCTGTATAGAGTTCAACTAAAAACAGTTGAACCCAATATCTGGATTAAAATGAATGAATCTGGTCTCAAACATGGTAATTGTACAATGCATGACTGCAAAGAGGAGAATTAGATGATTTGATTGTGTGAGCATCACATGAAAGACGTTTTCTCTAAAAGAATCAAGAATATCTATTCAAGTCAGTTTGTAGAAAGAAGCGTAACGAATATGCAATCATTGTCTATTCCAAAGCAAGATAAATGCAAGTCCACTCTATGAATATGGCGGTAACTTGCTGGATGATTTTTAACTGAATATTAAATATCCAAAATAAATCAGCATAACAGAAACTTTATAAATAAACAGTAGGAATAGTAGCTGCTGTATCAGGAAGAGTATGATAATTCAGCAGATAGGATCAAGCCATACGCTGTTGAGCTTTTAGTAATGCATTTAGAACTGAGTGAATTTGGACTACCTTTAGATACAGTTGAAGTGTAGCAGCGTTTCAAATTAAAAACTTGGTATAAGCACAGTTCTGAGTAGTAAAAATAACCAATGATGTAGTAGTGAAGCAGCGACTCTGAGAGTACAAGTTGTTCAAGTCAGTGAGCAGTTTGAGTGCAGTTTGAATGCAAACTCGGCAATTTGCAAACCGCATATTTGGAAACTAGCCACCATTATTTGCAAAAATGCAGTATACGCCCGGTATTATAGTGGCCAGTATCCAATCGGGTCAACTCATTACTAGTGATGGATTAAACTCAACCCCACAAGTTTAAATAAAATATATTATTTGGCTCACAAGAACGATAATCTGAATGTCACTGAGTCGTCGCCTAGCAGATCGTACTAGAAACTTTAGCCCCAAATTCCAGACTGAGGACAAGATGACCGAGCACCGCATCTGCAACCGTTGCAGCGAGTCAATCTCATCATCATCCAAGAACATGGCGAACCATCTGTCCAGGTGCAAGGAAATACCGACGACCATTAGCTACGCGTCCGTTGCAGTCAGTGAGAGCAGCAATGTCAGCGTGTCTGTGTTCTCAGCAAGCTTGAGATCGCAGTGGGTTGTCGTGATATCACCAATGACTTGGACGCCGATCCAGTCTCGAGAATTTTGAGCAAAGCCGAACTTGAAAAGCAACATATGCTCAACAATTTGATGTCTGCCAACCAGTCGCCCAGCGATCCGGAAGCTGTAGCAGACTGGATTCACGCATGTTTTAAACTGTCATCCGAGTATTGGGCGGCTCAAGTCCTGCAACTGTATTCGCATAAAATGTAGCACTAAATGAGGATGCCAAAGCACACAATAAATAATATTCAGAGTTAATGGAGTCAGATTTTTGTCGTTTTGTGAAAACAATTCGTCATTGAGAGAAACCTTTATGGCCAGCAGCAAAAATGAAAAGTCGTAATCATTGCCATCAGTGTACATTATTATTTGCATAAATTTCACTCAATTACACTTTTGTGTATGATCGGGTTGGATTTTTTGTAAATATCGATATAGTATCTGCTAATTTAAATGGCAGGAGCATCCATCACTCGGATCTTCTGTATCACAACGACAATCTGGCTTGTTGACACGGCCAGCTTGATGATCTTGTTCCAACGGGATCCTCAGCGGTTCATCTATATAGTTTAAATGGATCTAAAACAATCGTGTAGTTTTACAAATAATCCAAGTTTTCAAAAGACTGCAACAGCAACCTGCTTGATGCCATCAATGTTTTCAGAGCATGATGAAATGGTCGAGTATATTTATATTTCATCCCTCGTGTTTAATTGTATGCTTTGTCACGAGAATAACAACCATTGGCCAAATCAAACAACTCTCCGTTCACGTGATAATGTCTGGTATTTTGTTTTCAAAATGTCGAGTCTTTTTTTGCTACGAACCACCGCTGCGAATTCCCACAAGGACGGTCTATATCTCCAGCTAAAAAGGAAACATGTCTTCTTCGTATGTCGTTCCCAGTAAGAAACTCGGTCAAGAGGAGACCGTTGAACCCACCATTCACCGCATCCGTATCACCCTCACCTCCCGTAACGTTGCCAGTCTTGAAAAGGGTAGGCTTGAATCGGATATCAATTGATTTGCCATGACACTATCGTGGATCAAGACTGATCGATTATGCTCGTCAGTCTTGATTCATGTGTTGTCTGTATAAATGTACAGCTGTTTAATCCGTCGTTTATCCAACTAAATGTCTAACGATGTTGTATCAAATCGCCAATTGAACCGTGTAGTCTCCAACGATTTGATCCAGCGCTCTAAGGAGAAGAAGTTGAAGGTCAAAGGTCCCGTCCGCATGCCTACCAAGATCCTCAAGGTCACCACTCGTAAAACCCCTTGTGGTAACGGTTCCAAGACCTTTGATACTTATGAGATGAAAATCCACAAGCGTCTTATCGATCTCCACTCTCCCTCCGAGATTGTCAAGCAGATTACATCCATCTCTATTGAGCCCGGAGTTGAGGTTGAAGTTACCATCCAGAACGCTTAAATGCGCTGGTAACCAAGTTTCGGCTGAATCCTCATTTTTGAGAGTTTGAAACCAGCGAATTTTGAAATTTCTGGATCTGAAATGAATTGCTTCGTAATGTTTTATTCTCTCAAACCCCAATTGTCTATTTTCAAATGGATTTAAACCAACTAGTAAAAGTGAATCTAGAGCAAAGGGCATTTACTCGAGATATGAAGTATTGAAGCGGACAACAATAACTGTAAGATTATCTGTCGAAAAATTGTCCAGTGCAAAGTCCAGCAATGTGTCGGCTGCTTCTTGTGGATCATGAATACCCTTGATGATGTCCGATGCCTGCTGGTCAGTACACACGTCCCAAATCTACAGTTGACAGCAGTTTAATTCCAACATACTAGTACAAACCTAGACCCAACCAAGTACCAACTCACCCCGTCACATGCAAGAATAAGAAAAGAATCTGTATTGTTTAGCTCCGTCTCTGTTGTGTATGGATTTCCAATAACCCATTCCTTCATGCTCATATCACCTAGTGAGCGAGTAACTGCCAAAACACCTAGATCAACCCACAACTGTAATTAGATCCAAACTACATCCGTCTCGTCAAACACTCGGCAAACCACTTACCATTGACTCTGCTATTCATCACAAAACCACCTGCATCCAATATTCTACGCGACTCTTGTTGATCTGAGCCTTTATGATCATAAGAGAGTCTGACTGCAGAACCATTTCGACTAGCAAAATCAATTCAAAAAATGAAAATTAGCCAATCCATGATACAAACCACAGATGCTGTACAAGCTACCCCACCATAAAACCGCTCTAGAATCTCCAACATTCGCCGTATATAATACTCGCACTTTACGAGTTCCCTGTTGATCATTATTTAAAAAGCTCCTATGTTCAGTCCGAACGAATCCTACTACCGCCGTGCATCCCGCATGCATGCCTTTTCGTTGTGATAATTGTTGATCTGTTAGTAAAAATGCATTATTAAGTATCTCTGGGATACTCGCTGTAGGCTGCTCTTTCAGTAGCTGTGCGAAATTCTATAAACATAACCAATAGCATTAAATAACAGTTAGCTTGACATAAAAGTAAAGTATACAGCTAAACTAAACTCTATTATAAAGAGTGATGAGCTATTAGAGAATAAGGAGTTCCATTGAGGTACGCGAATAAGCCTTACTGTATGGAGATTCTGACCACAATAGTCTGCCGCACTTCTGCCTGCATGTCCATCAAAAACAGCGAAAAATCCTAAAGGCATCAGGTGCGCAACAGTGGCTTGAATGAGTGCATGATCTGGATGCAATGGTTTCATGCCATTGAATACTCAAGCAACTTACCAGATCCATCCTCGTCCAAATAGTTGTAAGTGATTGTATGAGAGTCCTAGATACAAAAAATACGCATAGAAAAGAATGTTGGCAGTGAGCGATCCAATGCAAACTTTTGTTAGCGATATGCATCCTGACAAGTGCACAGGAAAAACTAGCACTGACCTCCATCGTTCGTCTATACTTTTTGTTTCGATCTTCAGAAAAGCCAACCTTGAATCCAGCACGAATAGACTCTTCGTCATCAAACGGAGTGTAGTTGGGATCATCTTCCTCATTATCCATCTGATCATCACCAGTGTCCTCATTCTCTTTGCCTCGCTTACTCTTGCTGTTTCCAGAAGAACCCGCAGTCTCTTCTTCTTCACTATCACTATCGTCTCGATTCGGAGATCGCTTCTTTCGTCGTCTGACTTTTCTTATAACCACGGCATTTTGGGTGCCAGCTTTATCGGCTAGGATAGATGCCATCATATGCAAATAAAATAAAAATTAAAAGGGATTCCAAAAAGTAGAATAACTGGGGTATGTAACTAGAGATCAAGCAGTGTGTTGTCTATCCCACAGTTCTATTGGAGAGTAAAGCAGCTAGGGTAGTGAATCTTGTATACAAGAAAGTCAAAGATCTTCTAGCGATGGCGGAGAAGTGACATTCGCACCCTTGCCAATCACCACATGTAATAGGTCGCCGCATTTCAGCATCCACCAAGCAAACAGGCAAAATCCGCTTGCCGCATGTATGCGGGGTCCAAATTGAAAGTATTCACAGCTAAGATCGAGGGAGCAGCAATACAACTCAGAAATACGGCACACATTTGCTCAAGTGGTCAGCTCTAAATACTATAGATAATTGAATGAAAACATGCACTGATATTGCTTTCAGGCTACGACTCATTAATCCATTACACTGAATAATACATGCTATTCAGCCTACAAACGGACAGAATTGCAGAGGCTTTTCAGTCTACTTTTTCTACAGCATGGCAGTAACAGACCACAATCTCGCTATTCTATATCAACATATATGGACTAGCAAATCTGTCTTATGGACCCGTAACACTCACCATATTTGATATGGCAGGAGAGTAATCTAATTCACTTTGACCCACACATGTGCTACAGGACAATTGATGTCAAGCCATGGCATTTGCATAGAGTAAGACTAGAAACCAGACAAAGGAGATGCAAGTGGTAAATAACTCACTCTCTAGGGTCATTGCTCAGGAAAGTTGTACTACGGCACAAGGATTGAATGTGCAGCTATTCCAAAAGAAGAGCAAGCAGAGGAATTGATTGCTTTTGGCGAAAGGGAAGGAAGCAGAACAGGTTTTGGGTGTAAAGGACCAACACTAGTCTACTCTGATGATACTCGCAACCATGAATTGGTATACAAGATACATGACAAGCCAGTCTTGTCTAAATAATAGTATAGGCACACTTGGATCCTGTAAAACGCCTACCTTTACCTGAAGCATCGCCGTCATGATCTTCGTCATCGTCGTCTTCACCACCAGGTCCCATAGATACAAGTCTGGATGATGCCATGGTTCCCCAGCTAGCTACAGGCACTGTATCGTCGTCACCCAAGTCCAGCACGGTTGTGGTCGAAGCTATTGCAGTGGACTCCAAACGGGACGCGCTGATGGTGCCAATAGCTTCAGGCGCAGCAACTAAAGCAGCAGCTGTAGTCAGTGAGGATGGGTTATAATGACTACTATTGACATGAGAGTGTTTTAAAGTATGATGCTTTCCTCCAAAAGGACTAGTGGAATTCATACTAGATTGATGTCTAACAGCTTCGAGTGGTTCTACTGCCCCCATCAAATGCCCCCGCGCTTGTCCGCTTGCTACAGCATATGGTCTATGTGAAGCACTGCTGCCTGAAATACCATTCATTACTGTTGCACTATTAGTGGAATTTCTATTGCTCTCTGATTGATGCGGAATTTGATGTATGCTAGATGACTCTGCTGCTGCCAGTATACGGACCGTTGCTAACAACGAGTCTGTCGAGTCGGACGAGTTCATGGAAGCAGCGGGATGGTGAGCAGTTACCCATGATGATGCTGCTAATGTAGCTGTAGTGGTAGTAGAAGAGTGACTGCTTTCACTTAGATTAGATGATACTACACTGATGGCTGTACCACTTTCTTCCAGCTGAGTTTCCAAAGTGGTTGTGTTGGGTAGCACGTTACTACCAATATCTGTAGATTCTAAAACTGGTTCAGGGTTGGATGCAGTAGCCTGCATGTTAATTGGTAGATATAATAGTAATGGTCACTATTGTTGTAGATTTACAGCCGTATTCACGTAAAATGAAACACTTTTCTGTATTTATCCTGTAATGATTGTCTTGGAATAAACAATGGTTAAATATTCGTTGCTGGAAATTGATGATTTCTTTTTATTGAAACTCTATTCTAATATCAGATACGTTTGCGTTCCAGCTCAGCATATCTCAGGAATCCAACTGTTGTTTCCATGATGATTACCGAGCGTTTGGGTTGAAAAGGGAAAGTTGGACGTTGAACCAATGTCGAGGATGTGCAATGTATTGGAACAGAGATGTGAACATTTGTCCAGTATCTTTGTACATGAATGAACACAACCAGTCAACCAATGAGTTCAAAAATAATGTTGTCCAGTAAGATTAGCATTAATCAAACATGATTGTTTATCATGTATTTTGACACTTGATGCTCCATTTTATGTGAATACGATTGTAAAGATTCACTAATGATTAGTATGTTGCAAAAACTCGTACAACTCAATCTTGAAATCAACTCCAAACCCCATCCATCAACTTATTGTAATCCTATATAGTGGAATGCATGTTACACTGATCATTCACACACATCTTTTAAACTCGATCATTTTATTGCTCAAATCTAAAGCACTTTTTCTAGTGCATGAGCCAGATCATCTCCTACCCATCCATGTGTTTGCATCTCCGTCAACCGAGAAATGGCTCGCTGAAATGCAAATACTTCTTCTGCGCCTGTAAATAATGAGCTTGTCGCCTACAAATAAATGTCAACATCTGCCACGTTTACAAATGAGTCAAATGTTTACCAAAATTGATTTCACGTACCTGTTCAGTCGAAAGCTTTAAATCATCCATCAAGAGTCTGTGTGTATCTGCAATGATCTGGTGTGCATGGGGGTTAATTTTGTCTAAAAACAGCTCGGAAAGATTCGATTCCATAGTGGCTACCAGCTTAATCTATATCAATATATTAGTCAGTAATACAGCATACTATAGCCTATATTAGTTTTTCCCTGCAGCTATTCACAATGCCACGTACTCGATTTTCATACATGGCGTCAAGCAATGTAATAAACCGTCTAGCCTCGTTACGATGAGCTAGTGTCATGGCGGGAACATCTGTCAACAAAATTATATCAAAGTGTTTGACAAGCTCCAGGTAATCTGCAGCACTATGCGGCTCTCCACAGAGTTGCTGGAAAGAAACCTTTGCAACTCGTCCTGCAGACTCCTTGATCAGCAACGTACGTCCCCAAAAAGATATTTCTTTGGCTTCAACTAGTGTATTTTAAACATCAGCTCGACAGTAAGCTAGAGTATTGAAAAAGCTGTATAATCACGCTATATTAACCATGATGCACCATTACCCTTTGTACCGCCGCGAAGTTGATTAAACAGACGACGAATGATATCGTCAGTTTCAATATTCAAGGGGCTACATGTGAAATTCAGTAAAGTGAAACGTCGTTACTCTGATCTATAATCAAAGACAAACCAACCTTAAATACACTTGATACCGGTTATGATCTAGTATGGTAAATAGTTAATTGACATGCTTTTTTTCAAACAATAGTACCAACTGATATATATCTTCAAAACATTACCTTGTTTTCGATAGTCAATTCCGGAATTTAAAGAGTGAACTTGACACCGATTTTTCAATAAATCAATTGCAGGAAGAAAGCTTTGTCTTTGAATACCATTCTGGTATAAGTCTACAAATAGGATTTGAATGCAGTTTAACATTTAAAGCACATCAAAGACACATATTTGACAACAAAACATACCATCGGGCGGCCTATTGGAAGTAGTAACCATGACAACTCCACGATCAAACAATTCAGAAAAAAGCCTCCTATACAAAAAACCATCATCAATACTCTTGCTAAAAATGCATCTCTATTCAATGACAAAATCTTATACCGGAGAATCATGGCATCTCCAATATCTGTGACCTGCATCTCATCAAAACACAACAGCCAGGCCTCGCTTGCCAATTCGGATGCAATCAGTGGCAGTGGATCAGATGTGATCCCTTCATGAACACGTAACTTGTGAATACGTTTATGAACATCCTGCATAAATGCGTGAAAATGAACTCTGTTTTTGAGTGGTGTTGGTACGGTTTGGTAAAACAAATCTAAAATCTCACGTCATTGTAAAGTTTAAAAGTAGATTTAGCCAGGCATATTTAAAATGCATTACTATAATAAATTATACAGAAACAAGTCTTACCCATTAACATGGTTTTGCCAGTACCAACATCACCATAAATGTAGAGCCCATTGGGACCTCGAATAGCTCGACTTACAGTCTGTTTCTGATCAAATAACTCTTTGATCTAAACACTCGGAGAAAAATACGCCAATTAGCATAAAGATCAAAGACTAAAACATGGATCATTTAATAGCGTTGATACAGATTGTAAACCGATTCATCACCATGTTCATGCATTCAACATACTGTTCCAAAAATGGTCTTTTCATTCTTATTAATCCAAGCGAAATCGGGCGACTTGATATTTTCTTTGCCAGAGTCGTCACCAACATTCAGTTTTACATGCTGCTTGACTTTTTCTGGTAAAGGCAGTTTGGGTGGGTCGTAATGCTCGATTCGGCGGTATAGTTCCTCAAGTTTAGCAACAGATTGGCGTTGGTGTGCATCTTCGCGCAGTTTACCTGCTTCAACCAAGTGGGTATAAAGCTCAATTGGACTTTGATGAACACTGCAAGCCTGAGCGGTAGTGTGTTGGCTTCTTGATACTATTGAAAGTGTAGTTGAGCATGTATGCGTTGCTGTCTGTAGCTGTAAATTGAATGGTGCGTTGGTATTAACCATTCTGATGATCAATGGTAGTCGACGATCACTACAGGCTAGAAAATGTGTTTGGGGTAGTACTTTTATAGACCCATTAAGGCTGGTCATAGCCAACATCCTTTGAGTAGTTTTAAGCATTGATGGCAAGTAAGTGAATTCAAAAAAGGTCAGTCAATAAAATGGCAGTAATGTTTTACAGCTGTATTCACGTAAAATGAAACACTAGAAACTGGCCAAATGTTCAATCACATCAGTTTCAGTAAATCTCACTTGTTCAATCTCCAACTTTCCTTTTCTACAAATTGAACACTGACATTGAGTGATTGACATGAAAACAACAGTTGTATTGAAACGTGCAATCAACTTTGTCAAACTAGAACGCGAGTGGACTGGTTTTAGGATACAAAAGTTTGTAGTTGTATTAAAAACGATCCAACCTAATATCTGTATTGCAATGTATAGATCTGGTTTGAAACTTGACGATCGTATAATATGTGACTATTCAAAATAAAACGAGATAATTTGGTTGTATGCATGATACGATGGATGTTGTGTTTATTGAATTGAGAATGTCGATTGTAAGAGCAGTGCAATTAATTTGTAATAAGAAGATGCAACGAGTATTCGATCATTGTTTATTGCAAAGCAAGAGAGAGTCACTGCAAGATAGATATAAAGTGATCCATTTTACACAAGTATGGCTGTAAAAGTATATATATTTCATGCCAAAATCGATCTTTCAAGATACATTTGCATGCGTTTCTTGGAAGTGCCGTTGATTTCTTCAAGAAGTGACGGACATCCCTTGAGAACTTCTGTCAATACTTGCTTTGATATCATATAAGTTTGACATGGCTCTTTGGCCTTGACAAAAGCAGTGCGTGCCACATTTTGAAAAGGAGCGACCTCGCCAAACCATTCTCCTGGCTTGATTGTATCACAGTCTGTGTCAAATTCACTCAAAACTTGAGCACATCCTGTTACAAGAAAGAAAATACTGAATGGGTGTGATTGATTTCAAAAGAGACGAGTAGATTGCGTTGGGATTTTTGCCGGAAAGTACAACAGCAAGACATGAACATATATATGCAACAGTAGATTTGGTTTAAAAGGTTAGTTTCTGACTTCCAAACAATAATTCGACTATTAACCCAATGCTATACTCTAACGTGAATAGCACACCTCCACTGAATGGATTGATAATGATTTGAATTTTTTCATCACATTATCTATTCACATTCCTACCCAACTGCTTAATGCAATACCTTGTTTACAACTTTTGCAAAATAAATTTGCATCATAGACCATAGTACCAAAAAGATACTGCAGAATAGCAAGGCAAAGGTGTGATGCGTACCTATCTCCAATCTCACCATATGAGATGATGGTAGCTCCAGAGTCCCAATCCTGTTGCTTCATATGCGTCGAAAGCTGCTCGAGAGTTGCAGTATCCAGCAACGCGAAAGCAGGATGCTAGTTGCAATGCATTTCATATCAAATTAGTTACAATAAAGCATATTAGCCATATTATATATATATGCTGTATCACTCATTAGATTGATTGGATACTCTTCCAACAAAAGAAAGTACACGTCCTACACTTTTGAGAGATTGCGATGGGCTTGTAGTTGGAGGTATTGACATTTGATTTGCCTACAATATAGGAGGGCAAAGTAAAATTAAATAAGATTAAGCTAGCATTTGTATCGAAATCATTAATAATGCTATATTTCTCCACAACACTTTCCACCACGTGATGACTGCTATATACTCTTGTGGTATTTACAGCCATACTTGTGTAAAATGGATCACTTTGCATCTATCTTGCAGTGACTCTCTCTTGCTTTGCAATAAACAATGGTCGAATACTCGTTGTATCTTCTTATTACAAATTAATTACACTGCTCTTACAATCGACATTCTCAATTCAATAAACACAACATCCATCGTATCATGCATACAACCAAATTATCTCGTTTTCTTTTGAATAGTCACATATTATACGATCGTCAAGTTTCAAACCAGATCTATACATTGCAATACAGATATTAGGTTGGATCGTTTTTAATACAACTACAAACTTTTGTATCCTGAAACCAGTCCACTCGCGTTCTAGTTTGACAAAGTTGATTGCACGTTTCAATACAACTGTTGTTTCCATGTCAATCACTCAATGTCAGTGTTCAATTTGTAGAAAAGGAAAGTTGGAGATTGAACAAGTGAGATTTACTGAAACTGATGTGATTGAACATTTGGTCAGTTTCTAGTGTTTCATTTTACGTGAATACAGCTGTAGTTGTAAATACTCTTGATACGCACTACCTTTGATCAGAATGACTTGACAACTACTGTCATCAGATCTGTGTAGAATTAAAGTTGATTGATCAAGCTGCAATGTAACCTTTCTACAAACCACTGAATATTTCACAAAACTAGATGTATATTCCTCGATCCCATATAATATTGGTTTATTAAAGAACCATAACATCCTGACAATCTTTGATAAGCCATGTATATTGAATTAGATATCCCTGTAGTGTTCTTTTTCCCGTTCATGTCTATCATATTCAAGCAAAGATAAGTAGTTCATTCTAGAAGCATATATGGGCAGATTCAATCCAAATACCTTTTGGTTAAATCACGGGCTTGTGCAGTTTGACGTCTCAGTTCAGCCATATAGATGGCCCAGTCTCGCTCTTTGCGCTTCCTTCGACGCTTGTCTGGGTTAGACTCGAATCGCTCTTGGCCTCTAACTAGTGCACGAAAGTTGCTTTCTTCAAGGATACGCCGCAGTTGGAAGTAAGCCTGAGTAGAGTTGGTGCCTTTGACAACAACGGATCGACCAGCAGACTGGGGCAGAGATTCGCCCATGTGTTTCTTGAAGCCTCTAGATGAATGTGTGATGTTGACTGGAGTGGATAAAAGAGAAAAGACTATTGGTGCAGCCATCGATGGGCCTGCAGCAAGCCTAGACCATGCTGTCCTAATCGAAGAAATCGTCAGCATGTTGGATTCAAGCAAAGAAATTTCTGCCAATTTATTCTGCTCGTCACAATGTCTGGTATTGCAAGAATCGAAAGAAAAGCTTCCCATGCCGGATCTTGGTATTCAGCATCTCAGGAACAGCTGTCTTCTCAACTAGACTCTTGGATTTCTACTGCAGATATTACTCCAAATCCCAATGTTCGGGCCATTATTGCTCCGTAAGCTCACTCAATCTTGAGCATTGTCTTGAATGCCTTTTGATAAAGCCATGCATGTTTCTATTGCAACTGGATGCAGCCTCTAACCTTTATCTCAATCATGAACTGTCATCCCTGTTACCGTTAAATCAAACTAGTCATGCTGGATATAGTTACAGCGGTCCTGCAGCTGCTTGGGCATATGGAGCCATTGACTCTCACCAGATGTAAGTACTCGTCGTAATGGTCAATCAGCTGGTGATCTGTTTTCAAGTTTAAACTTTTGCCTGAGAACATTGTAATTCTACCAATTTGTTTCCATCTAACCCTGTTTTCCCTATCAATATTGGACTTGGATTGTCAATTTAGAAAACGAGTCTTTATTCTGGGGTATGGTGTTATATCATTGTGCTTGTCGTTCATTACATATCTGGTCTTGTTCAAGCTATTTTATAACTCACCAGCATGTTGTATTGTAAGCTAGTCCGAGCCATCATGTATATATTGGGGGATGTGCGCTTTCTCCGTGTACAATCTACAAAACACCGCTTGGAGATCTCACTATTGACACAGACGTTGTTGCTAGTCTAAAAGCCACTGGGCAGTTTGAAACCTTGTCCATCCAAGCTGATGAGGATGAACACAGTGTAGAAATGCATCTTCCATACCTTTACAAAATCATGTCCAAGTAAGCCTGTCTATTTAACAACATCCAAGATGCAATACATGATTGAAAGAAGTCCATAAGATAAACTGCATCGGTTTTGATTCAATTTACTCAACAACGTGCTTATGAAATAGAAAAACAACACCATATACGATCGTTCCCATATTGGTAGGAGCATCGCGATCTTCAGATCAACATAACTATGCCACCATCTTTGCCCCTTATCTAGCAGACTCGACCAATTTGTTTATTGTCTCTTCAGACTTTTGTCACTGGGGTCCTAATTTTGGATATACCTACCAGTTTGACCCATCACTTCAAATTCATGCTTCTATTGAAAAACTCGATCGTGAAGCCATGCGAGTGATCGAAACGGGTAATTCCAAAGACTTTGAAGCTTATTTAAAGCGCACAAAAAATACTATTTGTGGTCGAAATCCGATCGGGGTTTTGTTGCATGCTTTGGAGTGCTTGGAAAATATGGGCAAAAAAGTGGACATCAAGTTTACGCACTACGCCCAGTCAAGTCGCGCACTGACAAAACGGGATAACTCGGTGTCGTATGCATCTGCACATGTTACTCTTGCATAGTGAATGTAACTAGTTTGTTTTCATTCAAGTCTATTTTTACAAATAAAAACTGTCTAAATTCCAATGGTACCATTATTGATATTGAATCCCTAATCGTTTTACTCGGCATTGATTTCTTTCAAATCTTGATGCTGGTTCATTTGCAATAAAGCAGCTTGGGATCGACCGTACCTGTATGTATTGAACATTCCTTGTAGGCTTGACTTGATGCATACAGCTCTGGTTTCCTGATAACATCGTTGTCAATGATAGCGTATACCCCGATTCCATTGTAACTAAAGCCATTCCTAAATAATCCAGGTGGAAAATACATGCACTCATACCAAATTCGTTTGATCGTATGCTGGCAGTACTAAATGATTTCAATGACATTTCGAAAAGCGTGACGGATATCACTGACACGCTTATCCGTCTCTGCTTTATCGAAAACCCCATCAAGTTCCATTATATCTTGTATAAAATCACCATAAAGTTTAAAAGGCAGTTTATTTCCTGACATGACACATACGATTCATAAAAAATTGATGTTGAGAATAAAGATACTTTCAAAAAAGCATCTAGCAATGACGCTAAAGATTTATATAGAATGGGTTGAAAATGGTGTGGTTTTTGGCCTACAAACACTGTTATCAAAAATTCAATCACGATGAGTGTTTTCTAAACCATATACTCGTCAAAATAAATGTATATTTATGCAGTAGGCGTTGGTTCTGGGGTTGGGGTTGGGGTGACAGTTGGCTCTGGAGTTGGAGTAACTGTTGGGGTGACAGTTGGCTCTGGGGTCGGGGTTGGGGTGACTGTTGATTCCGGAGTTGGGGTAACAGTTGACTCTGGAGTAGAGGTAACAGTTGATTCCGGAGTAGAGGTAACAGTTGACTCTGGAGTTAGAGTAACTGTTGGGGTGACTGTTGATTCCGGAGTTGGGGTAACAGTTGACTCTGGAGTAGAGGTAACAGTTGATTCCGGAGTAGAGGTAACACTAGGCATATCTGAAGATGGAGCAAGAGTAGAGCTGGAAGTGTCGTAAGTGGCAGTCAAAAGTGAGGATGAAGTAGAAGTGCTAAAGCATAGCTTGCTTGCAGTAGAATATTTAGTAACAGTCTTGGTTATGGTTATGGTAGCAGGTCTGCATCCACACTTAGTCTTGGTTTTGTGTTTACGGCTGTGGCGAGCCTTGTCATGATCGTGTTCATCATCACTGTCGTCATCATCATGACAATCGTCATAATCACTGGGGGTTGAGGGTTTAGGAATCGGAGTGTGTCGGGCAGTAGTGTGAGAGTGAGCTGTAAACGTAGACAAAGATTGGATCAACGTTGATTAGTTAAAAACGCGTACCAAACATGGTATCATATTAAACAATATAGGACTAGATTTGCATGTACCATGAGAAGGGCTTGGTTTAGGCCTGGAACTTGTACGAGTTCTACGATGATACTTGGTACGAGATGTCACCGAGTGGTGAGATTTTGTCGCGGATGGAAGTGGTTCCACGGAAGCAGAATCTGAAGTGGCAATAGCCAAAGAAGCAAGAGCAGATAGAACAAAGGCTAGGCTGAACTTCATACTGAAAATAAGGGTGTATGTTTAATGTATTAGATAGGTTGAATTAAATGGTCTAGTGGAGTATGACATTGGTTTTATATTCATGTGTTTTTTTGGCCCAGGCTGGGCTTACCAGATCGATGTTAATCGTGTAAAGTTAACATGTCGAGATAATAAACCAATCATGTTAGTAGTACTCAATGGCATGCTTCCAAGTATTGGCTAAACCATATGTTTCATGTAGAGACAGAAAACATTGCACTTTCCTGGGTCAAACATGAAAAAGCTTGTTTTTTTTCAAATATACTTGTCTCGGGCCTGTTTGGTTCATTTTGGGATTGAGTGTAAAACATGTTAAAACATATCATTTATCCATATTATTTAGTTCAATTGAAACAATAAAACTTCCATGTACAGTAAAACATCAACTTGTCTACAGCCGAATTGCCGCACTCCTATAACCATTGCATGAGCTGATTTATCTGGTTGGTTCAACAAATATATTGTAAATTATAATTATCAGCTGCAGTTCAAATATTACGTTATTTATAATACTTATCATGACATATAATGGCCATGATACGATGATTAATTTGAAAAGGGTTAACATGGGATAGTCATTAAGGAACTGATACGAGTTAGTGTAGAAAAACAGCTTTCAAGAGCAGTTAGGTTTTGTCCAATAAACTGTTTGGTTTGCAAATACTCTGACGTTGATCCATTTGCACAATTGTTGCCAGGTAACTCGGACTTGTAAATGACGATTTGTTTGGTTAATACCTTGATTCTTGTATTGGTGTTCATATGAGGACTTGCCGCGTCGAAACAGGACTAACAAGTGTTCCAAATTGATGACAACAAGTGTAGACTCACCAATAGGAAGCAATAGACTAATTGTATCTGCGTGAGAATGAGCTTCATTTCCAATTGCAGAAAAATACACCATCGCCAAATATAATACTTTTAATGGCATCGTTATTGACAGCAGACTTGGGGAATTGAATATCATAGGATACATTTACTCATACAAAGCTAGTTTTATACCAATGTACTATTTTCAAGCCAGATTAGTTAAATTCATAACTACTGCAGTCGCTGTATTACTATTTGTTTTTCATGGCCTTTAATACGCATATGTGAGCGAATACTGTCAATTAAACAAGAGCAACTGTATTTTTTTTGTTGTATGTTGATTCGAATATCTAGATATCCTACAAAGTGATCGGAATTCCGGAATATTGCCGTAATGCTGCAGACAACTATACATCTTGTAATTTTAGGGTTTAAATATGCGGATTTGATACGTTGAAGTAGATCATTTGCTCGTTTCCATCTCTCGAGTCCTTGACTTTAAACCAACCAAGTACCATGTGATGGCAATATTTTGCATGCCATACTTACAGGGTCGCATCATTTGTACAACTACACGAATATCAATCTGAATTCAAAATTGTTTTTCGCCATTCAACACAAAATCACACATTCAAGAGATTTGATTTATTGACAATGAAACTCGATTGAAACTACCCTGAATAAAAATTTGGTGATAGTAGATATATTCTCAAGAGCAAGCTCGACTAAAGCTGTGGCACCAAGAGTTCTAGAGTGCCTACTATTTGAGTTTAAGCAGTGGACGACTTGTACGATCAAACATGAGATATCCGCCAATCAAAAAGGCGACAGAAATAGCGACATTAATAATCACACCAGTCCATAGAGTAGGAGTGTGCAATGAAAATTCGACAAGAACTGCTTCGCCATTGGCATAACAGGTACGGTTAGCAGGACATGGATCAAAAACAAGTCCAGAAAATTCGTTTTGACAAAGAGCTTTGTTTGAATATGCAATCAAAGAAATCCATTGCAGCCTATCGGTGCCAAAAATAAACATTAATACGAGTGCATCTACATGTAATTTAGCTAGATAATTTAAGCAATCAACTTACCACCGAAGAAATGCTGGGATCTTGTCAAGATTGACTAGTTGGCCACCAAACAAGACAAAAGTGATACTAACCAGTGGAGCAATAATCAGCCCAACGCGAACATTAGGAACACCAGCTCCGATAAGCAGACCAAGAGCATTGGCTGCATTCACATGTACCAAAATAACACAAACGAATGTAAAAAACTTTTCCGTAGTAGGTTGAAGTCCAGCCATCCAATAGATTGGGACTGTCAATACAATAGCACCCAAAAACGAGAGAGGGAGAGACGAAATCCATTTTGCAATAAATGCCGACGACGATCGATAAGAACCTGCAGCACGCTCTCTTTTGATAATCTGTCGCTGTATAGGAAATACTGAGATATTTGGCATAACCTAGATACAAGGTGAATCTACTAGTAAGATACCAAATAAAACGAGTAAATGACAATTAGGCAAATTCGCACAAGTTTGGCTTACCACTGAAAATGTCTGGTTGATACAAATAAAGAACAACAGTCCAATACGACTCTGAACACCAGCAGTATCATGGGATAGTTTAAAATATATAAAGCCAATAAGAAGCATGAGGAATATACTTTGTCCAAATGTCGTTCCAATTGTTGCCTTGTCTCGTGACAAATCAACCATATTACGATGTAGTAAAACTTTAATTTCGGTAAGCCAACTAGACGGCCATACAGTAGGTTCCTTTACAGAGTCTCTAGTATCGTTCCCAGCAACAAAAGTCGTAGGGTTAGTATTATGCTTGATTTGGCGTATTTCTTCGTATGAAGCGACGAATTTGTCAATACGTGCTTTAGAGCTTGTGCGCAGTTCATCGGATCGCAAATCTAGTGTCATGATGTCCAAAAAGAAATCGGATGGATTGGTTTTTTCGGGAAGAGGATAGCCTAGACTTTTAAAATTCTCAAGTGCACCTGAAAACATGATAAATAATTAGCATGACTGGTATTTATAAAGTACACTTTTATGCTTCAGCTTACCACTCGTACTGCCAAACCACAGGCATTTTCCAACACTCAACAGCACAATTTTGTCAAACTGTTCCAAAATATCTGTGCGTGGTTGATGAATTGTCATGAGCACAATTTTGTTTTGAGCAACCGCAAGCTGTTTGATTGTGCTGACAATATTTAAAGAGTTGAACGCATCCAAACCCGAAGTAGGTTCATCCAAAAATAAAATATCTGGATCCGTCACAAGCTCAATACCAATGGAAACTCGCTTCCGCTCGCCGCCTGAGATGCCACGAACTTCTGAATCACCAATCCAAGTGTCACGACATCCCTGCAAGCCAAGACTGGCAATGACGTTTTCAACGCGCTGTTCTTTTTCGGATCTAGGCATAGTGGATGGCAGTCGGAGAAGGGCAGAGTACATGAGTGTGTTGTATACTGACAAGTTCCGAAAGACGACATCGTCTTGCTCGACATACGCACATTGCTGTCTCCATGTCGATGCATTACGTTTTTTGCCATTCGTCAGAATTTCACCAGTAAGTTTTCCTGGCCCAATTCGGCCGGCCAATGTGTTGAGCAAAGTGGATTTGCCAGCACCTATACATTGATGTTTCACAAAATAGCAAAAGATAAGCCACAATGTGATAAGCATGGAGTGACACTCCAATCATGAGAGTTTTGATATTGCATTGTCAAGCATTGCTGAAAATAACGATATTTGAACCAGTGATGAACGAACAATGACTTTACCTGAACCACCCATGATAGCTACAACCTCGCCCGCCTTTACCTGACCAAACATGCCTTGTATGAGAGTCTTCATTTCTTTTTTTTTAGTCTTGTCAGCAACACTATATCCAACGTCGCTCCAAGTAAATGTTCTGTCTGACGGTAGACATTCTTCCATTATCATAACAGCGGTGTCTTTGACCATTTTGAAGCAAACTCGTAGGCTTTAGCTGATAATCAACCGAAGGATTCTTTCAAGTTAAACAGGATAACTGTTGGTTTCAATTAATCAAATATCCAAATATATATACTAATTTAAAATGCTTCGTCGGATTTCATTCGGCGGATTTGAAATCCGCTCTTTGCCACCAAGTCCCAAAATTCCCGTTACTCATGAGTTGACAAGCAGTGTCAGATACACAGCCAAGCACATTTGGATATTACTTTTCAGTAGTAACGGGTCCTTCTACCGAAAGTGAATGGGAGATGGTATTTACTCATCTCTGTACAGTTTATGCTTGTGGCAAGGCTTAATAGGCTATGTGTCATTGTATCACCAAGATAGAGTCTACCTTCAGCCTTTTGCAATATCGATAGATTGTTTGCCGATCTAAGTGGTAGGATCATTTATAAATTATACTTTGTGTACCATGACCAGTTTTTTAAACAGTCTGATCCTCTGGATTCGATATAGACAACATCACTCTCCATCTATATAAAGTTGACATTGACCTAAACTGCAGTTTTACGAACCAAGACCTCGTTTCTAAAATGCTGCAACAGCTGCTTGTTTGATACCGTCTGAATGTTTTCAAAGCATGGCAAGATTAGAGCTTTCTATACAGCCAAAAACACTTTTTCTGTTCTCATCCCATTGTCACAGTTTTCGATTATAAGCACTTGCTTTTTGTTAGTAGTGCTTCATCACCAATTCACATTCGATCAACCATTTGGCTGATTGCTGATGGTTTGTAAGCACTCGGGTGGCTTGGTAATTATATAGTAGGGGCTGCCTTGTCTCAATCACTCCACTACATCTGTTTATCAGTAATTACGGCCGTATCCATGAGAATGAGTCACTAAATAAGAGTGTCAGTCCATAATAAGCAGCCAATCTCATGAAATGATTGGTGTCAGTTTCCATCAATTTACTAGACAGCATTGTTCCCTCCGAACTCGTTAAAGTTGACTGGGTTTCTGGTGATCGACACCAAGACAACTGTTGCATTTCCGAGATTGTTCTATTGGACTAGAACGCAACACATCCGAGGTTTTAGAATACAACAAAGTAGGGTTTGTAGACTTGACAGCGGAACTCAGTATATCAATCTGACGATCGTGCAATATATGGCTATGCAAAAAGAGATCGTTTGTGATTATCATATGATGGACACTTGAATTAAGAATACCAAATTTTAATAGGAAAGCATGGCAAAGGTTAAGCCATTGTTTATTTCAAAGCAAAATATTGACTGAAAGTATTCTGTTTTACATGAATACGGCCGTAAATCAGCCATTCTAGAAATAATCGGCAACTCATCCGGCTTATTTCATGCTTTATTTCAAGATATTTGTATTCGCCAGGATCAGATAAACAATAGCCATATTCATTACAAGAGATCGGTAAGATCAAAAGCATCTAAAGCGGTTGGTTCAAGACCGATTAGTATTTACCCTTGAATTCATCTTTCAAAGTGACAATTCCAGTTTCCTTGTCATGAACCACCACACGACGCATAATCTGTCTTAAAAGGTCCTTGTTAGTAGGGTTTGATTGCAGAAAATTGCGTACATGTGCAACAATGTCCTTGACCGTAATAGGTGCTCCTTTTTTAGCTTGAATCACACGAATGATATGCTCTTCTGTCAATACTGCTCCTAATTTCAACCAAGCCATCATTGTATGTGTCATCAATCCTCATATGTCTGAAATAATCAAACCGTTTGATTTTACATTGAGATCTATCTAAAACATCAATTTTGTAGCTACCTGTGTTTTCACTATCACCGCTACGAGGTGGCGATCCAGGAACAGACAAGGCTGAAGGAGAAGCGGCCGAAGAATGAGAGATTGAGCGTGGAGTCGGCTGACGAACCTGCGAATTGTGCGGACTGGCTGGCGAGCTGGATTGTGGTCGACTACTAGGTTTGGAACTAGACTGATGCTGTGTTGGATTGAATGGACTTGATGGTGCATCTCCTTGGCTCGCAATCGACATTCGCGCTCGCTTCTTGCTTCGTTGCTCCTTTTGTTTCTCGAGCTCTCGGGCAATGACTTGTGCTGGTGCAGGAGGCGGCGGCGGACTCTGATGTTTGAATTTAGCCAGATCACCAGGTTGACAAAATAGTCAGAGATCGCAACACTAATAAGATGGCTCAAAAATGACAAATAGGACGCAATCCAACACTTACATTATGTCCAGTCATACCAGTACTGACACTAGATTCACGTCTTCTCTTGATTTCTGACGATGAAGCAGGTCCAGGGGTAGATCCACCTGATTTGGGTCTGTTTTTTCCATTGGCTGTGGATGTGTTTGATAAAGGGGACGTTGCAGAAGGCTGTGATGATGGGGATGTAGGTGAGGCTACACGCGGAGACTGTGTGCCTGAAATGGATCCAGATCGTTGCAACTTTGTTGATGATCCAGACACATCTCGACGAATCTTCATAATCAAATCGGCTTCTTTCTTAGCTGCTATGGCCTGCTGTTGAGCTGCCTTTTCGTCCTTTTGCTCTTCCATTTCGTTAAGCTCCTCATCCTCCTCCTAAATATATACAAATCAGATACAGATACAACACGCATTAAAAGTCTCGAAGTCTTTACCTCATCGCTGACATAAGGGTTTTCTTCATCCATTTCGTATACATCATTCTTTTCATGTTTAACAAGACTCTTGGCGATTTTCTGGCAATTTGAATCCAATGAAGATACACGTTGAATAGTTAGCATTCCCAAAAGATACCAAGCACTTGTAAAACGACTGTTCTAGAAAATAAGCCCAAATCTAATATCAAGGTTGGGTATACCCAGCATACCTTGGCTACTTTCCCTTTGCGTAAATTGTCAAGCTCAGCATCCACATCTTCTTCGTCCTCAAATCGCTGATTTGCCCTGTCCTCACCAAACATACGACGAGCAGCATCTTTGGCATCTTCGGCATCATCAATACCAAAATTGATTTCTTCATCGTCTGCAAACTCCTCCGTGTAATCAAGTCCAGGCTCTGCCTCTCTTTTAGTTTTTACAACAGCATGTTTGGGCTCACTGGTTGTATAGATTTATCAAAGCACATGCTTGTAAACATTAGTATATAATCAGTCGCTGCATTCAAACCAAAAGGCAACAATGCTGATTTACAACATGCGAGATTCAAATCTCCAATAAATAGTGCCACGCTTACTCGTCTATAATATTATTTCGAAGCTTATCCATGAGCGACATGGATTTTTCGCCATCTATTCCCTCCTGTTTATTCAACATACTAGCGCTATAAGTAAAATGCCAAATCATTGTCAAGATATGTTGTAGCAAAATACCTTGTTTCGCATGACCCATCGATCAGAGTGAGATGAAACCTTGGATCTAGTTTTGGTTTTCATCTGCTCTTCTGCCTCGTCAACCGTCAACGTACGATAGTTTACCCTAGGCATAAATTTGTAAAATTTTGTCGCAGGAATGACCTTGAATCCTCCATTCTATTCCAGATAAAAATACACCGATCCAAACATGGTAAAGTTGAATTGATCCGCTTCAAGAAAAATACACAGCTGTTTAAATTAAAAGATAAACTGACCACAAAAACAAAAAGCATATAGTTTGACCCCTGAGATCCTTCCAAATTCCCAGTGTAGTATTGATCATCATCATCCTGCAGCACCCATGGATGGCGATCTGGATCTCCGTGACGAGCATTCACGCTGGTAAGAATCATATCCGTATCTCCAAGACGATCACTATTTCCAGCATCCTCATGGTCTCGACTCAAATAGTATGTTCGAGTTTTCTTTTTAAATAGGTTTTGCTTTTGCTTTGCAGCATTTCCAAACGGTGCAATCTTGTCCTTATCAAGACTAATGTTGATGCCACCTAACCCTATATTGCCATCGATCTGATTGTCTCCACGACCAGCAGCCTTGAATTCTTTTCCTTGACGGATAGCATCCAAACGATATTGTTCCTGACGGATCTTGTATGGATCTTGACGAACCATTGTTACAGGAGCCTTGAATGATTTAAGATCAAACTTTGGGTTTGGCACTTTCATTATATGATGGGGCATAACACCTGCTCCGGCTGCAATAAGACGATGCGTTTCGTAAGTAGCTACCGGTTGAACAGCTGGAATCTGCTGGACAGGCTGTTGCTGTACTTTGCGTTGGGCTTCTGTGGTAGATTCAGGCAAAGTTGCACTTTGTTGCTGCTGTTGTGATATTGCCTGTTGGTGCTGCCCCTGGGCATGTTGCTGTTGAGAGATTAGTTGTTGAAGGTTCTGCTGAACATAGGCATGGGCTTGTTGCTGAGCCTGTGCAGGGGTAAGTCCTTGAGAAAGCAGATGTGATATCACTTGTTGCATAGCATTCTGATACATGGGGTTTTGTGTCTGCTGCTGACCATCTCTGCCTCCATCAACCTTCCTGTTGCCATTGTTCATCCCAAAACCTGTCGAGTTTACAACTGAAGACAAAAGGAGAATGTCAGATAAATATTTATTTGTATTCCAACAACCCAATTTCATTGTTTCGAAGCCATTCTGATGGCATCAAGCAGATTGCCGTCGCAGCAAGAGTTTTCTGTTTGTAAAACTGCACGACTGCTTCAGATTAGCAGACTCTAGTGGAACGCCCAAACTTTCGTGTCAGAACAAGACAAAACGAGTGACGCTGTTCTATACTCAATCAAGAGAATCAACAGATTGGTCGTGTCGACAAGTCGGGCTGTCGTCACGGTACGCAAGATACGATCGATAAATGCTCATACTATTCAAACCAGCAGACAATTTACCGATATTTGCAAAAGAACTCCAAGAGTCTTTTCTGTTGACAATTTCTCGCTTATCTCCGCTTTCATACCCTTTATCATCAGCTGTAAGAATAAACACATTTTGGTTGTTAGTTTTGTATTTGGGCCAATTTTTGTCAAGATTTATGCCAATTTTTGTACTTGAAGCAACTTTTACACTTGCACTCCGCTCTTTGAACTACCAAGTCTTATATGTTTAATGGAGCGGAACTTGAATGGTGCAATACAACCGCCTTATATCTGCATCAAAAATCATCACATATACAGCTTAACAAGTATATATCACTTGCTGAAAAGCATATTTTCAAGGGCACCACTTGTTTGGATACTCAACAGTCAGATACGATATTCTTAAATTATGAACATGCGCCGAGTATACCTTGTAATACACCCGATATCGCGCCTATTCAGTCTGCCATCTTACCACTATCAAGTATGTCTATATCATGTACCAAACGTGTGTCTACTGAAGGCTTTGCATCAGATCTTTTAAAAAACGAGCGCAAGACAATCCAGCCCCTTTTATTTAAAGCAAGCCATACCATTAGCAATCCTGGCAAGGTACAAGCCAAGGAAAACAGAACCGCAAAGCGTGCTTATCGTCAACTGCCTACTGAAGTGGTAATGCATTTGATCACCCACGTTTCTTCAAAACGAGATCTACTGCCACTGATGGTTCTCAACCGCCAATTTTATTTTTGTGTCTACAAGGTAGTTTTCCAAATTAAACTGACAAGCGTATCTACTCTTGTTGATTTTATTTTAAAATGTGATGGCCATTTAGATTCAACTAACATGCTTTGTTTGAACCATTGAATCGACGCTTGTTTATACACCACAACACACTCTAGGTTTTTTGGAAATATCCTATTTTCAACAGCATTCAAAAATGGCTTAGGCTTTTGCATGTTCTTACAGCAACGGCATCAGGAGCGCTCCATGCATCAAAGATTGCCAATCTAAATTTTTCAATGATTCCAGTCATGGGCGATAGAAGTCAGCGTATTCTTATCACGAATTTAATCCTAGCATGTCCCAATATAACTCATCTGAATCTCTACCGTTGCGAGTGGATAACGGATACCCTTTTGCATCAAATTCCACAGTCATGCCACATACTTCGAGTTGTCAATTTTTCATACTGCAGACAGGTGTCGGATGAAACTGTGGCAATACTGGCACAATATTGTCCATTAATCGAGTCTTTGATTTTACGCGAGTGCGGAAAAATAGGAGATGCGAGTTTGGAAACCATTGCAAAGTCTGGATGGCGGTATCTTCGACAGTTGAACTTTGCCCAATGTGGACATATTACTGATCGCGGATTGGCTTGGATGGCATATAAGCCCACATCTAACGACTACAACAGGGATTTTACAATGCCATCCACGTCAATATGTGAACATAACACTCGGTTTAATGATGTTTTGCAAAATAATGAGTCTGATTCTTCAATCTGCATCCATTTGGATGATGCTAATCCATATGACATTTTTCATTCCATCAATGCATTTGAACAAATCACTCAACTCATTATAACCAAATGTTTTCAAGTGACAGATCAAGGTCTTTATTCAATATCCCAAGGATGTGGTAAGCTACGCATGCTAGGCATGGCTGGATTGACCGAAATTACTGCACATGGTGTATTAGTTATTATAAACCAATGTGTCGATCTATCTATTTTGAATGTGCATGCATGTCCACAGCTGTCAGCTCAATGGCTCTCTACCATCTACAGACATTCACGTTTGAGGGTATGTCATGAAAAACTAATCAATCGTCAGTCAATCTGCAAGCCAAAAGAGATTTTGTCCACAAAGCAAAGAAATAGTTATCAGCAGCAGTTGGAAGGAGCGAGTTTACTCATCTCTACTGCCTGCGCTACTGAAACACCTCAAAGCATACACAGCTCCAATACGACATAAGGGACATATAGAAGGTGCTTTTACAATGCTATAGTATCATTTAGGTACAGACGATCAAACGAATTTATTTCGAATCGTGATCGAAAAGTCTAACTAATGTGCGCAAGAAACCAAGCATGCAGCCCACCAGTCTCTTAGTATTCAGATCTATTCATTTTTCATACATAATATAATTATTATTGACCATTTATGGTCTGCTACTATTGCATGTATAAGCATTTATATTTAGCAGGTTGGAGCATTGGAGAAAAGAATAGGGCCTAAGCTCCAAACCCACCCTAAAATATGGTTGAATATGCGTGATTTTTGCTACACGAATATTTTATCTTTGAAATGATGAGTAGCGGAGCATCGAAGCGTAGAGATGCTGCCAATTCAAATACTGTCGCTCACTCTTCATTGCTTCAAAGACTACTGCTGACTCTTCTGGCCACATGCTCTACGGTATTAGCAGCTTCGATATCACAAGAAAGTGCAGACTCTCCATCCCTTTCTAAACGATTCCGACCTAACCCGCATAGCGACAATAGTCATCGTCGTCGCCATGATTTAAACGTCAAAAAAGTATCTGCCACTGGCATTTCCAAAGTAAACTCTCTTCGTCTTACCAAGGCTTCAGACGACTGTATTGTCGATCCAACGGCAATAGCATGCAGGTCATACAAATACCCATCAGAAAATATCACTCAGAACTTGAATGCATTGTGTGGGTCCATGCCAAATATGCCAGGTACTTGTATATCTACATATGTGTTGCAATGCAACCATTGAACTGTTGTAATGTCGATTATATTGAATAGACTTGCTTATTGTAAACTTTTGATTTCATCGAGTTTAGCTTTTGGCGCTAACCCTGCATTGTTTATCCATAGGTTGCAGTATTCGTAAATCATGCACACAGTTGCCAACGTCAAAAAAGTGGTTTTGTAAGGAGTTTAGTTTACTAGCTGATATTTGTGCTGCAGACATGTCAGGCATGCGAGACTGTAGCAACTATGTCAAGGTAAACCACATTCGTGGATTTGGATCATTGTTACCCAACAAGTCACTTGTTTCAATATTCAGATAAAAAAGATGATGCGTTATCCTTATTGTTCTAAATCTGCCGATTTATTCAATGTCTCCATCTTTATCTACTAGCCTCTATTGAAGTATTACCATGTTGTGTAGATTGCTTAAACGTAGCCAAAATTTAATGCATTCACGTTTTAGATGTGCAAGACTGGAACATTGGTGAAGCAGTGCTATGACGAACCTCCAATTGCATACCTTCCAACAACTAAACACGCCAAGCAGCTTGTGTTGGACATTTGCTCCGACATGTACATGACTGGATGCGAAACATGCCAGCCAGAAAGTATGTGTTTTGGATTTGATGTTTATGGCAGCCTATGTTTGAGCATGCCAGATATGCCTCAGGTATAATATTGCTTTGTTTTAAACTGTTCACTATCAAGATTCAAGAATTGGATATTTGAAGTAACATCGCGTATTTAGTGTAATGAATGGAAACGCATGTGCAGTAAAGAGCCCATGGTACATATTTGTCCCTTGGATTCACCTGAACGTGATCATGGCCAAAATGGGTCACCAGGCGATACGAATCATCGCTTTGGTCCAACGATGAAAATGTATTTTCATTTTGGCTACAGCGACTACATTTTATTTGATTCCTGGGTTCCGCGATCTACCTTTTCATATGCTTTAGGATGCTTGTTTTGTTTCCTTTTAGCAATAGGTTACGAGTTTCTTCTTGTGGTTGGATCTGGATTAGACACAGCATGGAAAATGGTAGAGTCGAGCCGACACAGCAATGATGTAGGGTTAGGCGACACATTGGAATTGCCCATGTCTGGAAGCGATCATTCGTTTGGCCTATATAGGTCTCCCATGGAAAATCCCAATATCAGTGTACTCAGTGACGACACGCCATTGCTAAGACCACGCAGTCGGATTACTGGAAAAAGGCGAACATCGCTGAATATTTCTACTCATCCAAAACTGCAACCAAACCATGAGTCGCAGAATTTGCCTTTATGTCCTACAACGGATCTGACTGATCAAATCGATATGGGTCCTGATGGAGAAGAGGAAAGCGTGTTTGATCATAGTATGAGCGAATCTTCCAGTCATATACATCAGCGTGTGATCTCACACGGAAATACAAGCCAGGCTGCAGGGTTATCAGGTGATTTATATTTTACTATAGTATGGTGACCATTCTATCCCAGAATGGTTTATGATATTAGCTTTTTGAGTGTTAGTATTACTGTTCTAAATATGCCAACTGCTTTGCCTTTACATTTCAATATCTCGTTGAATAGATTTTCTGCAGCATCACTCGGGAGATATTTCCCATCATTCAAACCAACACACGCCAACACAATATCTCTCACGCCTATACACAAAAAAGTGGACGCATTTACAGATGCGAATTGGTCGTGCGCTGATTCGTCTCGTCACAATTACACTTGCATATATCTGCATGCTGTTGGTCATGTCGTTTAACGTTGGATTGTTTTTATCTGTCGTTGTAGGACTGGCGGTTGGCAAGTTTATGTGGAGTCATGAGGCATATGGTGTTGGAGGCAATATTCCCTTCAATAGTGATAATTTGGTTGAAAAGGAGCACTGTTGCTAAAATAGGGTTTTAGCAGTTTGGTATAATGGTTTGGAGTTGTCAAATAGAATAGCTGAAACCAGTCAGATGCATATCTTTGCGTATGCTCTAGTCTACAATTTCATTCACAAGCATGCCATGACGAGATAAAATCCGTGTTTCTTTACGTGCACCTTTTTCAGCGAGGTTTATCTACTAAAATAAACTTGAATGCCAGAACATGAGATTTGTGCAGACATAAATTGAAACGCATTTACACTATCAAACAAACCAAGTAGTATTAATTGACATGAAGTTGATTTTATTTAGTGAAATGTCAAAGATGTCCCGAATTTTTTAGGGAAACAACAAGACAAGAGGTTTCTTGTGAGGGTTGTATATCTACAATGTCAACAGACACAGAAGGGAAAATAAGGCAGTGTTGTCGGACCTCGAATGTATAAAATAGCAATGAGCTTATTTCGAGGACTGGTACTTTGTGACAGCCTTTGTTCCTTCAGAGACGGCATGCTTGGCAAGTTCACCAGGAAGAATCAAACGAACAGAAGTCTGGACTTCACGAGATGAAATGGTAGATCGCTTGTTGTAAGAAGCAAGTTTGGAGGCTTCGCCAGCAATACGCTCAAAGATGTCATTGACAAACGAGTTCATGATGGACATGGCTTTGTTGGAGATACCCGTGTCAGGATGGACCTGTTTGAGAACCTTGTAGATATAAGTGGAGTAGGTTTCCTTCCTGGTCTTCTTTTTAGACTTTGTAGCATCTTTTGTTTTCTTTTCGGCAGTTTTTACGGGAGCCTTGCCAGCGGGTTTCTTTGCAGCAGGGACAGCAGTGGGAGCAGCAGCAGTGGTGGTAACGTCCTTTGGAGGCATGTTTGAATAGAATAGATTTGCTGTTGACTGACGGAAAGATGGTGCAATTAAATAGTTTTTGGATTTCGCTGGCAAACAAGACTCTGGAATCCAGCCAATCAAACTGCTTGATTCAAGGGTGTGACACGTGATGTGTTGCTGGATTCGATTGTGCAGATTCACCAAACTCACTGTTATAAAGGACTGCAATTCCTCGTCAGCAATCTGCATCTAACTTTGAATATCAACTATGGCCGGAGGAAAAGGAAAATCTAGCAGTGACAAATCCAAGATGGTTTCTGGCGGTGCCAAATCCCGCTCTCAGCGAGCAGGTCTCCAGTTTCCTGTAGGTCGTGTTCACCGTCTTCTTCGCAAAGGAAACTATGCTCAACGTGTTGGTGCTGGTGCTCCCGTCTACCTTGCAGCAGTTCTTGAATACCTTGCAGCTGAAATTCTCGAGTTGGCTGGCAATGCTGCCCGTGATAACAAAAAGACTCGTATTATCCCCCGTCACTTGCAACTGGCCATCCGTAACGATGAGGAACTCAACAAACTTCTCGGTGCTGTTACCATTGCACAAGGAGGTGTCTTGCCCAACATCCACAACGTTCTACTTCCCAAGAAGGTCAAGGGTGGAAAGCCTGGCGATATTGCTGGGTCTCAATCTCAGGAATACTGAGCGACATTGCCTATATCTACATAGCATACACACACATTCTGATCTATTGAAAATATCGACTTGACAGCACCAGTGATTTTAAGATTACTTTTATTTCTATGAGTGCTTATTAGCACTTGAATAAAAACACAATCAAGTTTCATTGGTTTGTAACTGAGTTGGTGGTTAGCAAGCGATCCATTTGATGGCAAATTGTAATTGGATCGACTATTTTCACAGCCGCATTCATGTGAGCGGAATATTTGTATTTTGCAGCGATTGCTTTGTAATAGTGGTTGAATATTTGATTTCCTACTAGGACAATAAAGAACCTTTAGTGTCCAGACACATCTATTGTATAACGCACATAATCAGATTCTACTCGTATTCTAAAATCTCATACATCCGCGTTTCTAGTTCAAGAAAGCAACAGTTGTTTCCATGCTAATGTCATGAGTTTAAATGAGAGAGAATTAAACAAGTGTGTAATGGACTGTAATGCAAACGTTTGTTTCGTTATACAGAAATGAGCACGACGATTAGCAAATCAAGCTCAGAAAAGTTTGGTCCAGTCAATTTGGCACCAATCATTTCATGAGATTATTTACGTATTTTAGCACCCTTATTTAGGTTACATTTGACGTGAAGAAGTAATCCATTGTCAAGCAATGAATACAAAAACAATCAACTCTCCTGCCGCTGATCTCAGCCCAAACGACCTAGAAGGAGCTCCGTTTCTACCTCCTGCGTTGCCCTATGAAGCTGCCAAGAATCCATCAGACCAGCTTGCAACGGTGTCAGTCTTGGGAATTCGTTTGCAATACCGCAAGCGCAACAAGGGTTATATTTTCCTACTGTGTATGAGCGCATGTTTAGTAACTGTCGCTGTTATTACTGCTGCTGGATGGTATTTGGGCTCGCTGCATACTCGTTTGCGTATGTGATGTTTTGATTAATTTTCATTTAATTGTATTGGTCGGCTTGCCAATCCTGTGTATTGGATGCTTGCTGCAACGCTCTTCAAATGTGTTAACCAGCTGCTTCTTGTATTTATATTGCTACAGGACGGATGCACAAAGTACCAGTTCGTAATGTTATTATGATGATATCAGATGGCAAGTTACTGTTATGCTATGACAACAAGCTTCCATTGTGCAACTGACCATGTATTGTTGCTTTCATTTTCAGGGTTTGGTCCAGCTTCACAGACTTTGGCTCGCAACTACAATCAGTACCTCAACAACCTGCCTGTTGGCACTCAGCTGCCATTGGACACTATTCTCGGTAAACCTTGAAATGCTAATTCACTGTTTCAGATTCTTGTATTACATTTTAGTTGCTGTTTTTTAACGAGATTTGGCTGCTTCAATCCATTTTATAGTTGGCTCTTCACGCACACGCAGTTCGTCTAGTTTTGTAACCGATTCAGCTGCTGGAGCAACTGCTTTTTCTTGTGCTCTCAAAACCTACAATGGAGCCATTGGTGTTAATTCCAATGGTATTCCATGTGGTACAGTGCTAGAGGCTGCCAAAGATCGTGGCATGTTTACGGGCCTTGTCGCTACTTCCCGTATTACTCATGGTAAACTCATTGATGTGCTCTATATGCAGTATCTTTTTTAAATCTCAACATTTGTCATGTTTACAATGCGACTCAAACTTGGATACTCAGCTACTCCTGCCGCGTTTTCTGCCCATGTGGGTAGCCGAAATGATGAAGATCAAATTGCACTTCAGCAACTGGGCGACTATAAACTGGGTCGTCGTGTTGATCTAATGTTTGGAGGTGGATTATGCCATTTTCTTCCTAATTCTACAGCAGAAAGCTGTCGTACCGATGGTATCGATGTAATGGAACAAGCACGTAATCTTGGCTGGAATGTCGGTGTTGGAAAAAACTACTTTGATCAGATTTTCTTTGAAAAAAGGTCAGTGCCATGCTTTTGTAAGGTGCTTCATTCATACAATCTAACCATATTATTGTAAAAAATTACAATATAGCACTCTTCCATTGCTAAACTTGTTTACTTTGGACCATATGTCCTATGACATTGATCGTGACGACGCCGTCGAGCCTTCTCTTACCAGCATGAGTTTGAAAGCCCTTGATTTGCTCAACAAAGCTAGTTTGGAAAAAAACACTGGCTTTTTTCTCATGATTGAAGGCAGCCGCATCGATATGGCCGCGCATACGTATGTATTGGCTTGCCTAATCATACTGGCAGATAAACTTGTGTGGATACTAAGTAATTGTTTTATTTGAATACCGTTTGATTTTTGATATATTCATAGCAACGATCCATCCGCCCATATTGGAGAAATCTTGCAATACAATACAGCCATTAGTGCTGTAAAAAAGTTTGTTGATGATCATCCTGATACCATTCTAATTTCCACTTCTGATCATGAAACGGGTGGTCTTTCCGTTGGATATCAGCTTGGTCCCATGTATCCAATCTATGCATGGTTTCCAGAAGCCATCACAGGTGTAAAACGCTCTGCTGAGTATATTGTTCGTCAAATTAAACAATACTCTGGTGCCGATGCTACCAACTTTATCAAAAACACTGTATTCCCCAAGTGGCTCAACAACACTGATCCTGATCCTTCTGATGTTAACTATCTGTCTAATACGTCACAGCCATCTGATCAGATGGAGTACAAAGTTGGTGGTATTGTGAGCAGCTGGGCCGGTCTTGGATGGTACAGTTTGTGCATTGTTTAATTTGATTTCTAAATCAATAGTTGTGGTAACCAACTACTTTTGATTTCTGTTTTTAAAGGTCAACTCACGGACATTCTGCTGTAGACGTCAATCTATACGCATATGGTGCCAACTCGAAAGATCTATTTGGAAACCATGAAAACACTGATATTGGCAATTTTATCATCAAGAATCTTAATTTGGATCTTGCTAAAGTTACCCAGGATCTCAATGGGTAAGCTTTTTAAACTGTACTGCTTTTGTTGTAGGGTTCTACAACTTTACTCATCAATTTCTCTATTGTTTACAGATGGAAACCAGGAAACTATACCAAGATTGAAGAGCACTCAATAGAAACGGAGCGTCATATCCATGCTCAACATAATCTGTGATTCATGCTTTTATCCGACACTGGCCTACATTTGTATGGTATGCTTGCTCAAAGTGATGTTGTGCATTAGCGTTTAAAGCTATTCACGAACAAAATAATACATTTTCAAATAAAAGGTTTATTCCAAGTCACGTAAATGTATATGTTTTGTTGGTACGTTTTAGTGCGCGCATGCCTCCAAACAACTTGAGTGGGATCATGCAATCGAATGGCTCGACTTCGACCCGTTCAGCTCCATGATAATGTTGAAATCCTTCATCCAATGCAAAGTGATTACGCTGGAGTTGCCCTGCAACACCAGTGACGAATTCAAGTCTGAGACTCCACTGCATTGACACTAAAAACAAACCCAAACCATTCAGCAATCCAAACATGTACACCATAACTCATTGTGCAAGTCATAAACATCCAAATGATTGAATCACGCTACCTGCAGTAGTTTGAAAATCTGCAGTGGCAGTAGGAGGAATGGCTACGGATAACACTAGGCGTCGTGAGTTCAATGTGCTACGATGTAACTCGGCATGACATCGTCGTGTGTAAGCAACAGTAGAATGCTTTTGTTTTAATGAGAATGTTGGATCAACCGTCTCAACACTTTCCAAAAATACAGACGCCTAGTATATATTTACACACATTTGTCAGTAAAAATGGGAATACTACCGAGTCGTATCAACATTACTGCTAATATGTTCATCGCACCTGTAAACATGGTATTGACCCATTTGAAAAATTAAAAATGATTGTAATGGTTTCACCAAGACGGTACGAGATACGAGAAAGAGTCAACTGTGCTACATGCTCATTATTCTTACAAATGTCATACGACACTAAAAATTCAAGTTCATTAGTGCATGGCTGGATCAAAATTGAACAGCGAGTTACACTGCAATAAAGACTCACCTTTTTTTGATGTCTGACATACACACATTATATTGTTCATGGAAGTAGTGTATTCTTCAAAGTCTGTCAAGGACGTAGCTCTTGATGATTCGGGTTGGTAAAATGCACTCATTGGCACTTCTACAACATAAATCAGCAAGTGTCAAAACGACTAGAAATGCTTACAACATGACACACTATTACCAGTGTAGTTACCTGGAGTAAGAGGGGCAAATACGGCCAATTTAGACCACGTTTGTAACGGAGTAACCACCGATTCATCCTTGTTGATAATAACTGGGTTCATGATTTCGTATATTGGTCGCGTCCCATCGGCTAAATATAGCATATTAATAAGATTTAAATTCACGTATTGGTCAGTATCAAAAATTACACACAATCAATACGAATCCAGTTTAAAGGCATTGATTTACAATTTGTACGATTAAACAAGCGAAAAGGAATCGAAATGATTTGGGATTGTCGAATTTTTCCACTACGTTGAATGCCAACAATCAGCTTATAGTTGAACCGGATTACTTTGCCACGGTGTGATGGAGGAAGAACTGATGGTATGAAAATCTCATATTTATCTAAAGTACAAAAACAATCATTATAATAGTCAACATAGCAAACTACAAAGCAAACAAGCTAATCCAACTACATACAAGATTTGCTTTCTCCTGGAGCTAATGACATGTCACAAAATAAAATAGATGGCGGAGTACTGTAAAGTGGAAGTGGTTGTGTTTCTGCATATACATAAATATAGTTCACACAAGAGTCAGTTCAATTCTTTAATTGCAGAGTTTACTTGGCAACTGTTTCTTAGCTACCATTTCGATTTACAGTTGTTGGAGTAGATGCAGATATTCCAAGAGAACCGCCACCACCCTGAGATCCATGGCCACTTGGACTTCCTGCAGCTCGGTACATCACCTTTTGTCTCAATGAGTTAAACAAGCTTGTCTTTACATATGTTGTGTCAACAGTAAACTCTCCAGTCATTTGTGCAAACGCCCAAGCAATGTCTTCATTGACACCTGCAACTCGCGTGGGCTCAGTGTTGCATCGCTTCATCTGCATCGAAGCAGTTTTCAAATGCGGCAAAATAGCAGGCACAGTCGAGCCCTCGAAATGAGTAGATCTATCACTAATTGGAGAAAGTGTAGAACCATGGTTGATAGTAGATCCCATCCGAATCATCTCATCTTGTAATCGAGGCGATGCAAACTCTAAATCATCTACGGAATGTGAATGAATATGCGATTGCCTTCTAGAAGGATTTGGCTGATGAATGTTGGTTTTACTGGAATAAAGTTGAAGTTTTCCTCCCAGTTCAGAAACTTGGCCATTTTCATCCAATTCATTCTTGGTGACTGATTCATCAATAGGTGAGGCAAGATTTGAAAAGCTATTGCGTCTACTACCAACGACGCTATTTGTTGCGTTAGTTTGGCCTCGCTGCCATGGACCTTGTATAGTATCACTACTCTGGGCTGATACAGGCGAAAAAACAGGAGATAGATACTCTACGACTCCTGGCGATGCAAAGTCTGATGTCTGCGAAACAGAGTGTGGTAGACGCGTAAAAGAAGTCTCGCGCGATATGCCTTCTGGAATGGCTTCACCTCGCATATTTAAAATGTTTTTGAATGTATAGTGTGATGTGGCAAGCGAATCTAAATCTTCGAGTTGTTCAGATGCCTGTCGTTGTCGTTGCCGTTGAAGCATTTCAGTTTCTTGCTCGTACTGATATGTGTTTTCTGGATGATTGTCCAGTTTGGATTCCAAAGCCACAGACGGTTTTGTTGCAGCAGAATCAGCATTTAAGCCAGTCCCAAACAAAGTTCCTGCAATCAAGCGAAATGCAGAACCAATACCACTTTCTGTAATGCTAGCTGGACGATCATTCAGCGTTACTGGTGAAGCCGCCATATTTTTAGATGGATTACCAACTGATGTATCCAAAGAACGAGCAGAATGCAATCGCTTGTAATCTGCATCTTGCCTAGCAGTGGATATAAATAAAGGTGTACTTGCAGTATAGTGATCTGGCAATGCAGACGACTGCTCTGTAGCCCCGGTAGGAGTTGATATTTTTACAGATCGTTCCTGACTTGAATTAATAGGCGAGCCTGACCTAATGGCAAGTGCATTGGTTTTTTCAATCACCTGAGACTCGAAATACTTTTGATCTTGAGCAGTGTGCAACTCGCCAAATCCATTAGCAGGAACAGTCGAGGCACTATGGTCAGTAGGAAATGGGAGAATCTGTCTACTGTTTGGCCGGGTATTCCGTTTAAGGCTTCCAGACTTTCTATCCGGAAGAAATGACTGCTTATAGTGATGACCGTCGTTTGTTTGCTCAGGATGCCGTGGAAACTGATGACTGCTGGATGAAGAGTCAGGCTGCTGCACAGAGTTGGTGAATGTCAGCACACACACAAACTTTTCTCCAGCAAAGCAGACACCGTCCTGCGGAAGAGATGCTGAGAGTACAACGACCATGAGTGGTATAATTATAATTAGCTTAGGTATTGCTGCAGGTTTCACAATCCACACCGGATGGCTGCCAGTGTATCGTAATAAAAGTTGATGTTATTAGAATTGAGCTGTATATTGAATGAATCTTGAATTGAATTCAGTTTAAACAAATTAAACTGTCCAACTCGGATGATGGGTTGCAAGTAGAGCCTATACTCCAACTGTTGGTTTCACCAGATTAATCAAGGCGAGCCTAGTAATTTCTGTTTGCAGCCGTGTTCACGCAAAATGAAACTTTTCTGGTTGCAGTGATTTTTTGGAATAAACTGGATGTTTGTGCTTAAACTGGCTTGAATAGACTCGCAATCTAATAAACAGTCAAAACTCTTCTTTTCTCCTCCTTTGACTGTCATGCATTGTATGATTTTAAGATTCATTGTAATCCAGATATTGAACTCGACTGCTGTCAATTAAACTCCATTTTGCTGTAATCCAAAATCTCAGATATGCTTGCGTTCTAGTTTAAGGATGCGACTGTTGCTTTTATGCTAATCATCCAGTGTCCAGTTTGCATATTGAGCAAGCTTCAAAGATGTTGGATGCACTGAAACTGTCATGTTAATACTCGTTCAGTTATACAAAATAAACACAAAGATGAATCAACTTTAAAGAGTCTAGGTCACAATATTGTCCAGTAAACTGACACCAATCATTTCACAAAACTGGCTGTTCCATTATACAGACGCTTTGATTTAGTGTTCCATTTTTATGAATACGGCGGTGAATTCAGTCGCGTTTATTCACTTTGCATCAACGATTAGAATCATCAAAACCTATAAACCACTCCGTGTCTAAACTACAATGGCTATATCTACTGAAAATATCGCACTTGCATCCTTTGGCTCCAGAGTTGCTTTGACCACTTCTGAACATCCAAAGCATCCTTCAAGCAACATCATTGACGGGTGAGTTGTCTGACCAAAACTATATCAAGCATATCCACTCACTTTTATTTCTAATATAGAGATGTCAAGACTTTTTGGGTATCCACTGGTTTATTTCCACAAGAAATAACCGTTTCATTTGCTAACCCTGCCATGATTTCCAAAATCATTATTGTATCTATGAAAGGTAATCTAGAGTCGCATGTGCTTTGGGTGTTGTAGACGCTGTGCTTAATTCATTCGCATATTTAATTTGTAGTCGGACATTTAAGCGTCGACTCTTCTAGCACAGAACTTCCAGTAAACTTTTCAACAATTTTGGATCAAGGTAAGTTTGTTTTTAAAAAACGTACTGTAATTCCATGCCTTATCGTATCTGTAGCCCAACCATCAAACAAGTTGAACCAATACTTTTTTATCATATCTAGTGGTTGAAGATACAGACGGTTCTTTGCAAACTATATCCATTAGCCCAAAGGAAGCTCAAGTAACTCGCCATCTCCGCTTGAAAATCAACAAAGGATACGCACCGTTTGTATCCATCCATCGATTGGTGGTATACGGCGACCATAACATTCCGGCAGAAATGCTACACTAGTATTGATTTCAACTAGCCTATATAAATAATTTTACTCATCATATTTCACAAAGATATCACATGTTGATACACTGTTTGATTTGATGGGGTTCATTTCTGAGTAATTTGGATTGGAACACTGTGTTTTTGATTAAAGAATGAAAAAAGAATTAGAGTATAGATTCCTAATCTTTGTTTCGACGAAAACAAGATTGCCTGGCATAACACTGCCTTGATGATTTGAGTTCTCATGCCCTGTTAGAATATACAAATGACCGATTAGGCTCAATATATCTCGTTTACCTATAAACACGACAGTGATAATAACTTACTGTATACCATCCTTTGAATCCCTTTTCGCGATATACTTTGCGAAGAACATCAAACGAGCTTTTGTAGCGAAGCTTTTCTTGGTCTTTTTCACTAAGTCCATCCACCTCCTTTGGTGGTTTCCACTGCAAGCGTGCCTTGGCCATAATGTATGGATCTAGATAAAGTCATTGCGATCGTGTAATTCGGTATTAACAATCAGTAGAAACAAATACAATATACTCTTTTGGCTCAAACAGTCATCAATAATAGCCCGCAATCAGTGCGCTTACATGTCACAATTGTAGCAAGTGTCTTGGATAAAGCGCCAATCACAAATACTTCGAGTGTGGTCAATGAACTAGAGCTGCCTCCTTTTTGTTTTATCAAGATTGATTTAAAACGCTCAAATACACCATATGTAATGGCCGGATTAGCGCACAAAACAAGCGATGCCTTAAGACCCTTCCAAAGACCTTGGGGTCCATCCTCTGCAACAATCGTTTTAAATATTTCAATAAACGATATCCCTTTAGAGTCTGGATCAGTTTGTTGTCTGTTCCGATTTCAAAATAAACTGGTTCAGCAATCTGTTGCAACAAAACCAAGAATCACTCGATACAATACAATTTCTCACCTTGTTGTCACAACAGCAATCGGCAATACAAAAATCTGGCATAATGCACCAGCAGTAGCACCAAGTACCAGTTCCATTGCCGTTCCCACTTCTTTGTTGCCGATTCTTTTCAGATACTCGCCACGAACATGCCCATAGATGTAAAAGTACGAGAATGATGATACGACTGTGCCAAACAAGCCCGATCCCATACCAGCATATAATCCTTGCAGCCCCTCTGATTTATAAATCTTGAGAAGAGCATCAACGGCATTTTTGTAACCGTGATTTGATTTGGATGCTTTGAGTGTGTCTGTCTGGACTTGAAGACGAGTTTTTACGCTATAACGACAAAACCGGGGAATGGTGAGTTATGGATGACAGGTTTCGGATTGATAATACAGCAAGTTAGCAAAATTAGATTGACAATGAATTCATTAATGCTTTTCTAATTGATTAAAAAACAGCCAAACTCCCAGCTCATATCAAATTTCCCTTGTTTCATACACATCAAGTTACAAGACGGCACGGTCAAGGTAATCCATACAGGACGTTGATTGCTGAGTATACTACAGCCGACTTCAAAGAGAATGTTTAATATGAACATTCATTCCAAGCACTGTGGATTGATAGCAAAATGAAGCGAGTTTATTCCATCATATTTAGTCGTAGCGACAGTCCAATGGAAAAAAAGACAGACAATAGAGCAAAGCTACTCACACGTCCAGGGGAAACACCAGCACATTGGCGAATATCGCCCCGATAGTTCCAGCCGTAGCATCACCTAGAGGAGTGAGTTTCACGTCCATTATCTACTCAATTGCAATGATAATTGTAGTTTTTAACAGGCCTGTTGAGAGCACTTGGACAAAGTCGGTGCTTGTTGCTGAAAAATAGTTGAAGCACAATTTCGGAAATAAGCGTGCTTTGAATACTTCACGTGCCTTGAAATCTATTCAGCCAAAAGATAAGCCAAAGATTGCCAAATATTTGACTCATTTTCATTTAAGCCATATTCACGTAAAATGAAACATTTTTTATAATGATCTTGCAGTGATTGTCTTGGAATAAACAATCGTTGAGCATTTCTATGCTTACTACAAACTGTCTTTAATAGACACTCTTGATCCAATAGACACGTCCATCATACGATTCATACAATCAAATGATCACTTTATCCACTTTTGGCATAACCGCCACACATTGTACGATTTTCAAAAAACTCGGATAAGTTTGCACTCAAGTTCAAAAAGACAACTGTTTGCATACTAATCATCAGAAAAAAGGTTAGTCAACTTGGGTTCAGACATCACAGTATTACTCGGTAGACTTGGTGGAAATTATCATTTCACGATACTGATCATTTATTATCTAATTCAACATCCTTATTCAATGTTTCATTTTCTGTGAATACGACAATGAATCTTTAGCATAGTGGTTTCTCGATTAAAATGAAATGAATGGGTTAAATTTTGCAAAGTGAATTCCAGAAACTAGATGTGATTTATCTTTGGCTTAGTTCAACATGTCCAAGTTGTTTGTCATTATTGTATTGGCTATTCCTTTCTACCATCAGGTAATGTATCCTACTATTTATTGCTGTCTATTAGTTAATCTTGCGTAAAATGATTTTCTGGTGTCTTGGCGCAGTACAATTACACTCAATCGCACGACCAGAAAATCAATTTTCTACCAAAATAGCAACTTGGGCTGCCTTTAAAAATATAATTCTCAATTGGTAGAACATTTATATCAACTAGTGAAGATTTAATAAAAACAGACTCATTAGTGCTAATATATCTATTTCTAAACCCGAGTGTTGAATACCACACCAGTTCCTTCCATATCCTGAGGCATCCACCACAGCCACCATCTAGATCCCAATATAGCCTTGGTATTTTCCAACCAACCCATGTCATATATATTGACCGTAGGAATTCCCATCATGACACTGTCTTGCAAATCCAAATCTTCAATTGTGGTAATGTTTTTCACAATCAACTGTATCTGATTAAATGCCAACATGTCGATAATACTTGTTAAAGGAACAAGAATTGTGAGATTAATGCCGGTGATAATAACCTGTAATTGGTCACAAAGTATAGAGTCAATGCCATTGATTACAAACTCCAGATTGAGCCGTGTATAAAAAGTTGATACACATTAACTTACTTCGCCTTGCGTGATGTTAAAATTCTCGGGAGTTTCAATCGCCAAAATCAAGGCGTATAGACGCAAAAAAACCATAATAATTGTCAACGTACACAACAGTGCAGTGTAAATCAGTAATCTTGCAAAGTGGCCTTGATTACGAAATCCTACGCAGTTGTAAATCCACGGACAGTGATGATCCATTCGCAAGATGCAGGCCTTGCATTTGCGACAATGATGTGCCCGAGCAGGTCGTTCATGCCGACATAGTCTATCAATAAGTAGGTTATGCATAATTTATAATTATATAGGTTTGACAACTAGTCAGTGTAAAGTAGATGCACTATTTCAGCACACAAGAATCTAAATTTACTCTTAATATCAATGGCAAAGCGACATACCGACATTCGGTATTATGTATATCTTCTTCAGTGCTATCCAGCATCTTCCTATAGCAAATACAATATAAATTCTCGAGTTAATTACCAACATTTAAAGTTCAATTGTATAGCGCATTACTACGACTTTGGATTTACAACCCTGTTCACGTAAAATAAAACACTAAACAGAAATTGACCGGATATTCATATCGCAGTTTCAGTACATATGAAATCTTTGGGACTTGCTCAATCTCCAGCTCTTTTTTCATTCAAACCAACCACTATGACATTGATGATTGACATGTAAACAACTGTTGCATTTCTGAAATGTGCAATCATTGTTCTCTTGAACTAGAACGCGAATGTATCCGATATTAGGATATAACAAAATGGAGTTTGTACCGAGCTTGATAGTCAAACTCAATATATGGATTGTAATGGATAATTTTGATGATTGTACAATGTATGGATATTCCAAAAGTGGGGAAAGTGATAGTTTGATTGTGTGGGTATCATATGATGATGATTATGTTTGAAAACATTCAAAATACTGATTTGTGGTAGGAAAGTACACACATATCCAACTATTGATGATTTCAGAAGCAATCACAAGATAAATTATAGAAAAATACTCCATTTTACGTGAATGCGACTTTAATACAAGCAGAACCACTCACATGAGATCCTCGTTAGTTTCAAAAGTGTTCCAGCCATGTTCTACTTCTCCTGCTTTAGTTCTCCATGAAAGCCAATAGTTGATTGGTACCATCACCAAATTGAATATCCACACTAGTAAGATAATGTAGCTTGAAATAGAATAAGGTCGCAGCCATGGGTCTAAAACGTAAATATATGTTGAACTAGGCAGATATGTGACTGAAAGACAGCGTAGGAGAAATAGTCAGTATTTCCATTATCATCTAAACATGATATTGCTTCAATGCATGCTATGAAGCAGGGCATATGGTGGTTAAAATGGAGCATGCTATCCAGCCAAGATCGTTTTGATAGTCTTGACTCATTTCCAAGAATGCAAGGCACCTTAACAGTAGTGTGCTGGATTGTGATACCTGCAAATATGATTGCCCAAAGAAAAGCAGGACTTTCTCTGACTGCCATTGTAGTGATGGTTGAATTGGATTGTTTACACGAGTGAATTTAAAGTCACATTCACGTAAAATGGAGTATTTTTCTATAATTTATCTTGTGATTGCTTCTGAAATCATCAATGGTTGGATATGTGTGTACTTTCCTACCACAAATCGATATTTTGAATGTTTTCAAACACAATCATCATCATATGATACCCACACAATCAAACTATCACTTTCCCCACTTTTGGAATATCCATACATTGTACGATCATCAAAATTATCCATTACAATCCATATATTGAGTTTGACTATCAAACTCTGTACAAACTCCATTTTGTTATATCCTAATATCGGATACATTCGCGTTCTAGTTCAAGAGAACAATGATTGCACATTTCAGAAATGCAACTCTACATGTCAATCATCAACAGAAAGATCAGCAAACTTTAAAAGTCCAAAAAACAATGTTCAGTAAATTGAGAATTATTTCATGAAGTCGATTGTTTATTATACATGAGTACAGCGGAAAGTGAAACTGTACATCATTTGATTGAATTTGGAACCTGGCTCGATAAATATTCTTGAACAAAAACTATATTTAGTGTCGAGTATTTATAATGTACGAATGTTTGCTGCGATGGTTTAAACACCAAAACTGTATCAAATGAGTAGTACCAATGGATACAATACATCGTTTGACAATAAATGAATAGGAAAAAAGGTGCAAATGCAATGAATGAGAGAGTGCTAGTAGTTTTTGTGTACTAGATCAGCCTGCATTTTGATTCTAGCTGTCATTAATGCTTTATTGTAATGGACATTCTTGAACAAGCAATTCGTATTTTTACCCAAAAGTTTTTCTTCAAAAAATAGCGATATCAGCGTTACAATGGTTACTAGCCAGGGCTCGACTCATGCAGCTTTGATTGATGCAGACATTTATTTACTGGATTATGGTGCAGGAAATGTGCGGTCGCTAGTCAATGCCGTTAATCACATTGGATACTCCATCAAACGAATTGAGTCTGTCGCTGACTTTGACAAGGCCAAGGTGATTTATTGTATACACTATTCTTGTAATGAACATACTAATATCCTATATTGGTAAATCATATTTGACCACATGCGAATTCATACCCTTAAATAATAACCATTTCATTCACTTGAGCCAAAATAAGCCAATGCTTTTTTGTGAATGTGTGATCTTTGACTAATATATCATGAAAAGACATGATGATAGCGTATAGCTATTCAACTTTGCTGACTTGTGTTTTGAATGATTTTAAAAACTAGAAAATCATATTCCCTGGAGTTGGTGCATTTGGATCATGCATGGTCAAGCTTCAAGAATTAGGCTATATTGAATCATTGCAAAAATATATTCGTGCCAATAATCCATTTTTTGGTATTTGCGTTGGTATGCAGTCTTTGTTCCTCGCTTCTGATGAATCCCCTGATATACAAGGTCTGGGCATCATCAGTGCTACTGTGTCCAAGTTCGACGCGACTACCAAAACAGTACCTCATATGGGCTGGAACACTACTACTCTTCAGGTTGGTTGACATGATTGGATTTATTTTTTAAAATGAGCTTAATACTGCTCTAGTAGGATTGTTGTAGTGACCATTTCAACATTGGTATAGGTGGATACTTCTAGTAGTGGAGCGCAAGACACTCGCATCCACCATGGCGGTGCAGACAATCGGTACTACTTTGTACACTCATTTGCAGTCAAAGGAAGCCAGGCTGAAATCGATGCATCACCAGACCTTAGGGACTGGGCATATTCTTTAACCACATATGGCAATGAAACCTTTGTTTCCATAATTCAAAAGGGAAATATTTTTGGAACACAATTTCATCCAGAAAAGAGTGGCCATTTAGGACTTGCAGTTATTAAAGCATTTCTTGATTCAAAGCCTGCAGATGCGTCATTGCCAAAGCCTATTCCTCTTGATGGTTTGCCGCATTCTAAACGTGCATACTGTATGCCTCAAAGTCAACTCAGCCGTCGTATTATTGCGTGTCTAGATGTGCGAGCCAATGATAATGGCGATTTGGTAGTGACCAAGGGTGATCAGTATGATGTACGAGAATCTGCCAAAGATGGTGGTCATGTGCGCAACCTTGGTAAACCTGTTGAGCTTGCTCAGCGCTACTATCAGGAAGGAGCAGATGAAATTACATTTCTCAACATTACATCCTTCCGGGACTGTCCTTTAAAAGACTTGCCTATGCTACAGGTTCTCCAAGAAACCTCAAAATCAGTATTTGTACCCCTTACAGTTGGAGGAGGAATCCGTGATTTTACAGAGCCTTCAGGAGTGACGATTTCTGCACTCGATGTTGTTAGTTTGTATTTCCGATCAGGAGCGGACAAAGTGTCGATTGGCAGTGATGCCGTGTATGCTGCTGAACAGTATTGGAAGCGCGATGGTAAGAAGCAAGGCGACACAGCAATTGAACAGATTGCGTATGCTTATGGATCACAAGCTGTAGTGGTTTCTGTTGATCCACGCCGAGTATACGTTTCGTCTCCAAAAGCAACACAACATCATACTGTTGAATGTGATATTCCTGGACCCAATGGCGAGGTGTATTGCTGGTACCAATGTACGGTAAAGGGAGGACGTGAGGGTCGAGACCTAGATGTGCAAGAGCTTGTAGTAGCTTGCGAAGCATTGGGAGCAGGCGAGATCTTGCTTAACTGTATGGATCGCGATGGCACCAACTCCGGATTTGAACACAGTCTTATTCGGGATGTGAAGAAAGCGATCAAGATTCCTGTTGTGGCATCTAGCGGTGCTGGTAGAGTAGAGCATTTCTCCAGTATGTTTGATGCCACAAGTGCTGACGCTGGACTTGCAGCTGGAATCTTTCATCGCCAGGAAGTTCCTATTCAAAGCGTGAAGCAGCATCTAAGGGAGCTGGGGCACGCCTGTCGTTTCGATTAAGAATATGACTTGCAAGATGGTCTCGTGGATTAAAATAAATATTTTTCCAGCCCAAATCTCCCGAATAATTTTTGAAATCAGTATTTGGTGGTAGCGTATAAACCATCTACTCGGAAAATTAGTAGACTGGCATTGAGTGCATTGCAGCCGTCATTTTCAAAGACAGACAGGCTAATATACAGTATTTCGAATCCTTGACCATTAGTTGGATCGTAACTGGCAGCCTTAAGATTTATTTTGCCAGAAAATGTAAACCATTGTCCAGCCCATTCTTGTACTTCAAGTCTTGTAGATTATACAGATGGATGTCGCAATAAGATATAGCAGCGTTGATGGCTGTTGGCTTGCAAGTGGTTAGTGAACCCGTTGTCGCCATGAAACAATTAAAATTTGAATTGTTTGATGTTGCCATTGAATGAGTATTTAGTGGAATTATACTACGATTGCATTACTACTATAGCTACTACTACTATTACAACGGTTACTAGCTCATATGAGCACTGCTTCAGATTCCGCTAGGCTCTCCACCTCTTCATGCCAGCAGGTATATTTGTCATTCTTGAGTGACTATTTTGAAAAATGGCGGCTAACCACTCCTTACTCTTTCTATGCACTCTATTTTGACAACTGATGTTGGTTTGATCTCATAAACACTATTTGTTCGTTTAATGCATTTGCATATCTACTTGTGGTCATACTCTTGTTATCTCCGCTCCATCGCTTACTCCAATGAAATTGCAACTGTGGCTACTGCGCTACGGGTGGATTACTACAATATTCTATTGCAACTTGCTGTCGCTGTAATGACTCCTATTGTCTTGTTACATCCAATACAAATGGCTTATTTTCTGTCAATTGCATTGCGTTGTTTTCCACTATTGGGCTGCCATTGACTGGATGCTCTGTCTTGTTGCTGACTGTTTGCCCATTATACGCCATGTGAATCAAACACTACCTGGATGGACATTACCATATGAATTCATCAATTGGACTTGGTACATCAATAACCGATTCTATCAATGCATTGCACTCACGTTAATCTGGGATTGGATGGTTTTTACTCATCGAACTTGTATGTTTGGATTTCATACGTCCTATGAAAACAATGACTGAATTTTTGCTGTTACTGGCTCCATGCTTTAACCACACTATACTGCTTGATTTTTGCGGGTACCAGTCTCCACCTTCGGTGCAACCAGATATTGACTTTGATTCAATGCTGCAGGATTTAGTCGCAACAGAGTCCCTTGTATCTATGAAGTTAATGAGCAAGGATAGTATCACAATTGGATGTGCTCATACTGGTACTGTACGTGATCTGGTTGTGTCACCAGCTTCACATGTCGTGGATCATTGCAGTGCTGTCCCTGCTCACATCCAAACGATCGATACCACCAAGTCAGTATTATTTGTAGATGAAGCATCTCCAACTGAGTTTGCCTCTCGTGTAGCTGCAAGCAGCTCCCATATTCATATTCCCTATCATGAGGTTGCTGCTGCTTCATTTTCTATGTCTGATAGTCCTGTTTTTTCGCCTACTCAAGATTCTCAGACGATAAACAATACCAGACAAACGCCTCTGTCTTTGGATTCACTTACACCTACTATGGTGCGAGCCATTAGTTTTGATGAGGACGATCCACCCATTTCAATCTCGCAGTTTGATATGTCTGCATCAGCTGAGCCAATTGCCATGCTCCGTAGCAACTCGATTGCGACTTCTGGAAAAAGTAACGTATCTTCCTTCTCTTCATCGTACCCTAATTTTGGGCAATCGATTGGTCGAAAGTCGTCTATTTTGAAACCACGCACATCAGAGGTCGAACCCGATATTTTACCACTTGCTCCTGACCTGGATGCAGAAGATAACTACGATTCAGATGATTACCGCGAACTATATGGTGAAGACTATGATCGATATAATATATACTCCTCTGAAGACGAGTATAGTAGCTCTGAAGACGGATCTGAATCAGACGAACACGTCAACACCAACACTGAATCGGATAATTCTCGGACCAATAGTGACATAGGTTTTTCAGCCCAAAATTCTGCTTCAGAAAAAGCTGGATATGATTCCGAGTACAAAGTGTCTGATGCAGCACAGCCCAAGCCTCCATCAAGAATCAAGTCCAAACCAAAAAACAAGGATGAAGATATTGAACTTCCATCAGACGAGGATGTTTTACAAAAAACACTTGATGATGCTTCTTATGCTCAATCCTCTGAAGTTTCACAGGTTTCAAAATCTGCTTTTCAGAATGCCACTGTAGAAGATTACGAGGACATGGATGGGTTACTCAATGTGCTTAATAAAATCATTCGCCGCAACCGATCGTTTAAGCACTCACATCCCGACGATCTCTCTATTCAGCCTATACAGCGATTGACTAATCGATCTCTTGCCCTGTCCCCTACTCCTGTTATTCCTGGATTTGTTCTTCCTGAAGGATCGGATGATGAAGATGGCCATAACACTGAAGCTTCTCGCCATGCAAGTGCATCAGCCGAGTCTCGTCTTGCTCAAGTTGTGCTTAACGAATACGTTGCTCAATATAAAGATGCCCAGGAATTGAGACAAGACAAAATTAGTTTGATCATATCGAAGCTAAACGAAGCCAATGTTAAGAAAGTAAGGACTTGCTACTTTAAATACATGTGTAGTATTTGAGTGCAGTTGATAGGAAGTTGTCTTGTATGACATTACCGTTTACTAACCAAGATACTATATTTTTAGATTACTACTCGTATATACATTGAAGATGCACGATCGTTTAAAACACTTGTCCTTACCTCGTTAATGTCGGCTGATCAGGTAGTGCGAAATGTTATTGACAGTTTTCATCTAGATGCATCTCCTGATTGGGCTTTATTCGAACTATGTAACGATATGGGTATTGGTAAGCACAGCTTTTGATTAGTTTGTTTTTATAGCTTGCAGGATTTAATACCAACTCATGGCGACGTTGTTTCATATACTTATTTTAAATTTGCTTTTTAGAGAGACCGGTTCGTGATTGGGAAATCGTAACGGATGTTATTTCTGCCTGGGATACAACCAATTCTCTCAATGCCATTGTCATGAAAAAATATGGTTACCGTGTTACTCTTTCGTGCAAGGTAGTTTATCATGCAGATGATGATATGTTTTGTCGATCAATTGCTAAACAAATCCATTTTCTTGGAGTTTAGTCGCTTACCGGTAGATTCCCTAGAATTCAAGGATATTTATACTTGGAAATGAAGCCTGGAAAATGGCATAAACGGTTTTGCGTGCTTAGAGATTCTATCATTTATTATTTTCAAGAGGCTGATGTAAGAGATTGTCGTTTTGGAGTTGCTCTGCTTGCACTATTGTGTTTTACATTAGCTCACCCCTTTCTTGTTTTAAATGGACGCCATGTTTGGATGATACAGTCTACAGAAACAGTTTTGTGCAATCTGTCACAGTTTGATGTATACACACTGTCCCAGCACAAAAAAAAGACGCCTACCAAGTTTTGCTTTGCATTGCGGTCGACCGGTAGTGTCTCGTTATACAAAAACAAACACGACTACTGTAAATTTATATCAGTAGAGAAGCGTGAGAGACTGTATGACTGGGTGCTAGCACTACGACTTGCCAGAAATGAACATCTTTTCATGGATTGTCCAGAGATGTTTGAAGACTATGAAGGCGAGATACCATCTAAAGCACTGCGGCGGCGAACAGCAGCAATGCAGACATCAACTAATGGAACTTCTACCAAATCTCAGTCACCCAATCATTCAGGGCTGCGCACTCTTTCAAATGCACATGGTGATTTTCAAAGAACCCCTTTTTCAAATGGATTTGCTGCTCAGCTTCCTATTATCGGGAATCCACAGTCAGATGCGTCTCCTGTTAGAACCAATGACTCTCCACTCTCTACCACTTCATTTAGTGGCTCTCAATTCAGCTCATCCGATGCTGCTCGGCGCGCAAGAGAGGCAGCAACGACAAGCAGCACTGGAGGCAATCAAACAGTGTATTCTTCCGATAGTCCCCAGTCACAAAGCTTTACTTCTGTAAATGCTGAAGAGGCCTATCGTCGAGAAAAAGAGCGACGCAGAATGGAGCGTCGAGAACACGAAGCACGCGAAGCAAGTCGCACGGGCCATCTTGGACTTCGAACTTTTTCACCACCGCCTTCTGCATTAGTAGGGTCATTTAATGCAAGCCAGCCTACGCGAGACCGAGCAGAAGGTTTATATTCAGAGTATACTAACAGAGAATCAGATAGTCCATCTCGCACCAGCAATACAAGCCGTTCACGTTCTTCTGGCTCATCACGCAAGGGCAAAATTAAACCACTTGTGGATCTTTCTGGACTGTAGATTCATTTCATTATATGGGTTCTTTGCATGAAATTTGTTATTTCCATACCAACTCTTCATTACACTTTTGATATTAACAATCTCATTTCATCTTTTAGACTGACCCCCTGCTATCTAATTGATCTTTTGATGCATTTTCCATCATCGAGTTCAGCTACTTGATGTTTTGGAAACCGGTCATACTTTTGCTGCTCTTTTGATTTCTGTTACCGTCTAGATTATTTGACAAAATGATCTTTTGTTTTTCAAATAGCAAATATTAGTTAATAGGAATACCCTTTGTTATACTTATTTTGTTGAGTTGTATATGGATGAATGGTTCAAAATACACGATTAGTAGTTTGTTATGGATTGAATACAACACATTCAAGCAACAATGTTTAGTGTTTGTAACACAATTTGGTATCGATAATTCATTGTATTGCAGTGTTGATATCAAGTCATGCAATGTGTTGATTGAATTTATTCAATTCGCACGATCGGATGTTGAATATTCAATCGGAACGCACGACTGAGTCATGATGAGTGTGAGTCATGACTGTAAGACAAATGAGACAATCAACTCTACAAGTTAAACTACACAATCATCTAATAATACTCACAGATCATCCAACACTCTGGTCATGACAATTATGAGTGATTTTGGTCTCGTTGACATGATTACAGTCATTGATACATTCATGTTTTTATTTTAAATATATTATAATAATGCTAGTGTATTTACAATCAGCAATCAGTCGTCATCTCCTGTGCAAGTCCTTTTTGATGTCATCAAGTCTCTCCTTGTTCATCTTGACTTTGACGATGAACGGAGTCAGCATAGTCTTGATTTCACTGACATCGGACTTGAGTTTGACTTCTGTCTCTTTGATCTGACTACAGAGGAAACTACCAAGAATAGTAGCTACTCCAAACATTGCACCATACAGCAAGTAGTTTTTGCTGATATGATCTTGAACCTTGTCATGCAGGGGTTTGGATGTTGCTGCATGACTGTTGGTAGTGGTGGTAGTGGTAAATGATCGTTTGAGTATGTGGGAGTGTAGTAGTTTTAATATGTGATGAGTTGAGTTGTTCATTAGGATTTTATTTGGGAAAAATGAATCAATTTATCAAAATGGAAATTTCACGACTTGAATCCATAATTAAACTTTGCATGTGATTTGACATTCATTACATATTATTGACTTGATTTTGAATATGACTGTTGACTGGCATATTAATGCATACTAATGCATACTAATGCATTGCTATTACTTGTATTACAATTTGACCAATACATACATACAGCAATACATTACTTTGAATATCGAATCTAACCATTCAGATTCTGTTGGGATCTGTCATCAACAGTATCATACATTCCACTAATACTGTGATATTGCATGCTATGGTATACTATGTGTGTATGACAGTCGATCAGCATAGTCGATTGATGTAATATGCTAGTAAAAATCGCTACAGTCAAATATACTTGCTGTTGGTTTATGATAAAAGATGCCAATACACGGCATATCGAGTGTTTACATGACACATGTCAAACATGTTTGTGCACCATCATGTGGTGATCGTGGTATGCATCATGATGTCGATATACAACATACACTAGGTGGATCGTTGATATCACACGTTTAGTTTTACTATTGTGCATGACATTCAAATCAAAGTTGAACTTGATTGGTTCTAATACAGTATCAAGTATATCTGGATTATTCAGCGTATATATTGTCAATCAGTGTATTGTTGCATTGATGTGTTGTTGGCATGTCTAAATATACAAGTATTTCAAAACCTGAATCACACCAACACTAAATAGGTTTTTGGCATACAGTATCAAAACCAATTTCAACTGATTGCGGATATACTGATTGTCAAAAGTGCAACCATTTATCAACAAGACTTGAAATCGGTTGACAACAGTAAATACCCAAACCACACTGTTACCAATCGAATCGTGTATTGAAATATTGGTGTTTTCGATCATCGGTATTTGAATGGCGTAGTCAATAATAAGCTATCCACAACCAGTCATGCAACTCAGCATTTAACAACTCGATTTAATCAATGGCTGGTTTGAGCTTGTTCAACATTTTTATAGATCCAATATGTAAAACTGGTTGTAATGGTTTATGGTAGATGTTTTAAATGTTCCGACTTGATACAAGGATCAAGTGGATCAAGTGGATCAAGTGGATCAAGTGGATTGAAAGTGTTGGAAAGGTTGGAAAAACTGAAAGACTGGTTCAAATAATAACACTGGCTACAAACACGCCATTCGAGTCGTCTGTTTTGTATGGATATGGCTGGCTTGTCAAATTGGGTTCCAACGATACAAGAGTTGATCCAACTGCCAAATAATCATGCAGTCAATCCACTATCGGGTATCAATTGTGCCAAAGTGGTGGTATTGTTTCCAATCATACAGTCCAGTAAACTCTTTTCGAGTGACTTACACTCGTCGATTGACAAATCAATACCGCAAGTGATCTTGTAATACACAATCATTGTGATCAACACACAAAACATCAATTTGAACCACTCATTACAACAATTGATTCCTGACAACTCTTGGTCACTAAATGAAATATTACACGATCCAGTGATTACAAAACAACACGAATGAACTGGACTGGACTGGACTAGAATGGATTGGATTGGAGTGGATTAGTTTGGGTTTGGATCTTACTGTAGATGCATGACATTATCGGTTTACCAACTACAACCACGTTGTAAATTACAATTTGTAATGTATGTTTAATCACAACCAGTCAAATATTTCATTGTTCCATTTGATCAACCACCAATCAGTCTCGAGTAGCAATCCAATGTCGATGGTATAATATTTCTAGATTCATCCATTAAACTACTGTTTTTGTTGATATTGTTATACGGAATGTCACCTAATGTATGCTTTGAAAAATGCTCACCAATTATATTTCTATTACTCATTGTTCATTACCCATTGTTCATTCAACATTTTTGGCACTGTATCATAGATGGACATATCAATACAGCATGATCCCACATAGCCATGACATAAAACTTGCAAATGCCATTTTGTTGTAATCCTACCAACTGTCCATATACTGGAACCTCACAGCAGTCCTGGACACATTTGTGGTTGTTGTAATATCAGCAATCTTGGTGCAATCTTGCAGCAATCAGCCAACACTCGTAATTGTCCAAATAAACTTGCGTTTCATTTGTCAAACGTGTATCAAACTGCAAACCATTACCATCACAATCGTGTGCCTGTCGACTAATACAATGTTCTGATGTGATACAATATTGCTCCATATGAAAGCACTACCACACGAGATATTGTTCGACTTGCAATCTCACGACTTGCGTGGTAGAATTGACTTTCAAAGCGTTGCGACGTATAACAATCCATCAAAACATGATCAGTGCTGTTAAAATATGATACACACTGTATAACTGATATGGGTTGTCATGACAGACATTGCACTACAAACATCATTCACGATCTTGAGTTGCAGATATACACATCACAGGTATTTGAACAGATCCGATACAGTCATGTAGAACTGACAAGTGACAATACATTTGATTGTATCAGAGTTGTTCAGATGTTTGAATGTGTATACTTGTAATCATGTTCCAGTTCCATCATTCATGGTCATATAGTATTAGTTGATCAAAAACCCCATTTTTACAATACATTTGATTGAATACAAACTGGACAAATCATCCATTTTATACCGACAAGTAATTGACACAAAGTATGCTAGACATGTAGTTATGATTTACAATGGATCACACATGATTACTACACAATATGTTGCTATACAACTCAATATATGATCAGTTGCAATGTATGCTCCATTTGTGTCATTTTGATAGATTGATGGTGTCCATTTCTGATACCGGTCATTAGACATGTATGCCATTTGATGATCAAGCAACACCGATTAATATCCGCCAAATTAAACTCGATATTGTTGGACAGTTAATAGCGTATGTCATTGTAATGTGAGAGTGTTGAGATGTCAAGTCTGTTGATTTTCACTGAGTGAATCCTTTGTATATATCTGGGATGCGATCATCAGTTGTGATCACCAGTCACCTCGGATGGAAGATCTATAGTAATTAGGTATCCTCAACAATGATGCTTGAACGATGGCTCGCATACATTCCTTCTGGTATTGTTCATCGCTCTCCCATATTATAAAAACACACTCTTCCCGTTCTTTAATAAACAACGCAATTAGTTTATTGGATCATTCCTTTGTATCTTTGATTTGCTGTGATCTACTTGTCAATAATGATGACCATCAACATGCAGTCATATGCCCACGATCTACATTTCAGTCATTCAGATTCCTTGTTTTGGGAATGATCATTTATGTCTCATTTTCACTGAAATAATAATCAGTGTGTCACTGTGGATCACTGTTTGAACCAAACTCAATACTGCAAGCACTCGAGTGCTACTCCAATCAATTGAGTTGAACTGACATTGATATTGATATCAGCAAGAAATCCAACTGATTTCCAAATTGAACGAGTTGATTCCAAAATATTGTTATCCACAAACATAAATGTCAATTGCAACACTTTTATCAAATCTATTGGATATCAAATCCAGTAACCCATTGTAACAAGCCTCGAATTATGTCTTGGAACAATGCAGCCATGACAAAATACAACACTTTACCAGGTTTGCTGTATACAACAACATATATTTGGAGCAGAGTTTGAACATATAGTTGCGCAGTTATTTGAAATTTGTGTGTTTCTAGTATCATGCCCAAAATGTGTGTTATTCCATCATCAATAATTTGCTCACAATACACTAACACTATTACTACACAATCAGTTGTCAATGACCATGAGTAGTATATGTAGTGCACTGGATGATACCACTTGTTTTAAGCAAGACTGCTAAAATATTCAAAAGTTGACGACATACTTTGATACATTCGTCCATGATGATTGTGATTGATATTGAACGCATTTGGTTTGTGGTTACAATGTGAGTTCTGGTTTTAGAACTAATCAGAATCGGATTGTCTGGAATTGTCTGAAATTGTTGATGTGCTAGATTGGTGTTTTCACCTATAATCACTGCTAAATTCGATTCAAAGTTGTCAGGTGTGATATCCTGACAAATGCCGACATTATCAAAATGCTTACCGTATACAAGTTGATTAAAGTTGCAAGTTGTCTGCCAAACTCATACTTGATGCTTCAATCGGACACGATTGGATGGTACAAGGATGTGTTAACAGAGCCATTATTTGTCAAAAAGCGTATGCTACAATAGTAAACTTGAATTTGGACTTTTCATGCTAAATGCATATCAATCCCTTGAATGGACACAATTGTATGATGCCAGTTTTATTAACATTGAATTATCAAATAATTGGAATGGTTGGAATGGTTGAAAATATGCCATTTCAGTTGTAAAATACAACTACCACTTTCTACTCTTCAAATCTGATTGCGTTATAGGGAGTTTTATAACGTATTGTTTCAATCCAGGAATGGGTTGTACCTGCTCTGTGCCATCAATTGGTTTGAAACTCTGCTCCCCGAACCCTTCAAATCGGCGAGGTGGAACCACAAAATAAAGTTTGGGTTCATCATACAAATTGCACAGTTCTGTAAGAATATCAACTCCGCGAATTGGATGTTCAGCAGCAACTGTAAATTGAAACATTCCCTGTTGACTGAGTGAATCAACTGCTGGAAAATTATCGTCATCTGTCGGTTCGTAATAGTTGCCATCAAGTGCTGCAGCAGTAGGGATAGTATCTCTTCCAAATGTAGTTCGTTGACCATTGAGTGCATCCAAAGTAATCTTTGTCGCTTTACCATCTTCCAGGCATCTGCATTTGAGAGTTTTCCTACCAGTAGAAAAAACCCTGTGTCCGTATATCTCGAAAAAATATCTTGAAATCTCGTCTGGAGTACCAAGCATTACCTGTATATTGGTAATCATTTGAGAAGAATGACGTTGCCAGAGTTTTTCTCCAACATATTTTGAAGCGATATCAAGATGCAAGAGTTCGTACTTCCCGTCGTCTGACACAATAACATGAAGCAAAGTGTGAGATGTCGTAAATGCTTTGGTCAGTTCTCCAATGCTTTGTGTCCCTTTGACTGCATTAACGTCGGCCAAAGCTTTCTTGATTGGATCTGATGAAGTATCAAAGACAGAACGAGCTACACCACCATAGATGCGATATCTCTCATTGAAGGTTTTAGAGCGCAAATCCGGATAGCAGTGGAGCCAACAAGCCTGTAACTCTTTGAAAGTCCAAACAGGAAAGTACCATTCCTTGGCCATCTTCTGCTTCACAAATTCCTTGTACCATTCCGAACGGGGGGATGAAATGAACAAGACAATACAAGACGAAACGAGCGGTTCAGACGTTCGTCCATCAATAACGTAGAATGTATCTTGTTTCCTAACCAATTCCTCCGCATCAAACCTCGTGGTCCTGGCGACGAATTGTTGTTGCAAGTCAAAGCATTCGTACGTAGATCCCACTTGATAAACAATTCGGTTTGGCTTTAGAGACAGAGTTTTCTTACGAGAGCCCTTGATCAGGCGGTACAAAATGTAGACAAAGAATAGCGACTTTCCAATGCCCGGCGTCCCAGATATTGCAAATGATTTCTTCTTATCACCAATTTGAGCCAGAAGCAATTTAAAGACATCTTTATAGCACTTTCTGACATATAATTTTTGAACTTCGTTTTGAGGATATGGGAGCAGTTTTTGGTCTTGAGACTGAATGCATTCATCGACCAGCTGGGCATTTGCAAACGACTTTAGTCGGGTTGTCAAATTATCGGGTTCAGGCTCAGATTCAGATTCAGGCTCGGTACGTTGTCGTTTGCGAGAGGGGCCTTCCTCTGCTGGTAAGTGAGAGGTCGAGGCTGCAGCAGATGCTGAATCTAGGTCAGTTTGAGTAGGTTGTCTTGGAGGTAAAGGTAAAACACCAATAACAACACAGGAGCCTCCTCGAGTACGTTTTTTGTAGTACTGAGGAGTGTTTTCAATTGCTATGTCATCTAGGTCTGCGATAAGCTGGCCTTGTTGGTCGTAGAGCTGGAGTTGAGGAGCACCAATGTCAGCCATAGCAGGGCCATACTTTGCCTTGATGGCATCCTGAGCGTCACTCAGGTCTTCAAAGTCAGTAATGTCGATTCTGGTTCTGGTTCCAGCGTATTCAACATTAAGATATCTTTTTGACATTTTATGAAAAGAAAAAGAGTAAAAAAGCAATTTATTTGTCAAATTGTAAAACAAAAATCGACTTTTTAATCGAGTCAAAATAACAAAATTTTGGGATATTTCAAGACAATTCACACGATTTAAATATTTGGAAATTAGTTAAATTTACACCAGAATTAATGTCTCATTAATGTGAGACATTACTAGTGTGAGAGTGTTGACTTGCATTGTGTGAGACATTAGTAGTGTGTGAATGTGTGGGCTGTGTATGTTTAGGCTGCGATCGTAGACATTTCTGAATAGTTTAACAATCAAAAACCATTAACAATGACGTTTAAACTGGGATCCGCATAGCCTTTTTCTGTATTCTTGGTTTCTTTCACTGTTTTTTCATATTATAAACACACTCACTCACTTGTTAATAAATGACGTAATCGAATATTGATTCATTCTTTTGTGTCTTTGATTTACTGTAACACACTTGACAATAATGTCGGCTATCAGTGCCGTCATATGTTCACGATCCTCACAAGTAATATGAACTCAATTGAAAACGCTGTCACTAGCGCATTTGGTCAGTTGCAGAGTCAAACCAATGACATTGTTGTCATGATGACCAAACACGACAATGTCATTCGATCATTACTGGGACAGATCTTGGTCAAACTGGACTCTGGTTGCTCACCAACACCTGTAGTTGTTATACCAGTTGTGGTACTCAAAACCATTTCCACGACTGTGGACATCACCGCAACTGTGACTGTGTTTTGTCCACAAAGTCAATCCAAGTTGTTCATATGCGACAACAGCACGTTGCACACACACGCAGACTGTCGATACGGAATGCCAAGCAACAATCGACTTATTCCGTAATCGTGCAATTGTTGACATAAATGCCATTGCGGTCAATGCTGTATCGACTGGTGTCGAACCTTGAATGAATGCTGCAACTCGCATTTGTTTATTGCGTTTTGCATCGAATGCAATGTGCACACTCAATAAACTTTGTGGTATTCTGGTCACATTCCGTATCAATCTGCAACGGATTACCAACATCCATACAATCAACAACACGACCAGATTATTAGTGGATCAATCTATTGCTGTCAAACTTGTAGTCATGACCCAACTCGATACAAATCAGGTCAGATTTGATCCAGAAACTCCAACAAAAACCATCAACCCGACCATTGAGCTGGCTGCTCGTTGACAGTTTACTGATTATGTGGGTTTATTGTTGATGGGTAAGCATGTAAACTGTCGTACAGGCAATTTATACTGCGAGTTGATGGTCAAGTCTGACAATCTGCATTCATGAACTTGTGTGCAAGCAGTGTTTTGTTGGATCTCAAACATCCTGCAACTCGCACAGTTGTTTGCACAGTTGCTCGTCTATCAATCCAACTGGATCTGCAACTCTGTCAAGCAAATCCGTAGTGCAACCTGCTGATGTTGATGTGACTACAATAAACACGAAACTCACCAAAATAACACTTGCTGATCTGACAGGTCAATGAGTGACACTCTAACCATTAATACCAAACAAACAACGTTTTGAATCAACAATCAACTGCCATGACAATGGGTAACATTCGTGGTCATTTGGCATTCATCTCAAACCATCACATCAAACACATTTCCAAAATCGATTGCTGGACAACTCAACTCGGTGCACGAGTCCGCATTACTGTGTCAGAGTCATGTTCCGCACACACTATCCATTAACTCTGTCACCAATCATCCGTACAACAACTGACACATACACAAAAACTGTCAACGCAGGCATCCAACGACATCCTCACTGTCCCACCACTTCCTAATTGTTGTCAAATATTGTCAGTCAATGTGTCAAACATTTCCAGCAAACACTCACTACTTTGACATATATTCAGCCAAACCGACTATGTGGATTATCCGAGACTTGCATTACAACGGACAGTTTCAAGCACACAATGTGTGGTTTCAATGTATTGCAACACTCGGCAACTGTTCCCGAACATCGAGACACCATTCGGTATTGACAAATGGTTTGGATTTACAAAATGACTGTTTATGGCACCATAATTGTCGCAAACATTCCAAACTTTACACCTGACTGTGTTTGGACTGTTGGCTGTGTACATTGGACACTCGGCTGCATGCGACTATCAAACGCGAAATGTCTTGTCTGCCATTCAACATGTTCTGTCAGCAGTTATTCCGTTTGACGATCACTCATCAGTGCTACTGTTTGCAGATTGGAACACTGAATATGTGTCATTACAACGCATCATACACGCATGAATACTGCGTTTGACTGTCATGCAGTATGTTGGCAATATGCAGACAGTAACATCACTCGAGTGAGCAGGACTGCATGTCATTGACACTCTATCAATCACTTTGTGTGTGACGAGACTGAACAAACACTTGTAGAATCTGCTCGTGTAGACATGAACATTGCGGTTGTTGACGGTGTGTCATTTACACTTGCATCCGCACTAATACACATGCACCAACTCATTCAGTCCATTCCACTCATTCAACTGACATATCACAACTCTGCATATATGCCTATGATCGGATTGCAATGTTCACGATTGGTGGAATATATGCAGCGTTTGATGGATCATACACGGACACACACGAGCTATGCATTCAGTTATTGGATGCTGCCAATGCAACAGTGAATGACTGTAAACTGCATGCACATGCACATACTGCTCGAGAACATAAACGTCGACTGTATCGCTCAACCAAACGGACAACTTGACATGGTAACACTGGAATGTCGATGTACATTACAGCAAGTATCCGTGACAATTACAATGAACTCTGTCGCAGCCAACTAGATGCATTCTGGGACAAACACAATGCAACAATCCAGCGACTTGAATGCGCCAATGAATATATGATCTGGATCAAGTTTGCTGACACACTTGACCGGACAGTATTGATGATCGTTTTGATATGACATTTGCAGCAGCTCGAATCATGCCTGGTGGTGCAACACACACAACAGCCATCACTCCATTTCATTTCATTCCATTCCACTATACGATGTGATGCCAATCGTATCATTCAGTACAGCAGTGATATTATTTTTGGCATACCGAGTAATCACTACTTGCATCTTGCTATGGACGATAGTGGACATTTACTTGACTTGCAGTAATGGCAGTACTGGCATATACGTGATCCACTTCCACCATCCAAACTGGTTCCGATTCGTGACGATGCAACTGATCTCGACTCGGATATACCTTGAAATCGACTAGCTGATGTGATACAGCAGCTGGTTCACACCAAACACCCGAAAAACAACAGGATATTGGTCATAATCTACCGAGTCGCATTGTATACACTTGATGATGATACATCTGATGAACCACCCAATCCATTTGATCGTGTCCTGCTACACACAGTTCAGGCAATATGTTGAAGATCACTATGCGATCTTCTGGTAGTCTGCATACACTGTACCCATTGTGCTGATTGCATATATCGACAACAATAACGGTGATCACATTGATACAAACGACAAACACGGTATTATACTGATTGATGTGTGTCATAAACTGGTATGCAAGGTCTTGCAAGCACACATTGATGGATCGTGGTGCTCAACAAACTCGTCACCACTGAGCATGGTTGATTTCAAACCAAACAAGTGTGTTGTGTAAGTTGGTTCACTAGTCGATATTGTTCAACAACGGCAGTGCGTGCAGCTCAATACTATTGTTGTGTTGATTGACATTCAAAATGCATTCAACACTGTCATGGTTGGTGCCTTGATATGATAACTGCAACACATGTGATTGATACCACGCACACTGGTCTTGTTAACATCGCTGTACACATACTCATCAGCTTGTGCTCAAACTGAATCATTGGTTTTTAACCCATTTCCATTTGAGCATGGAGTCCAGTGGTGATGTCCACTGTCGGATTGTTGTCCAACGTGTTCATCAACAACATACACGATGATATCAACCGATTGTCATTGCATGAGTATTGTGTAAATCACCATCAATGTGAGGGTTCATGTATGCCGACAATATCGTGATATTTGTTGACTCTGATCAGTCACTCCAATTGGCATCTGGTGTACTTGCACAATGAATGGAACAATGTCAAACAAGTTTTGGTGTAGTCAAATGCAACATACTCAGTTTCCGTGGTTACAACACTTTGATTCCGAATTACTAATTGATATGATGCTACACGGACAACAGATTCGTCGTGTTCAACACTACAAATATCTGGGTATTGTATTGCATGAACCACTGTATCACACCATGCGACTGGACTATAATCAGGTTGCTGTATCCAATAGCATGTTGGTTGTGTCCGGTTTTTGCAAACCACCAACTCACAATCAACTTTTGGACACGAATATGTTTGGCAGTCAGTCTAGTAATGGTCATGTATGCACTGGATCTGGTTGGTGGTTGTTGGTAACTTGACCTGCATACACAGTCAACAGTCAACAACGGTGTGCGACACATATTGAATGCATGCAAATACATGACTGTCAACTCCTTGTTGTTGAAATGGGTTCAGATCACCATCAGTTTGTTCATTCGTTGCACCGATGTGATTGCATGATCAACCTGACACCAACCAAACCACACTCAAATGCATATGTTCCAGTCATGTGCATGGTGTATCGATTGTCAACTCACAATGTCAATTCCAACACATTCCACTATGGTTATGGTCACATCACACCATGTTGATGTATGTCGATCGGTATCACATTGCAACCAGTTATCATCCAATGACTGCAATGCAATACCGTGCATGTATTGTGATTGATACGCTGTACACCATCAGCAAGTGTGCAACTGTCATTCGATATATCGAGTCTGATATGCAACACTATGCTGGATTTACCGTGATCAGGTTTTTGATCAATCTTGGACTCATGATACATGATTTGTCATGTTGGATCGTGTGGATGTGTCATGGACTGCAATTTAGTTGCAGACACACATATGTTGGACATTGACCGATGCATACTGTGAAACGACTGATCAGTGCGTGTGTAATTGCACACTCGGTGGTATTGTGCATTATAGTTGTTTGACAATGGATGAATGCTGGATTAGTCGGTTATATGCAACCCATTTGAATCGACCTATTTGGACAAACACTCGATGTAACTGACAACAATGGGTTGTCAGCCATGTGGTGCTGATACTTGAGTTGGACCAATCACAGAATACTGACTGTTGGATCAATCGAGTTTGTGCTGATAGCGTACCATTGGTAACAAACACAACTCCGGCACCATCACCGAGACTGTTATACAACAGTTGATCAATACACTTGTAACACCACCAGAATATACTTGTACAAGTTCATATCGTGGTTCAACACCCGAGTTTATTTTAAAATTCATTCATTTAGAAATTACAGTTTCAATACATTCCACATTGTCGACACTTGCTCAATTCCCAACTCTTGTTTGATACAAACCAAATATCACAAATAAACAATTCAGTCAATGTCCAGCAAACTTAACATTTGATCATTTTGTATTCCAAATCAAATTACTGACAATCACTGCAACATACAAATGTTTGATTTTATGTGAATACAACATTGTAATGTTATAAATATTCAACTGTTCGATGTATCATCACAACAATCAATAACCAGTTTGGTACACACAATCAGTCATACTTGTGTTTAATGCATGCATGCACATCAATTGATTGCATCAACCATGTGTATAGTGTACTATTGTATATTGACAACATATTATCACATTATTGTATGTGGATGAATGGTTCAAAATACACGATTAGTAGTTTGTTATGGATTGAATACAACACATTCAAGCAACAATGTTTAGTGTTTGTAACACAATTTGGTATTGATAATTCATTGTATTGCAGTGTTGATATCAAGTCATGCAATGTGTTGATTGAATTTATTCAATTCACACGATCGGATGTTGAATATTCAATCGGAACGCACGACTGAGTCATGATGAGTGTGAGTCATGACTGTGAGACAAATGAGACAATCAACTCTACAAGTTAAACTACACAATCATCTAATAATACTCACAGATCATCCAACACTCTGGTCATGGCAATTATGAGTGATTTTGGTCTCGTTGACATGATTACAGTCATTGATACATTCATGTTTTTATTTTAAATATATTATAATAATGCTAGTATATTTACAATCAGCAATCAGTCGTCATCTCTTGTTCAAGTCTTTTTTGATGTCATCAAGTCTCTCCTTGTTCATCTTGACTTTGACGATGAACGGAGTCAGCATAGTCTTGATTTCACTGACATCGGACTTGAGTTTGACTTCTGTCTCTTTGATCTGACTACAGAGGAAACTACCAAGAATAGTAGCTACTCCAAACATTGCACCATACAGCAAGTAGTTTTTGCTGATATGATCTTGAACCTTGTCATGCAGGGGTTTGGATGTTGCTGCATGACTGTTGGTAGTGGTAAATGATCGTTTGAGTATGTGGGAGTGTAGTAGTTTTAATATGTGATGAGTCGAGTTGTTCATTAGGATTTTATTTGGGAAAAATGAATCAATTTATCAAAATGGAAATTTCACGACTTGAATCCATAATTAAACTTTGCATGTGATTTGACATTCATTACATATTATTGACTTGATTTTGAATATGACTGTTGACTGGCATATTAATGCATACTAATGAATTATTGACACAAGTACCCATCAATCATTATTGATATGCATATCTCTCAAGATTCCAATGATGGGTTTGCAAAGAAATGTGCCAAAATCAAGGTCATGTCCGCCATGATGGACGCTTACAACGGGGCTCATGTACGTTATCATTTTTGATTAGAAATGCTTCAAGTGGATCTATAAGGATAATTATAACTCGATTACTCATGGTAATGTCTGTTACATACATGATTATTGGTGTTGGTTATTGAGAATACCTCATCTGAAGTTGTGAGTGTCGTGCAATATCGAGGGATTTTTGAATACCAGGCTTTGGTCGTGAAAGTGCAACTCATCACCAGCCTGAGTAATGTTCAAAAACTTGGACTTGTTTAATCTAGTATTTACTGTACCACAAAATATGCAGCGATTCAATGGTGATGAAATTCACAAATTCATATTTCCAACTCGCTAAATATTTGCCACCATTATTCTTGGCAGAATCGTAGTCCAAGAATCACTTGAAATTTATTTTCAATTTAAATTCTAGACGGCCAGTGCTACTTTGGGAAATAGTCATCATGCTAAACTTGGCTGTCCTAAAACCCCGTCTTGATGAGCAACCTGCTCACCTACTACCATTTGATGCTTTTCATCCTGTTTTAATGTCGCAGAAATTCCGTTTCATAAATATTCAAGTAATCTGTTAGTTCATGCTTTCACTTTAATACGCAGACTGTTTGTACACTAAAAACATCTAATCATACTCTATCACGATTCTGTCTGATAAGAATTGGCTCAAAAAATACATGTCCGTGAGTTTGAAGCTCATTGCTACTTGGCAAGCCTATTACTGCGGCTGAATGATCTGCATCAAACGTGACGTTCAAACCTCGGGCTTGGAAATATCTAGAATTTAGATTTCAAGGCATATGTTAGTATTTTCAGTACTCCATGGTGACTGCACGCTTTGAATATGTGATGCAATTTGTATAGAAAAATTGGGATACCTTTCTGGTTTAAAAATCGTTTGTGAACTGCTGAGTGATTCTTTCCACGTAGCGTATTCACCCAGTGGAACTGGTCTCGGCCCATTATCTCGTTCCTATTATTTAAATTCCACCACATGTTATAAAGGATTAGTCGAATTCACGTCAATGAAAGGACTAAAATAGATTCGAGTCAACGCAAGTACGCAAAACTCACTCTTGCATCTTGTCGTTTGCCAATATTACTTTTCCCTATAATACTATTTATTACAGCCAAAAATACCAGAGTGAATATTACACAGAATAAATACAGTCAAAATATTGCAATCTTTACCTTTCATTAAACCGGACACCCTGTTTTGGGACAGCATGCTTAGGAAGAATGGGCTATAGTGATATCAGAAAACCAATTATCTTAGCTATTAATACAGGCTCAACGCCAATTGCTTTATGATTGATTACAGCACGCTTAAGAATCTAACGGATTATCAAATATAACATACTCGCTGATCCAAAATATTGTCATGTGGATCAAAGTTGGGAAATATACGACCTTGCTCGGTTTCCACTGCTAGTTGACGCAAAAATATTGGCTTGACATCTCGTTTTGCCTTGAGATCTGCATTTATAAATATATCCACGTGTCAACAATCAAACCAAATAGTAGCATATAATGAAACTATGAGTCAAAGTTATTTTTGCAAAAATACCTTTGAGTAGCTTCATTTGCATTGAAGGAATAAAATGAAGCACTTTTCCTTTAGGCTGGGTTGGTGGTCGAGCACCCAATTCGTCATCTTCATCGTCATAATCATTGTCCATGTTATCTTGATCTTTCTCCGAATACCATCCTTGCCACCATTTTTCATAATCAAAATCGCCATGAGGTTTGCTATCTGTTTTTCATTGCAAATAATAATACAAACCAAAGTTTAATCGACAGCATTATGGGCAAAACAATACGTAATGATTCATAGCTGGATCTCACAATCAAAACAGTAAATTGAAACTCACGCATATGACGATCTTTGTTTCTTTGGAAAAGTGATGGAGGCTGAAAGTCTCGAAAATCAATTTGAATTTGTGATTTGTCGCGATTGTCATCGAGCTGTTCGTATCCAAGTTTAAGCATGTATCCCGTAATAGCATTTCCCTAAATAATCATTCAGATTAACCCAAACGCACAATCAATATCAGCCTTTTATAACTCTGTTAATATAAACCCAGCATTTCAAATACAAAACTCAAGTGTATAGTAAACTCTTTTAGGCATTTAAAAATTACATGTAAAATAAGCGAATATAAAATTGATGTGTTTCCTTTTGATGAAAGTGCTTTAAGAATGTCTTTTGGATGGAATTTGCTGTTTGTAATAAGCCGTAAAACCTGTCGTCCACTGACATTATACCGTCGCATATTGATTTCCAACTGTTTATTGTTGGATTCATTGAATTGGTTTGACAGTGTTTCAAGAAACCGTGGAAGAACCAATCCATGTGCAATCAGACGTCGCAACTCATTCAAGGATACAGTTCTCAACGCTAATGGCAACACAGGTTGATTGGTAGATACAGTGCGCGTGGTGTTTTTTCCAGCCATGATGTGCTCTACTCGCTGTTTAATTTCTGAATGCTGCCAGTAAAGAGGAAGATCGTCTTCCTTGAACAATGCTTTGATTCCAAAGATTAAAAGTCGATTTTGACATGATAGGTAGATGTGGTCGCATATATCAACTTGAACCATTGTTACTGGTGCGGGTGTGTTGATTTGAAACAACAGTTCGCCACGTCTGCTAGACCATAGTCTACAAGTAGAATCCATACAACCGGTCACAGTAATATCAGAGCTACAAGTAAATCGGACGCTCAATACGGGTGCTTCGTGGCGTAATGTGCAACGAAGATCAGCATGATATCCAGAACTCAATGAAACTTCGCCAATTTTAAGTGTACTATACTCTTGATATTTGAGTTGCTCGTCATATACGGTATCTGTCACATCAATATATCCGTTAAGTTTTTTTAAAATAGCGTCCGCTTGCTGCAATTCGCGTTGAACCGTATCCAAACTTTTTTTATAAGATATTATATTCCATATCTTGCATGTGTTGTCGCTTGCACCTGTAGCAAGGTATCGATTGTTTGGAGATACTCTTACGCAAAGAATCGAGCCAGAGTGGTTTTTATCTTTATCAGCCCACCCAATAAGATGATCGTCTATGGTATTTTGCATCCAATTGGGATCTGGAATGATGTTGTCTATTCGCAGAAAATGATCAATGTTCCAAACTGTGACATAACCATCCGACCGACCACAAACAATGATTTCAGGACGTTCAAAGTTGAAATCAAACGATCGGACTGCAAATGGGTGCCTCATGCATGTATTAATCATTGACCCTGCAACCATTATTGTGAGTTGTCAGTTTGGTTATTTGAGGTTTATATTATGGCAGTGCACAACATCAAGAACTTGCCTGATTTCCAATCCCATTTGACAACACGGCCATCGTCTGAGGATGAATAAATATATTCAGAATCAACACTAAACTCTACTTGATAAACAGCGCCTCTATGTCCCTCCAACAATCTATTAAAACCATTAAAGTATGAGTTGAATCATGATGGATCAATGTGGCTTTGCAAGTAGATTGATTTTGTATTAGAATTGGAGTATTCTTACTTGATTGACTTCCACTGTTCTAGACTCCAGACAATAATCCTTTGGTCATTTCCACAGGTTGCCATCTTTGTACCAATTAGATTGATACAGCAAGAAAGAATCGAATCTTTATGCAAACTTCCTCCTGCCTTTCCAAGCTTTTGTATTGATATAACGTATCAAGTTTTGAACATGCCTTAGTATATATAGATTTACCGTTACAAGCCCTGCTGACACCAACAACTGGACAAGTCAACTTACAGAATTTTTTAATATATACGTCTCGCAGTTCCAAACATGAATCATTTTGCCAATACATATTGCCAAAATACCAGCCATGATATTGATGTCAAAACATGATATGGAAGAGTCAAATGCCAGACTCTTTTTAAGAGTAGAAATCACAATACGACGGTTGGCAACGCGTATATTTCGACCACCAAGAGATGCATCATAGGCTGAGTGGTTTGACATGAATTAAAGTAGATGGTAAGTTATTATGACAAACACAATCCAAGGGTACAATATATCAATATAGATATGTGTTGATTGAAGTATCAGTTTTCTATGCAATATGTGAGCGTTTCAATATATTTCATCTGATACATCTAAACAAAAGCGAGTTAAAGTTTAAACAAGGCAGATGCTATGTATCAGGTTTCCACCACTGCAAACCATTCACATATATCATATCATAGTTATACCTCGTATTCCATATGTATCAGATCTTGATAGTTTATGTAGCAATGGGGCTGCACTGGGAATATGAAAATTTGGAAGGTTGATTTCAGCACCAGTATAGAGCGGCATTTTAAATTTTAGACAAACCTTCAAGATTATGGCAGTTAATTTGCTAAACGCGTTTGAATGTCAGCCAAGATGTGATGACCAGTATATACGAATATTTCTAAAAATAGTTAATTTAGCCCGAAAAAGGGATACCAATGGGCAGATAGACATTTATTCATATTTCAGATCAATTTTATTGTGTTTTTAAACCATTTTAGCAGCATCAAACAGATTACTGCCTCAGCCTTTTGAAACCATGAATTATATTTGTAAAACTGCACGATTGGTTTAAGTTGGCGTACAAACTCTTGTCACTTGTTCAATCTTCAACTCTCTCTCACCATGGTTTACCAATCGTTCAACAGACAATAATATCACGAGATATAGTTCCATTACATTGCTTCATATTGTTCATTTTAAAACACTGTCGAGAATTGTTTTGGTGTAATAAAGAATAAACTTGCTTGTCGAGCAATTCCAAACACAAGAAAAGTGTCTAGTAAAGTCAACTCTTAATAGGAAAGCATAACGAGCATTTAACCATTGTTCATTCCAAAGCAAAATGGTCATTGCAAAATACAAGTGTTCCATTTTACGTGGATACGGCTATAAATCAACAGACTATGGAGCCAGTTTCACTTTAAAAACTAATTACTTGATAGGCGTCCAACAATGGACAAGGCAGAATCCGACTTTCTGCAGCGTCTGTTTAAAGAAAACAACGAGCTTCGAGCACGATACACTGCTCAGCAGCGTGAAGTACGGTATATCATACTCCAACCAACTTCAGATATATCTATCTCGACCATCTGTCATAGCACAGTTGTTTTAAATCTCAATGTGGTTTTAATCATTTGATATACTTTTAAATGAATTCGCAATATTATTGGTATAGTTGTACAACAAAGCCAACCTTTTAGAAAATGTAGAAGAAGAAATAAGGCAGTTACGGATTAAGGTTGACATGGATGCAAAGCATACCCAACGTCCAATATCGGTAAGCATTTTGATTTACGTATTATCAATGAATACTATGCAAAAATCATGGACTTACAATATCGTTGATTACTCTGTATTTGTTGGATTGTAATATGATTAATATCAATTCAATAGGGTCCGACGCAGGTTTCTAAAAAAACTATCGAGAGAAAAAGCGAGGTAAATATCAATACATGTCTACATGACAAGCAGTTTCAATAAATGCAAATGAGCGGAGCTCGGCTGATAAAATCAAGTTGCAACCTCTAATATCTTGTCGCATTTTGATGTTTTAGTTGGAGGTCGCTTCATCCAGCAAAATCAAGGACTTGAAAGAAGCAGAATTTTCTATTGATCGGCAGCAAACAGAAATCAAGCAATTACAGGAGGAGCTTAACAAATCCCATTTGATCTTTGATGAGGAGACCAAAAAAGTTTGTAAGTAAGCTTAAATTGGCTATTTTATAAACCAATTGAGTTTATTAACAGGTATAGTATCAATTACGATTTATTTTGATCATATATACGATATCAAATCACGGTTTAGATGCATTGACAAAGGAAAATAGCGAAATCATGGAAGAAGTAAAACAGCTGCGCGAGTTTAAAAATGCGGCTGAACTAAAAGAAACCATACCGGTTCCTAAAAAGGGTAAGCAATTAATATATAATTAAATGGCTATATGTAATTAAACTACATGATCCTATTGTGTATAAATATTGGCAGAATCTACACCGGAGGAAGTTGAAATGTATCAACTGCAGATCAAAAATCTTGAAGGATCTCGGCTAGCGATGAAACAACAAATGATAGACATTGCAATAGAAGCAAATCGCGTTCACAACTCTCAACAGAATCAGTTACAAGGTGTTGAAGGGGTATGCAGCTATTTGGATGAATCAATTTTTGAATGTCCATTGCTTTAGAGCAATAGAAAGTACTCAAGTTTAATTGATTTATGATAAAATGCTTATTAACACGATACAATACACCAGTTGATTGAAGGTACACGAAGAGAATACGATGAATTTATTCAAATAACCAAGCTTGAAAACGAATCATTTCGAGCAATACAACAAGCAGAGTATGAGAGTCTCAAGACAGAGTTTGAAGATCACAAAAATCAATCATTTGAAGAAAAAAAGCGTTTAATGATGGAGTACCAGGTGCGTATTTTCAAAACAATGACTGGCCTAATTTCATCTCAAGCGCCAGTTCAATGGATTTCCAAAAAACTAACACATTGAGTGGTGACGTAATTCTCAACATTAGAATATCTTGTCAGCCATGCAAACTCAGTTTGATGAGTATAGATCAACTGCTGAGCTACTATTTAATATGGAAATGATAAAACTTGAAGACGAAATTACGTCACAAGCATCACGATATGAGCAAGAGATCATGTATGTAATTCAAGCCAAGGACAAGTTTTATTCCGATATGATGGTGGCTAAAGATGCAAAAATTATGGCGTTGATTGAAGGATCAGATCTACAAAGCATTATGCAAAAGCATGAGCTTGTAAGTAGTTTTAATTTTCAGCCAAGATGTTGTAATGTATTGATGTTTAAACGTGCTGTGGATATTGTCCATGAAATATGCACCAACAAATCTGCTAATGCTAATATTTCCTGTGAATAGGATATGGAGAATACCCGAAAGGAGCATGTCAAAGAGTTGGAGCGAGTTAAATCTGAACATGATTCTGAATCTAAAAGTGTGATTCTTCTTCTTCAGCGACAAAACGTCAGTTTAGAGTCCAAAACTGAAAAATTACAAGCGCATTTGAAAACAATGGAGTCTCGCATCAAAGAGCTTATGAATACTATTGATGTCAAAAACAAAACAATCACCGAGCGTGATGAATCAAAACAAAAGATTGAGCAGGATCATCAGGTTTGTTATTGGTTGATGTTTTTGCGATTATTTGTTGGTCGGCAAATATGAATCTGATTTTTAGTTTGTAAATCGCTAATCCAATTTAAACTAATATTTGAAAAATAGAAAAAAATTGCAGATGCAAATGACAGAATATCCATTCTGGCCCAAGAAAAAGAACATTTGCGACACAAAGTGATTCGCTTGAATCTGAATGCCAAAGGAGAAGGAGAAAATTCGATTGAAAATATGCTCAAGCGTCTATCAAGAGTATGCTGGCTCACAGTTTGATTACTTTACATGTTGATAGTTTTGCTTATTGTTTGAATTATCTGTATAAAACATTTTAGGGAACAGCAAACTTGCATTCAGAATTTGATGAGCTTGGGACAAAATATGACGCGGCTTTAAATGAAAATCAGCTTATGACCAAAAAGCTTAGAGAGAGGGAAAAGATGATTGAATTTCTTGAAAAAGAAATGTCCAGAAGAACTCAAGAATTCAACGAAATGGTAAATCCAGTTTATACTTGTCGTGTTGTCAACTAAATGGTTTGTATTTGTAAAAATATCATTTGAATAGCTGTAACTGATATACTGTTTGAAGACCCACACATTTGAAGAATTCCTGGCTGGTAGATCTAGACAGGCAGCCAAAGATCGCGCCAAGCGTCTTGCCAAGATTGGTAAATCATTGGAGCTTTTGGTTGGATATGTACTACACGATTATTTGGTTAAAATTGGTAATATTTGAATGCTTACTGTACTCATAGTTGATGAAGACGATACTACAACGCTAGAAACACATCGTCGAAATTCTATTGGGTAATTTGCATTTTCCTTGTTTGGCAAAGTTTTTAAAGCAGGTATACTAAGATATTGTATTAATATCATGTGCATTTTTAATACTTAGAAATCAACAAATGGTTGGCGGGCATTCAATCATCAAAGCGAGAATTCCCGACAAAGGAGTAAGTTTCAATCTAGTCATTGCTTATAAATATATGTGGATTCTGATCAGCATATTGTATAATACACTTTTAGAATAAGCTTTCTCGTGCTCCAGATGTTCATTCTCCAGTACGTACACTTCAAAGTAACGTTGAGCTTGAGCGAGGATATGTGTGAGTCTGATTGTCAATAGGTCATCATGCTGTAGTGTTTTAAATCAAACTAAATTATTTTTATCATGCATGCAATCTTATTTTATAGATACCTCAAACGATTCAAAAATCTTTCAAAAGCATTTTCCACAGGCGAGTTCCGTGCATTGGCCAATGCTGATCAAGTATCAGAGAATGTTTCAGGACCATGGCAAAAGGTGGTATGGTTTATAAGCCAAATGTCAATATTAATTGCATAGTTGATTAATCAAATTGGCATTTTTTGTTGAATTTAGACTCCATTATATGCCAAGTTAGATGATGCAAATTTGGCAGTTGCCAAAATGTACCATGAGCAGGCACAAAAACTTGTGCCAATTACTGATGTACCTGCATGCAAGCCTATGGTCTATGTTCCTCCTAATACGGTAAATTTTTACTATGCCTATTAATTGATATAATTGATCATATTTTGTATCATTTATATCTATTCAATGATTGCCATGCTAATTGTGGTTTACAGGCACGGCCAATTACATCCACTATGACACAAGGTTCAGTCATGATATATAATGAAAGACGCAAAGATATCGAGTCTCGTATCAAGACATCTCGCGCTAAAGTATCAAGGGTTAGTAAATTTATACACGTTCTACAAACATATTGTATTGTGCAACAGTTGTTATTAGAGTCTGATTCAATACTCTTGTTTTGTAAAATAGGGATTGGATGGGCTCATTATTGGAGGAAAACCCGTAACTTGATAATAAACCATGCATTTCATTTGGCCACTATTAAGAATCTACTATTACAGCCGTATTCACGCAAAGTAAGGATTTCAATCTCATGAAATAATAATTTGATGAGGTTTACTAGACACATTGTACCCTCTGAATTCCTTGACAAAATTCACCAATCTTGTGCTTATTTCTGTATAAAGCAGTTGGAATTTGTACAGACTCGAGACAATCGAGTCCAATATCTGAACTGTAATGAGTGAGTTTGGT